TAGATAGGTAACTTAAAACCATTGATATCGAGCTTGAATATTAAGTTTAAATGAAATATTCATAGAGGATTACAGTAAACCCCATTTTAACTGAAACCATAGTAAAAATTAAATTAATTAGAAAATGGGCTAGGCAATGAGAATCTATGCCGTGGCAAGGATTGTTTTGCAATTAATTTGTTTATCCTGCAGTTTTTGGTTTTATTGACTTTGTTTTTAATTAAGACAACAATGAGTACACAGCTAACTATTAAAATATATTTGTCTAGCTTCGTTTTAAAGATTATTGCATCAGAATCTTTAGTCAAAGTTAAGTTAGCCTATGTATAATATAAATTACAATTATTGACAATTGTAACAGAAATCCTGTGAACAAGAGACGGGAATACCACAAAAGCTTTAGAGAACAGAACAAAGAACGAATGCCAACAGAACAAACTGAGAACGGTTAAACTCCTGTTTCCCACAGCCTCAGAGATCGATGGCAATGCAAACACTTTAAGTTCAACTGGCAAACAATGATGAAAAGTTATTTTGCCGTTTTAATTAATACTTCATTTATCTTGGACAGGTTTTAAATTGGTGTGATAATTTAGGGTTGTAGCAGTTAAACAATGTCATTTCAAATGTATTTCTGTCGCAGCATATTTACAGACTCTAATTAATTTGGAATTTCCCAGCTTTATTGTACACGGTAAATTTGAAACTTGTTTTTCCACTTGAATTTTCATAATTGTAATCATCTTTATAATTGGTAACTTGTGTCCATTTACCTCAGAACCTCTAATTTTAGGTGTTACGAAACTATAACTTATTGTTATATTATTTTTTAACACCTAAAGTTTTTCTGAAAAAGAAAAGGCAAATATAAATTTCCGATGTCTGCAAACTAGTGATGCTCTTCTTTTATTTAACAGTACATCTAATCTTCCTGAATATGTTTGATGCTGTTCCTCTTTTACGAGTACCAAAGGTAGCCTACAATAGTGTTTGCAACACAAACAATTTCATGAGAACTCCTCTCCACCATTAACACAAACAACATCTATAGTTTGCTTTGTGATTATACCTACACATTACACAAATAACTTTCCTTTCATGTTTTTTATGCCAGACTCTATCATTACTGAGCCACCCCAATAAACTTTGGTTCTCTGGTGAATTGGAACAGTTAATCTTTAAATGATGAAAATACATTTAAACTACTATTGTGTAATTTAGTTACTCTAAGTAAACTGATTGATAATCTTAAGAGTGAGAACTAATTAAGCCAACTAGTTAGTTTTATAAGGTATAATAATGTAATAACATTGATGTTTTTTTATGGGTTAGTAAATAAATAAAATGCAGAGTTAGTCCATCATAGAGCCCTTCAGTGATTGGGTGGTAAAAAAAAATTCTTAATTTCTAAAGTTCCCCTTTTATGTATAAGCAATAATTGAGATAGCTGTAAAATATTGATTCTGATTTAGTTCAAAACATCATTGTAATAATATAACAAGGTAATTTTTTGGTAGGCCTATAATTTATTGCAATATTTATCTATTTAAAATAAGCATGTTAGACATAGTTTGTTTAATAATTGTATACCCTACAGTCTAGCTTTAAACATATTTCTTATCTGTTTAAATTATCAAAGAAGCTACTGAAGAGGATTAAATGTATTTCTTTAACCAAAGTATTTAAAAATGGCACTTTGACCAAAATTGCATCACCCTCCTTCCTGCTTTTGAAACTACTGATGATGTATTTGTAAATAAGTTAGTAGTAAATTTGATGAACTTATATGTGTCTCCGCCAAAAACTGTCTAGAATTTTTTTATTGAAACTTAATTTATTTGTTTCTTATCATAAACATAAAAGTTGCATGTGAATAAAGTCTAGTAGGGCTTTTGACAAATTGGTCCTTGCCTAAGAAATTGCTGATCTTAGTCCGTAATACTTAAAGCATCTCACTTTGTTATCACCCTTGATAACAAAGTGAGATGACTGTTACAACAAACAACAAACAAACAACAAACACAATAACAAAGTGAGATAAATAACAAAGTGAGATGCATCCCTATGACAGTTATAACCTTGATGCATACATAACAATTAGTAAAAACTGTAAGTTTAATTTCAGATTATGGTTCATTTTATACTCTATAAACTATATCACATACTAACAACGCCTTGTACTAGCCATAAACTTGCAATATTGACCAAGATGGATATAGTTCCAATAGTACAATTGTTCAAATAGTAACAACGAGGCTCTTACAAGTTTTGACGTATTGACAATTACAAACATCTTAGTCTAGGATACACTTAAGTGTATTTCCCGGACAGAAGTGGATACATTACAATGAAACATTTAACCTATATTGATAGTATCAGGATTGTTGACAAGGTATTCAAACAATACTATATCAACCATACAACTAACTTATTAGTGAAAGTCTGTGTGTTTGTTTGTTTGTGTGTTTGAAGTTCAATCACGCATAAACCACTGGACGGATTGGGCTGATGAAATTTGGCATGATGATAGCTTAAACATTCCCGATTAACATATAGGCATATTCTTATCTCAAAAATCCTTTCGGGCTCCGCCCCAGTGGCTCTGTAATTCCCCATGTTAACCTTATGAGTATTCATATTTAAAGGGAATTAAAGAATTTAGTCAGCTGTTTCAACTAAAAAAGTTGGTTCTATGATATGGAAAAGCATTAAAAGTTATAAGATTTACCAACAGGGTGCAGCACTATACTTTTAGCGATTTTGATTAAATTTGGTACAAACGTGTAAACCTACGTTTATTTGAACGAGTTCGCGATCCAGCATGATCGGACCATGGGAACGGGGGTTTATGGGGGGTTTTATGGGGTAAAAATAGGTTTTTCCCATTTTTGACTCAAAAAACAAAAAATTTTGCAATTTCTTTCTATACCATTTTGTAGAGCTTAAAAAAACAAATAATTTAGTATATTGAAGCGTTATTATGCGCCCAATGGTTACGGAGAAAATTTCAAGAAATTGTAAATTTAAAATTCCCATGTTATTCTTATGGAGAATAAGTAAACTGTTGTAGTTTGCTTGTTTATGAACATATTTTGATCAAATTTGGAAAATGTTTTTATTTCTTACTAACTATTAACATTTTATAAAAAAAAAAACAGTTTTACCCTCCTTGATGCAGCAAACCTAAGTACTTTTTAAACTAATTCTATTTAAATCGGGAATAAATGTTATATTTTTAAGTAGACATTTCAGTGTAAATCCAATGAGTCAAATGGAAATTCGCTTAGTCTGCAGGTTTGCTGCGGCGGGGGTATTTTGCATTTATGAAAACAGCTAATTTGAACTAAGCAGCAACAAAAAACTATGATTCGCAATGAAAACTGTCAAAGTATGATTGTTTACAGTTATGTTTGTTTTTCATTTCATGAATAATTTGTGATATTTTGCAAATTGTTGATAATTTATTTTTCTCTATTGTTTAGGTGAAGTGGTAGAACATTATGGCTATGGTAGATGTGTAATACTATAGAATACTGTAAATTTAAAAAAGCAAATTTTATCAAACTGAGTCCTGCTTTATTGCAAACGCAAAGCTTGAGTATAACTGCAATAAGCATTTTATACTTATATTCCAACCCCGTACGAAGGACGGGTACTCTGCTAGTAATCAATATTTTACAGATATCTTAATGATTGTTCATACAAAATAAAGCCTTTAGTAAATCAGAAATATATTTTATGACCACCCACTCAGTGAAGTGGGGCTTTGTGATTGCCCAATTTTCACTTTATTAATCTGCAAACCCATTAACAAAAACATCAATCACTCTTCTTCCCTTAAAATATGCTCCCTATAGGCCCAGCCTTCCATTTGCTAAATATTTACTAGTATACAGAAAGATTTCAGGTCACAATAAAAATATTATTAAATTAAAATAAAATTATTAAATCTTCTTCAGTAAGTTACTGTAGTATAAAAATGTGTTTTATGTGTATAATCTGGAATTAAGTGTGTTTCGAATAGAATATTTTTTTAGCTATCGCACATGGTAAATTTTACTAATTTTCCTTAAAAGGCTTCAATGACTTAATTTTTATAGTTAACGTGTCCCTTTAAATTGTTAAGCATAAAATTATAGCATTACATGACTGTGGTTTTAACACCACAGCGGTAAAAATAATAACTTGTGTTAAATTGGTTGCCTTAATGCCTACCTTAGAATTGGTCTCACAACATAGTTTGCAAGCTGTGTTTCAACATTTCATACAAAAAAACTCTTTTTTTTAAGCCAGAAAGATAAATTCACATTCTGTTAATAATGGTTACGATATTGTGTCATTGTCACATTGTAGTAAGTTACTAGCGAGTAGATCTTTAAAGTAAACTTGGACAAATAAACATGACACTTTCTCTTTCCTTAACTAATGTAAGCCAGGCCTTATAATAGGCCTAATACAAGATTTTAAATAACAGTCAAACTTACACCAATAATTTCGTAAACTGATTTCGAAGAATTCTTTTTATGTAAATACATTTGGCTTTCACAGAAAAACTCCGATGAAAAAAAACCAAAAAACGCTTTACAGAGAACACAATCCAGGCTAACCAAAGGTCGTTTTGCAAAATCCCAACCTATGACCCAAGGATAAAATAAATGTCACGAACCGAGTAAATGGGGCGTGTGCGCCACGGCACCGTATAATGTGGGAAAAATGTAGCGATCCAATCAGTAGTCAGCAAGCAAAGTCCTTGTAGATCACGAGTAGACATTTGACTCCGGGGCGCGAGAACCCGATTACTGCCACAGCTAATTGAATATTATTGCTGGTGTCAATCCAAAAATAGTCGGGAGCAATAAATTATAGTTTAAATACCGTGTGGCCAATGGGAAATAAGTGATAACACGCTTATCAGGGCGCCTGGCGCCTTCCACGCTGCCTCCCAAACAACCACCGATGTAAGTTGAACTTTTATTTTTACATAACCTTTATAAACCGACACTGACACATCACTGGACGGTTATGAGTACAAGGTTTGGTTAGGTAAGTTATTTCTGAAAGTAATCTTAATTTTTCAGTGTTTATAGGAAAATACATTGACTTAATTGCTTTGCGGTATTAGTATTTTTGGATTTAGGATTTTAGGACTTATGGTCAAATTTACTACAAGGGATTTTCAAACTGAGTAGTAAGATGTTAACCTAACATATAGGTTTGGTAGTTAGTACAAATATTAGTAATATTAGTAGACTATAATTGCTTTAGGGTAAGAGATCTTTTTGTAAAATTAACTATGAAAGGACATTTTAAACTGAGACTAAAATCACAGAATCATATTAGTATTGCTAGTTTTTTTTGCTTTAATGTAACCATCACTAGTCATATGCTATTTATTGGAGGGATTTATCTGTCTAATTCATGTGCATTTTAAGTGATTACAGATTTTAGGTCAATTTCTTAATACAAGGTATGAGATTTATTGAGATTTTATGTTTTGAAAAAAAGCATTTTTTCTTCTAGGCCTATGTGAAATTCTCACAGAAAAATATTAGTTTGAAATGTTAAGTTTTGTTTTATAAAAAGCCAATATTTATTATAAAAGCCTTTTGAGAGAAATTAGTTATTTTACAAAAGCAAGACAAACGGGACAAACATTTTTTACTTTTAATCTTCAATTTCAAACACAATTTTACTAATTTTTAACAACTGTAGTGTTTTTTCATGATCAAGTAAATAATAAATATTTCCATCGTTTTATTCATTTGTTTACTTATTTAAAATAAGTTAAGTAAATTAAGATTTTTAATAGGCCTATACAAGATTGTTTAGCTGTTTGGGGATTAGTAACAATGATTAAGTAGAAAATCTAATTTCTACTGGCAGTAATTTGAAGTGAAATTAAACTATGTACGGTATATAAAGATTAATTTAAAGAAAATACCAACAAAAGAGATATTTAATTTTTCAAATACATTTATTACATTAAATTCTCATCAATGATATAGGTTTTTAGTATTTAATATTTACTGTTCTATAAATGAACTTTTGTTAACAAAAATAACTTCACATACCTCAGTATTTCACGGCACCTCTAAAATAATTGTTTTAAAAAGTTTAACACTAGAAAAGTTTGGAAGTAACAACTAATTGGTTTGTTACTTCATCCCTTATAAAAATTATTATTAATGAGTCCAAGTTAGCAACAATTATGTAGGCCTTTTGTTTCTCAAAATACGAGATCTCAATGTTGAAGTCTGATAGGGAAGACTATTTTATGCCGTGGGAAGTTTTAAGAGTAAAGTACTTCTTCACCCACTCTAATGAATAATTAATTGGCATCAGTCCTGTCACTTTTTCACAACATAAAAGGAAAATACCCCCACCTCAGCAAACCTGCAGATTAAGCGAATTTCCATTTACCTGGTTAGATTTTCACTATCGTAAAACATTTCTTAAAAATATTGTCAGGTTGATTTTCTATTTAAACAGGCCTAAATTATTAATTTTAAAAAGTACTGAGGTTTGCAGCTACAGGGAAGGTAATAAAGTACATTCTTATTGAAATGTAAATAGCTTAGTATGAAATAAATTTTCCTACCAAATTGAATAAAAAGAATAAAACAAGCAAACTACGACAGTACAATATAAGAATAACATAGGAAATTTAAATTTACAGTTTTTGGTCAGTACACTTCATTATTATATACATAATTATATAAAAGACAATAGACAATATTCTTTATTACACATTCATTGAGAATAGTACAGTGTCTTATTGACAGGTGGATTACAGAAACATTTCATTATAAGGTCTCGAGATGACATAAATAGTTGTAGGTGGATTTTACTATCGCTTTAGTTTAAGGATGGATTTTACTCAAGCTATGTTACTAACAGACATGATGGTATGTATATATAAATTTTAACGGATTGTATTTTTGGCCTCTGGGGACATCATAACAAAAAGGCAAATCGATCCCAGGTCTAGGGTCTTACCATGCTTATTCCCTATATGGGAAATTCGCTAAAAATAGTCTTTAAATATGTTTTTTTTATACATTTTCAATTCAAATAGCACGTCAATTTGTTTTCCATCATCAACTCTAGTAAGTTGCCTCATTTACCCTACATAAAAGGCTGTAAATTTAACTTTGATTATTACCTAAACATTTTAAATCACCAATTTTTATAAAAATTTACAAAATTAAACAATTAAAGAAAATACCTGCAGAATAAAAGTGGCTAGCAAAATATTGGACTAGTTTCAATAATAGAACATTGAGAATTACATCAATTGCTGACTTTTGTCCAAATCAATTAACCAATTTCCCATTGTCAAAGCATTCTGTCACTTCAAATATCAGATTGCAATGCTCCGTCTCATATAATCTAACTGTCCCAGCCACAAAGCTTGCTGTGGCACTCGAATATCAATCGTTGAAGGCCAAAAGGTAAATACCCCTGCTGCAGCAAACCTGCAGACTAAGCGAATTCCCATTTTCCTGATTGGATTTACACTAAAATCTCCTTAAAAATATCACATTTTATTCCCTATTTAAATAGCATTAGTTTAACGAGTGTTTAGGCTTGCTGCAACAGGGAGGGTAAAAAGGTGTTTTTTGTCAAATGTATTATGGTTTAGTATGAAATTAATACATTTTCCAAATTTGATCAAAATATTCTCATAAACAAGCAAACTACAACAGTTTACAATTTCTCCATAAGAATAACATGGGAATTTTAAATTTACAATTTTTTGTAATTTTTTCCATAGCCATTCGGCGCATAATAGCGCTTCAATATACTAAATTATTTGTTTTTTTTTTTAAGCTCTACAAGATGGTTTGGAAAGAAGTTGCTAAATTTTATGTTTTAGGGTCAAAAATGGGAAAATCCCATTCTTACCCCATAAACCCCTGTTCCCAGAGTCTGATCATGCTGATTCGCGAACTCGTTCGAATAAATGTAGGTTTAACTTTTGTACTAAATTTTATCAAAATCGGATAATTTTTGCTCGAGTTATCACCCTAACAGACACATATATGTATGAATTTGAACGGATGGTGTTTTTGGCCTCTAGGGACTTCAAAACAAAAAAGTAAATCGGTCCTGGGTCCAGGTCTTACCATGAGTACTACGGTAAAAGCTTATTCCCAATATGAGAAATTCACTAAAATTAAAAAAGCCTTTATTAAAAAAAAAAATCTAAGAAAATTTTACACAAAACATTTAAATGGTTTATAAATATGTTTATTGATAGATTAGTAAAATAAACCAGGAGTTTACAAAACTTCACAATGATTATTTCATAGAAAATTGAATGAAAATATAAGTGATTTTGACTAACTAAAAATATTACCCCAAAACCTAGGAAAACACAATTTTTGTAGAATGGATTTCCTCCCAAACATTGTATGAAAAGCATATTTATTAAACATATGATACATTCATTTTTGTATAAATTTAATGAAAACCTGTTTTTCCAAAGTCATAGGTTTCTAGAAGGCCTATATACATAGCTATAATCAAACATGTCTGGCTATATGTCCTTTAGACATTACCAAAACATTCCTTTGACTGCGTAGAAGTTTGGGAAATTTTTCTATATAAAACTGGGAAGGGTGCGTCCTCGATTTTAAATTTACCCAGTTTAACGTTTGAGAAATACTTTATTGATTGGTTCCAATGGAAACGGTAAGAAATATCTAATGCTTACATTTGATTTGCTTATATTATACTGTTTCACTGGTACTTATACCATTGACTTTATATAAAGTCAATGCTTATACGTATCATATTTAGATAACTGTTATGTTTGTTTACTTTTTTATGATATTATTTACAACAGAAATGTAAGTTTTCATAATCATTGGTAAAACTGTTTATGTTTAACAGCAGCTTTCGAGGACTTTTTTATGATTTTAGGATCATGACGTGTTGCAAAGCAGGTGTAGCTTTTAAAATTTAAATATTAAATAAATATAAATTTGAAAAATAAAACCCTTAAAAAGTCAAAACACAATGGATCCAGTTAGAAACAAAACCAGGATTTGTGTTAAAAAAAATTATATTTTTATAAGGAAAATAAGCTCAAATTCTCTCTATGTAGCAAACAAATAAAGTTATTATTTTTTCACCGGGCAAACATATTCCAATCCAAAATAAACTGTGTAATTGAAAACTAGTTTAATCTGAAAGATTTATTGAGACTAGATTCTTCATCAAATAAAACCGTTTGTATTTTAGAATTATTTATCATTCTTTCAATTTTTTTTTGTTTTTTTTACATGTCTTATGACCTGATGAAGACGGTAATAATATCAGTGCAAGAAGATAATATTTAAACCAAAGCTGTAAATATGGTGTAGATTATAGCTGCAACCTGTAATGAAAGTGTCCTGAAAAGCCAATTGCGAACCTTTTTTTTATGAATTACTTTTTACAGGCTATTATTCAATAGTCAATGCTAATAATACAGTATTATATTATTGTTTTAATGATCAATATGACACATTCATGCTGGGTTGTCAGGACATACAATGTGGGTTTCATCAGTTATCAGTCATAATAACTATTATCAGTTTATAGATTTCTCATAGAACTTTTTTTATGTAATATTTTTTTGATGGCATTTAAAACAAATACAGGTACTAAAATTTTCAATTTGTAACATTAGGTTAAAAAACATAATTTAGACCATACTAAATCTCAAATTTGAAAAATCAAAAAACTAAACTTGCTTTCATTGTGAAATAACCAAAAATAATGAATATTGCACTTTCGTAGTAATACAAAATTAAGTAGTGTTTTATTTTATTTTGATATTCTTAAGATTATTATTTTAATAAACACATTGAAGTTTATTGGTTCCTTCTTTAATATCTGTGGTTCATCGTGCAATTAATCAGCAATTAAATGCGTAGGTGGAAGCACATAAACAATGCTCAACCATTGTGTCGACATGGGCCATTTCTGATAAACCAATAATTGATAACCTAGCGAAAAAACGTGATTAGTTTTTACTCTGAAAACCTAATTAATTAATACTAGATGGTGATAAGTTTACCTTGCACCCCGAAAATCCTTTTAAAATTGTCCTAGGCAATTTATGGTATAATTATAATTATTATATACATTTACTTTTTCTTTGCCTATTTATGTTTTATATTTAAAGCATGGATAAAAATCCAAACTTAACATTGTAAATATTGTATACAAAGAAAAGGGTAGTCTACAATTATTTCTTCATTTGTATCAGGCATTTTTCCTAACATATTAAAGCAAGCAAAAATAATTCCTTTACACAAAAACAATGATCCTAAAAATATATCCAATTATCGCCCAGTATCTGTTCTACCATCAATATCTAAAGTGTACGAAAAAGTCGTCTACTTACAATTATCAGGGTTTTTGGAAAAATATAATATTTTAGATGATAATCAGCATGGATTCAGGAATGGAAGATCAGTTGTGATCGCAGCTGTTTCTTTTATTGAATCAGTCATTGAATCAGTAGCCAAAGGAAATTATACAAGTGACATATTTATGGACCTTTCTAAAGTGTTTTAATAGTGTAAAACATAGTATATTACTAGAAAAACTTAAAATAATTGGAATATCTAAAGGAAACCTTAATTGGTTTTCTTCCTATTTGACAAATAGATCTCAATTCGTGGAAATTACCCATTAGACAAATCATAATAGAATGATCAAATCATCATCAACTTATCAGCCAAATAAATTTGGGGTGCCACAAGGTTCAATTTTGGGACCTTTGCTTTTTTTGTGACCTTAGGGCATGGAATATACATTAACCTACAAGCAAAATTCTAAATTAAGTCTTTATGCTGATGATTCTAATTTGTTTGTACAGTATCATCTAACTCTCCAGAAGAAACTGAAATTTCTACGTATGTATAATTAAAGAATATTGGAAACTATGTTCCTACAATCATAACTTATTGATAAATTCAAATTCACAAAAAACTAAATTTATAAATTTTAAAACAGCACAGAACAAAATCACAATAGAACCAACAATAACTTACAACTCAAATAACATTCAAAAGGAAAATAACATCAATTTTCTGGGTTCAACAATAGATGAAAACTTGAATTGGGATTAACACACACAGAAAGGTTTAATCAAAATTAACTCTTGAGTTTGTGTATTATCAAATATGTCATTTTATTGTAGTTTGAAAACCTCTAAAAGGTATATATTTTGCTCACATTCACTCTCATCTTTGATTCAGTTTAGCATTGTATGGGCAAAAAAAATATTAAATATGGATTGCATTCTAAAGTGGCAAAAAAAGGCTATCAGAATTATGCTCAAGCTTCAAACGAGATGATTCGGAACAAGAACATTTTTAGAAATTACAAATTTTAACAGTTTATGGGCAATATATTTATGAAACTATTCTTATCGCAAAACAAATGAATCAGAGGAAGTAAAAAATTCATTGCATTCTTATAATTTCAGGAGGAGAAGGGAGTTTGTCCAGCCTCACTAATTAAGATTTTTTGGAAAAAGCCACATACACTGGTAACGTTTTTCTAAAATCTATCCCTGAATTTAAAAAAAAATCAAAATCAATAGACCTATCAAAATTCAAGAAAATTCTAAAATATTGCATAATAAATTTTGCATTATATTCTTTTGATGAGTTTTCCACTTCCCAGAAATAGAAATAGTATTTTTTATGTTTTTTAATTGACACTATTCACTGTACCATCTATTTACCTGAGTTATAATGAATGTTTGAAGATGAATATGAATATACAGCAATAATCAAAGAATGTAAAATTTATTTTAATCATAAGAAAAAACTATTTTATGAGAAGTGTACCGCTTATTGAAAACCTTAAAGTTTTGAAAATATTCTATTAAAACTACAATCAACTGAACAAAACTGTTAATCCATGTGATATTCTTTTAGGGCAAGGATTGGACACATCATTACACAACCATAACACCAAAATCTAACCCACAAGTTACTTGCAACATTGAAACCTAACACAATGGTTATAAAATCTGATCACAGGCCTAATTTTAACGCAAAACCCTGCAACAACCTTATTCCAGCAACATTTAAATCTGCAACACTAAAACCTAACCCAACAGAACCTGCTTGAGTAAAAAAAAACCTGTAACAATTTAAGCCGAATGAGTTACCTAATACCTTTTTATGCTGGCTCAACTGATGCCTGATGGTAAAAGCTGTTAATGTTTGCTGTTAGGGATAAATATTGTCAGGATGTTTAAAGCATCCAATTAAAATATTTCCTAAGGCTCCATTTGTTCGCAGTACCATCAGAGGAGGCTACGAGTCAGACATGCCTCTTCCTACCTCCATCACCGCAGTGATCCTCACTGCGACTCTAGCCCAAGTCACCAGAGCTTTACCCATCTCTCAGAATCACCGGTTTGCTGTCTACACCCCCTACTGGCACCAAGGACCTCGGCACTACGTTCCTCCAGACTTCTACTCATCTCACAAACGACTAGGCTGTGAGACAGAGCCGTGTGATGAGCGGCTCAACCAACTACTGTCCCTACCTGACGAGTCTACAAGCACCAACAACATTCCTCTCACCAAACGGACTAAAACCTCCTACAGAACAGGTAAGATAGTGTGAATCATTAATTTTTTGATAGTGTATATTTTTGACGTAATGTATGGCCATGAGGTTTAGTCCCTTCAGTAGCTAGGCTGAGACTACCGGTAATGGAAAACTTTTTCTTAAGACTCTGACTCGTTAGGATTTAACTTCGACAGGACAGGCAAAACATCTGGCAGTGAATTTCATCTGACAAACCTGTTGATATATCCCACCATCACCAAAAATTAACTTTAAAAACCAAGGAACCTTATCGATAAAAATTAACTAAGGATTCTGACATTATTTACAACCATGCACCTTGATATATTTCAAAATGTTGCAGTAAAGACGAAAGATTCGAAATATTTAGAGAGATCAGTCTACACCATACGTACACATATGCTAATTTCAGAACACCAAATTTAAATAATAGGAAAGTGCAATTGACGTAGAATTTATGAGATGGTTAAAGAATAAGAATGTTAGATTTTTTCTCAATTTATGATTTACTTGTAAAGCCAAGATGTTGATTAGATCTTAGATATTCTGTATTGATTTCTTATTTTTATCTATTTCAACATTATGAAGATAAGTCTAAACATTAAGGTGGTTTCAAAGATTTACTTATTTATAAAAGATGCAAAATTTGCTTGTATGGTTGTGGGAAATGGAGCGCGTAACAGACAATATAACATCCAAATTGCATATTTCATTATTGGTAGAAATGGTTTTCTAACAATGGTAACAACTTCAGAAAAATAGTTTTTATTTAAGTTTTATTTAGATAAGATTTAATAGTTTGATGCTCTTAATAAATCTAAATTCTGAATAAACGCAGTAGAAATCAAATAATTTTACATTTGTACAAAAATATTTCATCAAATTAAACATCAAATGTACCTACCTGAACTAAAACAATGTTTCATACCAATCAATTTGATTAGCAAATGTTAAAAATAATATTCTGATAATATTATTCATTTAATTTTAAAAATTCAGAATTATTAAAGTTGTCAGTAGAGCAGGGCCGCGTTAAGGGTCAGTGGAGCCCTGGGCAAACCCAAAAGCAGTGTCCCCATTTTCTCCTAGTGCGGGCAGGTGGTGGTAGATAAACTGGGCATATGCCCAGTCTGCCCGTTTATAAAAGTGGGCCTGCAGTAGAGAGTTTTATGTCAAAAAGGACACTTCATTAAAATATAATCAAGTTTTTATTTCAATTTATAAAAGCTTTAAGATAATTGTATATTCTCATGTAGGTAACTACTGCAAATGACCGAAATCTACTGCTTGAAATGTTTAGAAAAACCAATTAGGTTGTTTGAAAGTACAGTGGAGTTAAACCTTGAGAGATATTTTTATTTACTCAGGACTCGATGCATAACACTTGGGAGGTAGAAGAAACCAAAATTAACTCAGAACCCCTGGATAGCTTCTAAGAATACGTTTGATACTTCTTCAACTCTTAAACATGGAATAGATTTTGATCAAATTAGGTATATATTATTTATATTATTGTGTACACTGCTGGAAGCATTCTAAAAAATATATATATAAGTAAACAAGTGTTAGATATACAACAAAATTAATTTATATTTAATATTTTATCTTTAAGATTATAGAAAGCAAGTGGTAACAGAATCTCACAATGGTCAGGTAATTTAATATTTGACAGTGAGTTGTAATTAAGAGATGACGTATTGTTTTGACATGTTTGAATAAACTGGCATTTCACTTGCTAAAACATGAATGATTTGTATTACTTGGTTTAAATAAGGAATTGATTTTACAATTTATAAACTTGAGAGTTATGAGTGGGCAACTGCTGCCTGTCTGCCTTACATTTAAATGTCCATGGAAAACTAATATTAATTAACTATTTAAAAAAAGACAAAACTATCTATCATATGAAAAAGACTACGACGAGACTATTATGGGGGTCAAAAGTAGACTAGTTGTTAAGTTCCCTAAACAAAAATCTACAAATGAATGTTCAAATGGCTGTTTATGAAGTATTTACTTTCAACTATCTGGTCAGATAACTCGAAAATGCAATGTTTTCTAGTAAAACCCCTTTTGCTGCAGCTCATAATTTTTTTAATTCAAAACCTAAAGCGCTTCAAGATAAATCCCTTTATTTGCACAGGCTGGACGATGAGTGGTATGCCGTTCAGCGTACTTTACATGAACCCTAAGCCACACATGTCGGTGCGTTCACCCATATCTGAGTCACTGAGGTCTCTACCACCAAACTACGAAAACATCGAAGCTCCGCCCCCGATATCTGACAACCAGGTAGACCAAGACATCCCGGACATACAAGCAGAAGCTCTCCAGGCTAGGTTCACCCTGGACCATCCGTCACCCACCATTCTCCCCACCCGGAAACAATACTCGATAATACCCCAGCTGTTTGTGTCTTACGGCTGGGGCCCGCTGGGAAAATAAAAATCTAGTGTGTTTTCTCCCGATTGTAAATAATCTTTAAAATGTTGTAAAAACCTGTTTCACCGTGAGGATTAAAAATGATTGTTGTGCGTCTTTGGAAAACAGTTAATTCACAAGCTGTCCTGCTGTTTAATAAAATAACTTTCAAAGAATGCATGTTTTATTTGTGTTTTTTAATGACATTGGCAAATTATAGGATTTTGTAAGTGAACAATTTTAACTTTGGTTTGGTTACTTTCTTACAGTTGTCCTGTTGTTAGATATTGTAGTGAATTGATACCTTTATCAATGTTTCCCTAACCTTTTCTTTAGAGTACTACTTAAAAACGAGACAAGAATGTGTGTGTTGGGCCGATTTGCACATTCAAATTTATAATCCGCGCCAAACATAGAGGTCAAATGGTCAATACAAAAGGTTGCTTATGGATTTAATTAATTTAACAAGTTCCAAAATTCCTAAGTGGACAAGAGTCTCCACTAATTCATCTTCTAATCCATCCACTGTTAATCATCTTATAACAGTTTAACATTACTGGGATGTATGAGTTACAGTTGTATTGGAAATTTACAGTAGACGTGGCAGTGAAACTTTCAGAAACCAACTATTTCATGAAAAATACAGCAAACTTAGACAGTATAATTTTCAACACTGTGCATATTAGCATAAGCAATTAATTTCTAAAATACAAATAACACAAACATTTACTTACAAACAGAAGGTTGACCATGTGGTCAACCTTTAATTGCCATATATGTATATGGTATGTGTATGTACACATACCATATACACATTCGCACTCAGGGACGATTATAAAAAACTTCACCTGCAGGGATTATTGTAGGCTACTGAGAGAACATTATTTCAAAAACGGCGTTTCTATGTTTGAAAAATTAATTCCACTAGTTTTGAGCTGGTAATTTAGATTCTGCTTCAAAATTGAATACTAATTAATAAATTAATTTGGTTAAAACGTTTGACAATTGCTATCAAATTGACGCACGTGCAATATTTTCCTAAAGTTAATTTCTGAGCTACAAAACGATAATTAATGAATGTAAGAAAATTGTCAATGTGTCCGACGACCAAGACAAGGTTTGCCTCCAAAGTGCAGCATGCCCGTTGTGACCTCTCGTTTCCAACAGCTGTTATATATCCTTCTGCGTCCGTCCTTGATTTTGACCATTTGACCACGATGTTTGGCTGTGCAACCATTTTAAATTTGAATGTGCAAATTGGCACAGCGTACAGCTTGGTCAGGCAACTGAAGAGATGTATTTATTATTTATCACTTTTCTAACTGAACCATTTTCCAACCATGAAGTACGAACCTTTCCTGAGAAGGGCATATTTTCACAGTTGATGATATCGATCTCGAAGTACTAAGCACCAGGTAAGGGGTTTTCAAAATATGACTTATATTACTTCAGAGCTATTATTTTTGAACAGTTGCTTTTTTAACACTTAAAAAAAAAAATCAGTTGTTGGTTCGAATTTCTTGTATCCTAAACAGTTGCATATGAGCAATGAACTAATGCTGTCACCAGCCCCAACAATTCTGGCAAATACAAGGTGGCGCAAAAAGGATGGTCGGATTTGAACTGGGTAGTACTAGTAGTTGGTGGAGGGTCGGGACCACTGCCAGCCGTCTTCAAGTCGAACATAAAATCCAATTTGTAGCGAGATGGCGCAGTAGACAGTCGAGCACCGCGTTTTTGCTGTGGAACAGTTTTTTTCAGAAACATATACAAAGTCTGTTTCAACAACATTTTGGTGTAGCCCGTAAGGGACTGGTTCCTGATCTCAGATATCATGTTGGGTGACTGCATTTCGGACAACAGGGTCCGTCATGAGTAGTAAATCTACTAGACGGCAGTTACTCCACAAAACATAGAGAACATAAGAGCGTCAGTGATTCAAAGTCCACTACGATCTTTTTATACTTACTGCTTACTGCCATGGTCACTTGTACCCTAGCTGGTACTTGGCCTCGCCAACACGCTGTCGCCAATAGTCTCGGTCCCATGCATCTTCCTCTACAAGCCTCATCCTTTCCAAATCTTTTCGTACTTGACCCCACCACCTGGCTTTCGGTCTACCTATTGGTCTTCTTCCCCTCGGATTTCCTCTGAGTGCTATCTTCAGTAGACTCTCCTCCTTTCTCCTTAGGATATGGCCAACCCACCTTAATCTTCTACTCTTAACTTCTCCAATGATATCAGGGTCTTGAAATAATTCTCTTAGCTCCCGGTTGTGGCGGATTCTCCATACATCTTCACATACTGGCCCATATATAGTTCTCAAAACTTTGTTCTCAAAAGTTATTATTTTCTTTTCTGAGTTCTTGCTCAGGATCCAATTTTCCCCTCCATATAAAAGTACAGGTCTTACTATAGTTTTGTAAATTCTAATTTTTGTCTTTCTCGTTAAAAGTTTTGATTTCATTAGTTTACTGCATCTTTTTATGGTTTTTTATTTTTATTTTTAAATTTGTATGTTTTGATTGACATAGCCTACTACCAACGTTGAACTTACAAGGTTATTTTTTGTAATGGTGCATTTGAAAGTGTCCATAAACGTAATTAATTCAGTAAAATTTATGTGTAAAATAATTTGCGTAGTATTCATTTCAAAACCAACCCTCCTTTTTGCACCACCCTGTATTACTTTCACTCAGTACATCGTCGCATACCACTATAGGCCTCTGTGTACCACTAGTGGTATGCCTACCACAGGTTGGGAAACACTGTCTACACTAACTACACAAAATGCACATTTTAATCTTGAACTTTGATAACAAAACACACACAAAGTTGAATATAAACCCTGCTGATCACTTAACACATTTCAAAGCTTCACGTATATAAAATTTTTGAAAAACTATAAAACGATAAATTGAATAAAATGTAAGTGAGTTATCAAGCGATTCATTAAAGAGCTTGATCTGCACAGACCGGTTTTTATTTAATTAATTGCGATAGGATAAAAACAGAAATCCCTACACTTCTAGAAAATGAGGATCAAACCAAAAAGTTTTACAGCTAACTGAACTTTATTATTGCCCAGGTAATCTTAGCGGCGGTTAAACCCAGTTCGGTTAAGAGGGGGTCTCTGTAGAAACACTCACCTATCCAGACAATTTCACTGACTTAACTATGACTGGATATAACAACATAAGTACTGATTATTTTTTTATCTATCAATTCTTTCCCTTGTTTTTGAATTACAATTTCTTAAGATGTGTTTTTAGTGATTTTGTGAACACATCCTACTCTACATACTTGAAACTGGTGAATAATAGGCTAAGATAAGGTATTCTAAAATATTTAGTCCTTAACACGTTGTGCGTCCATACCAGACACAGGAACGCATGGCAATGCCTTTCGTATGTCTTCGTTTTTGCTGTAGCGTCAGTCGAATGCGGACCTATACGACATTAGCGTGTACTTGTTAGTGTATGACTTGCTTTTTGTTTTGGTGTAGGTTGGTAGTAAATTTCCCTGAAAAATCCCCATCTGGCAAGCTTTAAATTTAACTTGATGTCCCGTCATTCTCCCTCCAATTGGCAATACAATCACAATGTGACCGGCTACGTTCCAAGCAGTGCTGCTATTTGTGAGTGTTTTAGCAAACTTTGTCGACTCTCATCGTAAAGCAGAACATCACCGCACGTTATTTGCTATTCGTCAGACCAAAATTTAAAAGCCAATCACACACGGCAATCGGGTTTGTTTGACGCTATGGGCTGCACCGCACTGGGTATACGCCTGCCATTTAATGTGCCGCAGCGAACATGTTTAGTAAAAATATGATCTGAATAAAACTGCTAACTACCAAGATGACATGGAATAATATCATTAAACAAAGCTACCGGTACTAAATAGGATCTAACATTATTTCTGAACAGAGGTGTTTGCAAACAGTAACTGCCAAAAGTAACATCCTGATTGCAACTATTGAACCAGCTGACAGATACCGTACAGTAAATCCAAAGATAAAAACAAAACATTTTCACTTCACATCTTAACATTTACCCCAAAACCATTTCTCTGAATATCGCTATCGGTACAAAAACACAATAAAATTACTTACCATTCATTTCTTTGGTTGCTCGGATGAAATCTTGAGGGTCTTTAAAACTGACAAAACCAAACCCTTTTGTTTTGTTTGTCCTTTTGTCACGCACCACTTTCGCCTTCATGAACGATGGGTATTTACTAAATGCTCTTGTTAGAACTTCGTCCGTAACATCGTTTCCCAGGTCACCACAGAACAAACGGAAGTCGTCTGGAAAATAATGTAACTATCAACGTAATGCTCTAAATATTTTAAGACGGTCAAATTATTTTACTGATTTAAGTCAAAAAAGACTAAAATTCATGTGTCTGGCCCCTGGACTATATCGTTAAAACAATAATAGGTTTTACATACCTCCATCAAATAGACTATGATTTGATTGTATACTACCTACTACCTTTAGTGACTATGATTAATTTAATATTGCTCATCAGCTGCTCTCGTTGGTCGATTTGACGGAGGTAGCCTATGTAAAACCTATAATTGTCTTCATAAAAGACCATCATAAACGGTGAAGAATCGAGTGTTTGGAATCTATATTGCAGAAATCATAGCCTACTCATATTTTTTTAGTAGTGATCAAAAACAGTGTTCACGTTCATATTCAGAAGATATAGCTTAAAACTTTGTTTACTAGAGCCAGATTAACTACACTATTGTTTATGTGTAAAGATTAAATAATACGGGGAGTTGTATTTTAGGCCTATATGAGAACAGTTTTTGGAAATGCTGTGCAAATAGGCTGTAAAGGTTTCAAAGAAAACAACTTGTTCTATCCTACAAAAGCACAAATTAGCCCTAAGTCTGTGTTTTTGATCTTGTGATCAGTATTTTTTTTTTATGTGGTGGTTTGTGGGAACCTGGAAACGACCCATAGGCTGAGTGCAGGTACAATAATGTTAAAGTAAAAAAGGATCTTAATTTTTTTTCAAAATCGGGGTTTTTGTTGAAGTAATCATAATTAGCGTATTTAAGACTGCTTCATTGTTATTGGTCTTTGTAAGCCTATTATTGGCCAAAATTTGGCAGATTTACTTAGGTAAAAGGTTTTAGGCTTGTTGGAGGCACATGGAAGAGAAAAATTCCATGTGATGATGGGGGAGGAGGGGAGGCGCAATTATGTCTTGAGTCCATTGCGTGTCATATGCAAACTGAGTAGCGCAGTTTAAATTATAAATTCCTGGACTACTTCTCCAAATAAATCGTGGGTGAAAGTAGCCTACATTACAGGGACAATACGTGAGATGCATTTGTCATGAGAATTGCTAGAAAAATGAAAAATGGTGATAGAGAAGTAGAAAATAAGGAAACCTAGAACATGAATGTATGATGTGTGAGGAACATGGGGAGGTTGAGAGAAAGATGGTCAAGGAAGAGATACTATTTGAAGACCAGATGTAAAATAAATTTAATGAAAGATATATGAATCACATATAATAAAGATAGACATCAGTTATTAGTTATTATGTTTGTGCTAGCAAAGGATAACAGGGAATTTAAAAGAACAAGAAAACTTTGTTATTCAAGCTTTAAGCTGTATACCACTGTTATTATTATCTTCTCTCTTACCAGAGAAGTGTACTTTGAGAATGAGTGAATTGATAGGATATCATTTTGAAGACCACGGCACAATTACACTTCCAGAGGGAGATTTTTGGTATAACTTTGAATTATCTACGAGAGATCTTATTATTTGCTACTACAGTCCTCACCATCTTCCCATTCAGCCAACGAAGTATCTTCCCACGTATGTCCACCCGCAGTCCTGATGAACTTCTTGTTCTTTTTGTCTTTCTTCTTCTGGTTGCTTTGGTTCTGTGGACTCACCGCGTCTTGCGCTGTTGAAACAACCATTGTAGCTTTCACTTTCTCCGCCATCTCTTTTGCACTGGACTTTTGTTTCTTGTTCTTCTTCTCCTCGTTTTGCAGCTGTTCAGCTAGTTCCAACGGATATTCAGGACCGACAGTCACTTGCTTGGCTGGCTCATCTGACCCTCCTGCGTTGTACTTCTTTGGGGCACCACTGTCAACATCAGACATTCAGAATATGTTAATTCAATTGAGGTACATGAAGAAAGGGTGAAAACCCTGTTCATACCTCCAAAATAAATCAGTTGAGAAGTTTACTGTACCTGAAACTTACAGGAACCCATGATTTTCTTGTCTGAAGTTTATCATTAACACCTTACCAAAACAAAAAGATAACCAGTACACAGTTCTGTACACAGTACAAAAGAACCCCTTATACTTTTACTTTAATACTTTCAATGAAATGACAACCATACAAAGTAGGTATTTTAAGCAAAGTATGAATGGAGATGAGTGTAGGATGAGTGGAGCGATCTTGCAGTCTTGTTAGTGACTAAGGCTGACAAATTCCTTAGACACAGCTTAATTAATAGCCTATACAGCTAATGGCAACTAAGGGACCTACAGTTTAGAGTGGAATCCAAACCACATTTTTGCCTTGGTATTAACGAATTGGTCTAATTGTCAGGATAGTACTTCGGATAGTCGTAGTACTCACTAGTGCGGACGTTAATCCACACCAAGGAGTAGGGCTATTGTAACCACAGTGCATGCCTTTAAGTATCCACAATTCTTGACCTCCTAGTAGCTGAATTACAGGAAATCGCCACCGTTCCAGTCAATATATCCGACCAAGATAAGACTAAGCCATGGTCGGAATGTCAAACATTTTGGATATTGCAAGGAGCAAAAAAAAACTCTCTTTACAAGTAGGGCCTACTAACAAAACAGTTAATTTACTGTATTTCAAAAGAAATACAAAAAATCTTATACATAGCCCTAACAATGAACACATGTTGTAGTAAAATAATCTTCAGTCAAAATTGTGAGTAATGAAGGTCTACTGTACCAGTAATTGAAAAGATTTATTCATTGAATATGATAAATTATTACTATCTTTAATAGTGTACGCCTACTGCATCATACCGGGTGGAAAAAAGACCTGGGACAGTTAAATATTTAAAAAAGTAATAAAGATAGAGCTCCAAAACTAGGTACACTATTACTGGACATTAGAATAAATTTAACACATTATTCAGTGATGCATTACCCCTTCAGGGCCGGCCCACTTTACTTTTTTTCAATACTTTTTAATGAAATGGTGACCATGCAAAGTAGGTATTTTAAGCCAAGTATTAATGGAGATGAGTGTAGGATGAGTGGCTCGATCTTGTAGTCTTGTTAGTGACTAGGGAATCTGAAGAAAATCTAAAATGTAACCATAGGTTAATATGCACAAAGTTCTTTGTAAGTAAATAACAATGCCGCAAACTCGAACCCAAACAGACACCCCAAGTCCAAAATGACAGGTATTCAAAGACGTATTGAATTTGCAATGTATTATGCTATCTCCTCAGGAGTCGCAGGCTAAAAGTCGGGAGAAAATCAAAAACACTTATGCAAAGGTCAATATGCACATAAAATTAAACGGCTTTATTAGTAGAATACAATGCCGCAAATGTGAGCTCAAAATTACATGGCAGCAGCTGCAACTTTTGATACAATTGTCCGTTTGAGTTCAAATTTTTTCATAAGAGGTATTCTACTAGTAAGGGCCTTAGTTTTATGTGCAAATCAACCTATGCTTTAAGATTTTCTTCTAACTCCTAGCGTGCCCCCACTGAGGAGGTAGTGTATCACTGAATAATGTGTTAAAATTATTTTAATGTCCAGTAGCTATTTAAGTTTTTAAGCTCTATATTTATTACTTTATGAAATATTTAGCCATCCTAGAACTTTTTCCCACTCTGTGTACATCACAATGTCACGATTTTATCGTGGTAAAATTGTGATCATTTCCCGTGGTTAAGGAAAAATCATTGTCATCTAGCGCAATTGGGGCAAAATCCTGGATAAATCCCGTGGTCATGGAAAAATCATCATCCTTTATTGCAATTGCGACAAAATACTATCTTCCACTGGCTTAACTAACATCATCGAATTCCGCCATTGCCGAAAAATCCTGGACTTCTGCTTCTGCCATGATCGTATCTCTAACATAATCGTCTTAGGTGACTCGGTAAAATGTAGAACATTGTGCCATGGGCAGAAAATATTATCATAGTCTCCTGCGATCACTCAAACTTTATTGTTGTCATTCCCAAATTGCGATAAAACTGTGAAATTTCTATTTTGTACGATCTTTGAAGAGGAGTTTTGCAATTTATTGCGATTGTGTTTTGACTTAGCTTTAAATCTCTAGCTAATTATCTTGAGCTAGTAGGCTCGGCTCGGCTCAAAAATTGAGCCTACTTTTGGAGTTATTGGATTGGCGCCTACATTGTTGCACACCTGTTTTAGATATGTACGGTATAGCTTTTATTAGGACCTAACGTCGGATATTCCACGGAGTCTGTTATGCAAAAGGTCGAGTATGACGGGTTTCACTGTAGTTAACTATTAGATCTTACATCCTAATTTCAACATCACATTATTAATGTTTGTCACTCTATACAGTTATACTATTCATTTTGGCCTATCATAATTATCATGGTTAACTTGTTGATCAATAAATCCGACGTATTGAATTCAGAGATTAAAACTATGCAAATCAGCTTAAAAAACATTGACATGATTTATTTTCTCACCTGAGAACAACTGGGCCTTGTGAAGACTGAACTTTGGCTTGAACAAACTCTGGAGGAGGAGGGATAAAGCCGGGTCCTGGTCCCAACATAGGTCCTGGACCGTGAGGTCCCATCGGCGGCATTGGACCTCGGCCCATGGGTCCATGACCCATTGGTCCCATAGGCCCAGGCCTCATAGGTCCTGGTCCCATAGGGCCTGGTCCCATTGGTCCTTGTCCCATGGGGCCTGGTCCCATAGGTCCTGGTCCCATTGGTCCTTGACCCATAGGTCCTGGTCCCATTGGTCCTGGTCCCATAGGGCCTGGTCCCATAGGGCCTGGTCCCATTGGTCCTGGACCCATTGGTCCTGGTCCCATATGTCCAGGACCCATAGGTCCACCCATCGGTGGCATTGGTCTAGGTCCACCAGGTCCCATTGGTCCAAAGCCCATGGGAAATCCTCCAGGAGGACCAAACTGCATTGGTGGTCCTGAACCATCCATGGCTGAAATATACATTAAAAATTCTGTTATTTAGAGCTGATAATGTTGAAAATTTTGCATTTTATACAACTTCAAACATAATAGATTGCTTGATACAGCTATTAATTGCAAAACAGAATTCCTCTAATGTCTTTCAATATGATACAAAGATACAATTCAATGGAAATAGTCAATTGTGCTACACTCCAACCTTTAGGCCTACAATAATGTCAATCCAAATAAAAGCAAATGATTTTTTCTCTAATTTAAAAGCTCTAACATTTGAAAAAATCTGTAAGAACAGACTATTCGTTAAATTTTATTACAGATCATAAGTAGCCTATTATGATAATATTTTGCATAATAAATGGAGCAGTAACAATAAGAAACAAGTGATCTCATTTAAAAAATTGTGTATTGACAAGAAAAGCTATGTTTACCTGAGGTATATTTTAGTTGTTTGTATACTCACGCATAGGACCGCCCATCCTCTGTACCTGCGGAGGTACAAACATCGGCGGGGGAGGAGGAGGAGGTGGTATAATGCCGGGGCCAGGAGCAACATGTTCAATCTTGTTCAACTGTGCCTGCACTGTGTTGAAGGTGTTAGCTCCTATCACAGGTTGTATCGCAGGTTTGGGAGGACTTGGAGGTAATGGCAAGTTTGGCAGACCGATCTCCTCTTCAAACCTAAAAACAATATTTTCAATTAGGCCTAAACTTGTGTTTTAATCAACCTACTACTTATAAGTATGAAATGTACCTACATGAATATAACATGCTACCCAATAGTAAAGTATAATATGGTTAACTGTGTATCATGCTTATTTCACAGCTATCTTATGTACGGCTTGGTACTTCGAGGCCACTCATCAGCAGCACAGGACATCTTACTTCTCCAGAAAAAGCTTTAAGAATTAATAAGCAATTGAGTAGGACATATGATTCTGTCCCTACTAAAGGGTAATTTAAGAGCTCATAATATGAGAGAGGAGGTGCATGAGTAGGCCTACTATAATAGGAAGGCCCAAAATATCCACTTTCGCCGCTGCCATCTCTGTCGTACCTCGAGTTGCTATCCTTGTTCAGTAATTAAAATCTACAATGCTCTGCCTACCCAGATGAAGGAGATGGATGCACCTTCCTTCAATAAGGCGCTGAAAGGACTAGTAAATAGGCCGCTGTACTCCCTAAAAGAACTTAAGGATGAGTCCCTCGTGAGATAGTGTATGTCCCCCATGCCATCCGTTAAACAGCCCAGTTTTTTATAGTAGCCTAACTTATGGTTTTTGTAAGTATTGTATATATAGTTTTATTTTACAGTATTCTTATAAATTATGACACAATCTATCAGACTACATCTGGCAAAGATGCATAATTCAAGTATACAAGTAAAAAACATTGATTTTTGCCTGAACTGTGTAATCTGATGGTAATTCCCTCCCCTGACTGACATCTGTTCCTTGTGAACAATGAAAATTACAACAACAAAACATTACTAATATACCGGTAGGCCTACTTATAATTATTTATGTCCTGTTGAGAAGAAAACCAAATTATCGTTGCTCTGCCGAGCTACCTTAAATTCAACCTATTTTTTTATTTGAGATGGTTAGTTACCTGTAAATAATTGATAGGCTACCTATAGTATTTTGGGTATTTTCCTGTTTAAGGGAACATTCATTATTATCAATAACTTTTTTCTCAACATAACTTATTGATACTTCTTTTTTTTATCCAATATATCGATAACTTACTAACAAATTGAAAAATATCGATCAGCTGACTACTACGTTAACCCTTTGAGTGCCAACGTCCGGGGAACCGGACGTTTTAAAAAAGAGCCAAAAGTGCCGACGTCCGGCCGACCGGACGTTTTTAGAACGAGCCAAAAGTGCCAACGTCCGGCTGACCGGACGTTTCGTAATGATCGAGCAGTTGTCATAACAACCGAATGGATACTCGGATTCTTTTAACCCATATATTAACATTGAGTCGAAAGTGGTAATTATGTCGACCTCCAGTCAACGCTCTAAAAATTAATTTTTTTTTTTAATCTATTCGTTTTTTAATGCTGATTCCAAAAATGATATTCATTTTTTGCGGAAACGTCCCGTTTTCCCGGAAAATGGGAAAAACGGGAAAAAATCTTTTTTGCCCAAAACCCATGTTGTGGGTACTCAAATTGTGCGGAATTTCCTCCTGAACAAGAATATGTAAGTTTTATTATCGATCGGACCACTATTAAGTAAAATATCACCGGAAAAGCGACCGCGCTGGCTACTTATGTAGGCTACTGCCGCGTGGGGATAGCATTGCGGGTGACTCTAAGCCATTGTAGAATGCGGGCTTTATTTTGGGTTAGGATTGGTTAGGTTAGGTTAGGTTAAGACTAGGTTAGGTTAGGTTAGGTTAAGTTAGTTTAGGTTATGTTAGTTTAGGTTAGGTTAAGTTTGATTATGTTAGGTTAGGTTAAGTTTGGTTTGGTTAGGTTAAGTTAGGTTTGGTTAGGTTAGGTTAAGTTTGTTTAGGTTAGGTAAGGTTAGGTTTGGTTAGGTTAGGTAAGGTTAGGTTTAGTTAAGTTAGGTTAGGTTAATTAGTTTAGGTTAGGTTAAGTTTGGTTAAATTAAGTTTGGTTAGGTTAGTTTAGTTTATCAATAACATGAGTTTTGTAAGTAAATGGACCTAAAATTGTGGAATGCGGGCTTTATTTAAGGTTAGGTTAGGTTAGGTTGAGTTTGGCTAGGTTAGTTTACTTACAATACTCATGTTATTGATAAACTAACCTAATCTAAACTAACCTAACCAAACCTAACCTAACCAAACCTAACCTAACCAAACCTACTTAAACTAACTTAACCTAACCAAACTTAACCTAACCTAAACTATACTAACCTAACCTAACCAAACTTACCTAACCTAACCTAAACTAACCTAACCTAACCAAACTTAACCTAACCTAACCTAACCTAACTTAACCTAACCTAACCAAACCTAACTTAATCAAACTTAACCTAACCTAACCTAACCAAACCTAACTTAATCAAACTTAACCTAACCTAACCCAACCAAACTTAACCTAACCTAACCCAAAATAAAGCCCGCATTCTACAATGGCTTAGAGTCACCCGCAATGCTAGCGCCATGCGGCAGTACATAAGTAGCCAGCGCGGTTGCTTTTCCGGTAATATTGTACTTAATAGTGGTCCGATCGTAATAAAACTTACATATTCTTGTTCAGGAGGAAATTCCGCACAATTTGAGTACCCACAACATGGGTTTTGGGCAAAAAAGAATTTTTCCCGTTTTTCCCATTTTCCGGGAAAACGGGACGTTTCCGCAAAAAATGAATATCATTTTTGGAATCAGCATTAAAAAACGAACAGATTTTTAAAAAAAATTAATTTTTAGAGCGTTGACTGGAGGTCGACATAATTACCTCGAAAGTTACTAGATGAGATACATCGATTTTCGTTGGTCGAAATATCGAAAATTCGATTTTTACGAAATTTTAACCTAAAAATCGCCAGATCACGCTCGGCATTTTTAGCGCGACCTTCGGGAAAAATCATCGGCATTTTTTGAGCGTTACTTTTATTTCTCGCCTGGCACTCTAAGGGTTAAATAAATATTGTTCAGTATCAACAAAAACAATAATATTGAAATTAAACTGTTCTAAACTAACCTAACATAGGCCTAACTAACCAAACTTGTTGTAGGCTAACATTTAAAAATTCTATTTGATATTCTCCACTTGCCTTTTCTGTTTATAGTCCTCGCCACCCTAAGTTGAGGCAGCCAAAGGCCGCACGGCGTATACCTAGTACGGCCTTTGGCTGCCTCAACTTAGGGTGGCGAGGACTATAGTTACCTATCATGCTAGGCCTAAATCAATCCCGGATGGGAACTAAGTTAGAACCTGAAGGAGGAAAAATGTCAGTTGGATATTAATCCAATGACAACAAAAATGATGTCCGGCCTACCTCACATGAGGTTACCATTATATACCTACCTACCCTAGTAATATTTACAAGTTCGGGGTGGAAGTGTGGATTGTTCCCTTACATAACTTGATGAAAGAAGAATAGCCTACCAATGGTGTAGGTAGGCCTATGCCTAAATATAGACCCTACATGAAAGAAAAACAAAATTGACTAGGCCACCAGCACAATGTAGGACTAGGCATACCGGTACTCAACGCAAACATGTAACTAGGCCTACTACTAACTTAGGTATCTAAGTCGAGAATTTCTTCAATGTGCCTAAAAAGGTTAAATTACGCCCAGCCCTAGAATAAGTTGGCTAGCTTAGACTGTTAGTTGTAGGCCTAGGCCTAATTACCTGTTCATTTCATCCTCCATCATTTTCAGTTTTTCGTCGTTTAGTTCACTCATTGTGTACGTTTATATTAAATTCAGTGAAAATTGTAAACAAAATGCCGTTATAAACGTCTTGATTGATATTAATAAAACGTTTAGAGCACGATTTCCAGTGCGACAGAGGTTAGTTTATCTCTCTGACAGTAGTGACAGTCTGACAAACTACACCCATCCATAAACAAAAACATTGATATTTTTTTACTTCACTTCCACTACTCCAGTGACTCGACTGGGACTCGACTTCATTCGACTGACCTTTGACTCCAGTCCAGTCCAAGTGCAAATAACAATAACAAGGCTCAAGGCTCAACGCTTGTCTCATCTAGTCCACTGAGCTATAAGAATGTTATAGCTCAGTGATCTAGTCTAGTCTTAGTCTTCTTCTTAGTCTTAGGCCTGGCGCACACGGTCGATTTTTCGATCGGCCGATTAAAAAATCGGCCAAAAATAAATCGCCCTTGATTTATGTCTAGGCGCACACGTGGCGATTTTTTAGTCGAGAAATGGATTTTTTTGAGTGCGTTTAAGCTATCCTAAAATGGACTTTGTTGAATTAACCTGTCTTTGTGCTCTTCTAATCATACCAAAGAAAAAAAGACAACTTAAATATTGGGTTCATTCAATAGTAAGTCAGAGACTTTTAAATCGACAGTTTTATAAACTATACACTTTACGTGATGACAGTAAAAAGTTCTTTAATTACTATTGAATGTCTGTTGAAAGTTTCAGTTTTTATTATAACAGATGTGGCCTTTTTTAGCAAAGAAAACAACACAACTCACACTGAAGTTCACCGACTCCTGTGGAGAACAACAAGCGGCTGGCCGATTATTTAGTCGACCGTGTGCGCGGACTGATAAGGCTAGGCGCACACGAGCGATTATTTTGAGGCGACTATTTCATCGGCCGATCTGTACATCATGTATTTGAATGGAAGCGCGCACACAGGCGATCGAGAATTGCGCCGATTTTAAAATCTGGGTTTTGCCACAGATTCGTAGGCGAGGCGATTGTCGCCCGAAAATCTGTAACGTACAGATTGTTATCAGTCCGCGCACACGGTCGACTAAAAAATCGGCCAGTCGCTTGTTGTTCTCCACAGGAGTCAGTGAACTTCAGTGTGAGTTGTGTTGTTTTCTTTGCTAAAAAATGCCTAAGCTGTTATAACAAAAACTAAAACTTTCAACAGACATTCTATAGTAATTAAAGAACTGTTTAAATAGTAATGAAGAAATAGTAATGAGAAATAGTAATGTTATTGTTATAATAGGTGAGATTGTGTAGTGAGATTGTGTACTTCAGATAGGTTCTCTCCAGTTCATGAATTCTTTAACAGAATAGAAGGGACGTTGGGAAAGCCACTGCTTCAGGTGAGATTTAACTTGTTTGGGACACACAGACTTCAGTTCTTCTGGTAGAATATTGTAGAATCTGGCTCCGGCGTAGGAAGGTTTCATCTCGAAAAACTTCCTGTGATGAAAGGGCAGGTTGAAATCTCCAGCATGTCTGGTGTTGTAGGAGTGAAGATGGCCATTTCTTTTGAGGCTTCTGGAGCATGCGGAGTCCACAGCTTCTAAGATGTATATGGCTACAACAGTGAGTATTCCCCAATCCCTGAAAGTCGTTCTGCAGCTATCTCGCCAACCCAACTTTGCCATTGTTCGTATGGCTCTCTTCTGGAGAAGTAGGACTCTTTCCAGATTGGCGCAGGATGATCCTCCCCAGAGGGATACTCCATAGTTCATGTTGCTCTCGAAGAGAGCGTGGTAAGCGACTCTTGCTGTTTCCAATGTACTGGAGGCCATGACTCTTCTGATTGCGAATAATGCGCTACTTAACTTCATGCAGAGGATATCTACATGGGGTATCCATGTAAAAGTGGAATCGATGGTCATCCCTAGATGTGTTGTAGAGCTCACGGTGTCAAGGTTCGGCAAGCCAGGAAAGGGTTTTTTACCGAAAGTCAGTTGCTTGGTCTTGTCTTCGTTAAACACAAGGTTGTTATTTTGACAGTAGTCTAATGCAACATTCAGAGCAATGTAGGATTTGACTTCGAGATTTTCCAAGGACTTGCTGGAGGATACGATTACAGAATCATCTGCGTACATAAAGCACTGTCCATAAGCGTTGACACATTCTGGTAGGTCGTTGGTGAAGAGAATGAACATCACTGGCCCCAAGACAGAACCTTGAGGGACGCCTCTTGTGACAGGAAGTGGGCTGGATCTAATCATCTTCGATACTTTTCCGTCTGTCCGGTGGATTTCAACTACTTGCTGTCTGTCTGAAAGGTAGCTAGAAAACCATTTCAGGGCAATATTTTGAATTCCCAAGGCTTCTAGTTTTGACAGGATCAGATCATGGCCTAAGCAGTCAAATGCCTTGCTTAGGTCAATGAAAATTCCGGCGACGGTCTCCTCCTCTTCTAGGCAGTCTATCACATGTTCACAAAGGTCCACCAGAGCTGTCATAGTTGAGCGGCCTTTGATGAAGCCGTGTTGTCTTTTAGTCAGGAGATCATTTGCAATCATGTATTCAAGTAGCCTGGATAATACAACCTTCTCCACTATCTTAGATACTGTCGGCACCAGTGATATTGGCCTGAAATTGCCAACTTCATCCCTTTTCCCTCGTTTATGTAAAGGGTATATCTTTGATTGTTTCATTTTTAAGGGGAAGACGCCTTGGGCCAGGGATAGATTTGATATATGAAGAATGGGCTGAAGTAATTCGTTTTTACAATGCTTGACCATTCTTGATGATATGTCATCCAAGCCAGTTGAAGACTTAGACTTCAACGAGTCTATGATAGTTTTTAATTCCAGTTCGTGAGTTGGCATGAAGAACTCTAGTTTTGAATTAACAGCTTCTTCCTTGGGCAGTTGAAGTGATTGAGGCGCAGGGTTGTCCAAGCCTAGGGTTTTGTCTGCAATCGTTGCAAAATAATCGTTAAAGTGTTGAGCAATTTTTTGAGGGTCCTCCTGGCGGGTATCATCTATTAGAAGGGATTTAATTTCGGCCTTTGTAGGTTTTGTGGATTTCCGCTCTTCATTTATAACATCCCATACAGCTTTGCTCTTGTTGTCAGAGTTCCGAATGCGCTCCGCATTAAAGTCTCGTCGAAGTGAATTCAACTTCAAGTCATATGATTTTTTCAAGTTATTGGCTATTAACTTGTCTTCTGCACGCCCAGTTAAAATATAACGGTTGTTTGCCGCCAAGAATCTTTGTCTAAGCTCTTTAGCACCTTCATCATAGAAACATTTATTATTTTTGTTTTTCTTGGCTCTTGATTTTCTGTATGGACAGGCAAGATTGAGGTTTGTGGTAACGATGTGCATGAACTCGTTGTAGGCCTCATCAACGTCATGTTTGTTGAGTACACTTTCCCAAGTTTCTTGAGAGAGCTGAACCTTCAGCTGGTCAAGATTACGCGCGGTCACCATCCGTCTGGTGTGACTTGATTGCTTGGGGATAGTCGTAGATATGCGTATGGAGCATAACTGTCCGGTATGATCGGAGATGCCGGTGTTGATCACTTCGACATTGATCAGGTCCAGATCAAGGTTTGTGCAGACCGCGTCAATGGATGTAGAGGAAAAAGTCGAGATGCGAGTTGCAGGTAAATCAATTCTCTTGCAGTCGTATGATGTCAAGATTTCTGTCAGCAGCCTCTTCTCGGTCGAAGGCTTGAGTCCATCGATATTGAGGTCTCCAATGACCAGGGTGGATGAGTTGAATACAGGAAAGGTGTCAATAATTTCATCAAGAAGGTTTAGGGCTTGTTTAGTTTGATCCAGAGTGTCTGCGGGTGGTCGGTAAACTCCCAGTATGTACAGATATTTTGAACCACAAAGGCGCATCTTTACGGCTGCTACTTCACAGATAAGTGGTATGCTGTGACCCTCTACTTCCAAATCAAAAACTTCGTTAGATAGCTTGTCATTTTTGTAGATGGCTACCCCACCTTTGTTGAGGTTGTTTCTTCCAAAGGAGGCTATCAAAGTGTAGTTTAATAGTCTTGTGTTCATTATTTCCTCGGGTGAGTTACCATGTTCAGTAAATACTGCTATATCTGGATTTAGCATGTGAAGAAGATGGTTGATTCTATTTATTTTATTGTTGATCCTGTCTGTGTTTTGATGCAAAATCTTTAGAGGCTTCTGTGTGGAATCTTTGAATTTTGTTTTGGTTGGGATACTCCTAAAAAAGAACTGTCTTTTTTTATTTCATCAGGTGGAGATACAATGGTCCCATCATAAGTCTGTCTATTGTTGTTTGATGAGGAAATTGAAGCAACATGTACAGCTTTAGCAAGTGGTGAATGTTTGTTAGTACATGCGGTAGTTTGCAGATCATTGGTATCGGACATTTTAAAAGTAGTGTAGAATTGAATGTATTTTGAGTAGAACTCTTCTATAGATTCATTGGGTGGTCGTATAATCGCGTTCAACGTAAAGTGTTGAGTTTATAAAACTGTCGATTTAAAAGTCTCTGACTTACTATCGGATGAACCCATAATATTTAAGTCGTCTTCTTTTTTTCTTAGATCTAATTAGAAGAGCACAAACACAGGTTAATTCAACAAAGTCCATTTTAGGATTGCTTAAACGCACTCAAAAAATCCATTTCTTCACTAAAAAATCGCCACGTGTGCGCCTATACATAAATCAAGGGCGATTTATTTTTGGCCGATTTTTTAATCGGCCGATCGAAAAATCGACCGTGTGCGCCAGGCCTAAGAATCTGTACGTTACAGAGTTTTGGGCGACAATCGCCTCGCCTACGAATCTGTGGCAAAACCCAGATTTTAAAATCGGCGCAATTCTCGATCGCCTGTGTGCGCGCTTCCATTTAAATACATGATGCACAGATCGGCCGATGAAATAGTCGCCTCAAAATAATCGCTCGTGTGCGCCTAGCCTTAGTCATCTTCTTCTTTTTTATTGAGTCGTCACCCACCGTTTGCTTCCTTGCTTTGTTTGTCGTTTACTTTGAGGTTATATTGGTGGACAGGATTATAAATTAGCCATATATTGTCGTAGTTAGTTAGTTGGTTATAGTATTTACTCAAAATGGCAGAAACAACGCGTGCAGAACAAATGAAACAAACAGTTGCAAGTAAAGTGAAAGGAATTGACATGTAAGTTTAATAGGTAATAGGTAATCCTATTTTAAGTTTTCCTAATAGACTAGGCCTAGGCTATTGTTAAGTTAGACGTCTACTCACGGGAAGACTGTTTTTCAACTGAAATCGGCAACTAGTTGGACAAACTAGTCGCCTGCCTACCGACCAATGGAGTTAGGTGGGACAGTGCACATGGTGCAACTGCGATGCGACCAGTTGAGGACCAGTCGGCGATCAGTCATAAGCAGCCGGACCTGCCGGTTGGAAGGTGATTTCAGTCGCCTGGTTTGAACAACTTTTCGCATATTTGTATTGCGCTTTTCAAGGATTGGGCATACCAACTGCGATAACTCTATGTAGGCCTAAGTAATTTTTGACATCCTGTTGTACATAGACTGAAATTTTGCAGGTCCGTGAAGTTGGCGTACCCATATTAGCGTATCCACTTTTGATCATACCAATCGTTAGTTCATCGTTAGTTCTCGATAGTTCCCAAATTTTTTCGTTAGTTCTCAAAAAATAAAAAAGTTATAGCCGATTATAAGTGGGTACGCTAACTTCACACTTCCGGGTTATAGCACGCGCCGTTTTCTGAGGAGAAATGTTTACATCTATATACCAATCGTTAGTTCTTCGTTAGTCCTCGATAGTTCCCAAATTTTTTCGTTAGTTCTCAAAAAATAAAAAAGTTATGAGGCATACAAAGTGGGTACGCTAACTTCACAATTGTACAATTTCCAGCGGGAACAGTTTTTTTACTATAAATGCCTATATCTATATACCAATCGTTAGTTCTTCGTTAGTTCTCGATAGTTCTCCAAAATTAACGTTAGTTCTCAAAAAATAAAAAAGTTACGAAGCATAAAAAGTGGGTACGCCAACTTCACAGTTATAGAATTTCCAGCGGGCACAGTTTTTTTACTATAAATGACTATATCTATATACCAATCGTTAGTTCTTCGTTAGTTCTCGATAGTTCTCCAATATTTACGTTAGTTCTCAAAAAATAAAAAAGTTAAGAGGCATACAAAGTGGGTACGCCAACTTCACAATTATAGAATTTCCAGCGGGCACAGTTTTTTTACTATAAATACCTATATCTATATACCAATCGTTAGTTCTTCGTTAGTTCTCGATAGTTCTCCAATATTAACGTTAGTTCTCAAAAAATAAAAAAGTTAAGAGGCATACAAAGTGGGTACGCTAACTTCACAATTGTACAATTTCCAGCGGGAACAGTTTTTTTACTATAAATGCCTATATCTATATACCAATCGTTAGTTCTCGATAGTTCTCCAATATTAACGTTAGTTCTCAAAAAATAAAAAAGTTAAGAGGCATACAAAGTGGGTACGCTAACTTCACAATTGTACAAATTCCAGCGGGAACAGTTTTTTTACTATAAATGCCTATATCTATATACCAATCGTTAGTTCTCGATAGTTCTCCAAAATTAACGTTAGTTCTCAAAAAATAAAAAAGTTACGAAGCATAAAAAGTGGGTACGCCAACTTCACAGTTATAGAATTTCCAGCGGGCACAGTTTTTTTACTATAAATGCCTATATCTATATACCAATCGTTAGTTCTCGATAGTTCTCCAATATTTACGTTAGTTCTCAAAAATTAAAAAAGTTAAGAGGCATACAAAGTGGGTACGCTAACTTCACAATTGTACAAATTCCAGCGGGAACAGTTTTTTTTACTATAAATGCCTATATCTATATACCAATCGTTAGTTCTTCGTTAGTTCTCGATAGTTCTCCAATATTTACATTAGTTCTCAAAAAATAAAAAGTTACGAAGCATAAAAAGTGGGTACGCCAACTACACATCTATAGAATTTCCAGCGGGCACTGTTTACTGACTATAAATGCTTATACTGTATCTATACACCAATCGTTAGTTCTTCGTTAGTTCTCGATAGTTCTCCAATATTTACGTTAGTTCTCAAAAAATAAAAGTTACGAAGCATAAAAAGTGGGTACGCCAACTTCACAACTATAGAATTTCCAGCGGGCACTGTTTACTGACTATAAATGCCTGTATCTATATAACAATCGTTAGTTCTTCGTTAGTTCTCGATAGTTCTCCAATACTTACGTTAGTTCTCAAAAAATAAAAAAGTTACGAGGCATACAAAGAGGGTTCGCTAATTTCACAATTATACAATTTCCAGCGGGCACCTTTTTCTGACTATAAATGCCTATATCTATATACCAATCGTTAGGTCTTCGTTAGTTCTCGATAGTTCTGTAATATTTACGTTAGTTCTCAAAAAAATAAAAAAGTTACGAGGCGTACAAAGTGAGTACGCTGACTTCAAATTTAAAAAATTTCCTGCGGGCACCGTTTTCTGACTAAAAACGCTTATATCTATTTTTACCAATTTTTAGTTCTTCGTTATGTCGTGTTAGTTCCCCAATATTATTACTAGTTCTTAAAAAATAAAAAGGCAATAAGGTCTTAAACGTGGTTATGCCAACCTCAAACCCAAATCATTCCTAGCGTGCACCCTTGTCTGACTAAAAGTGCCTATATCTTAATATTAATCGTAAGATGGGCTCACTCATTTATTTTGTTAGTTCTAAAAAAATTAAATAAATATACGTATAGCCAATAATCAATAGATAAACTTATTTAATGCTTCTGATTTCCAGCGCGCACCTTCATTCAAAGAAAAATGCTTACAGTATACTACTATACAACTAAATAAATATTGTCTCGACCCCGCCATACCCAATACGCCATGCTAGTAATGTGTTGTACACATTTATTCCATCCACTACTCCAGTCTCCAGTTTGTTCAAGTCCGTATGACCTTCCAGTCTCGATCCGTGCAACTGTCACTCGTAACGTGTTACGTTTAATGATGTAATTTTATAATACTAATACCGAACACAAACAAATACAAACAATACAAACGATTAGTTTAATTAACCAAACAGAAGTTCTTTGATCGTACATATTTTATCTGCTTAATCCAATTCAAATAATCACTGCTTATAAATTACTTTATACCATTTTACTTAGCAGACTCTGGTTTTCATTTTGATGGATAGTTTATTTTGTTTCCATGATGGACTTTTTATAAAATGCACTTTTTCACACAACTAAGTAGGTATAAATATGATTTCATTGCTTATCTAAAACCAATTTTTGGAAGCGTTGTCTTTTTTGGATGTTCTAATTAACTGAACATATTCAACTGTTAATCATTTTGATAACGTAATCAAAATTATCACTCCTAAAAAATAATCAAACCGAGTGACACCTGCAACTACTATTGCGGATATCACAGATAAGCGCTATCCTGGAACTGAGAAGCAATCCTTTCTCTTCGAGAGAATCATAATGTGATAGTTATTCTAATGTCAGTGTTACTTTGATTTTCATTGTGTGAAGATGAATCAAATTACAATGCATGGAACTAAAAATTGGTATATAGATTTAAGCGTTTTTAGTCGGAAAACGGTGCCCGCTGGAAATTTTGTAATTTTGAAGTCAGCATACTCACTTTGTATGCCTCGTAACTTTTTTATTTTTTTTTTTTAGAACTAACGTAAATATTGGAGAACTATCGAGAACTAACAAAGAATTAACGATTGGTATATAGATGTAAGCATTTTTATTTAAAAAAAACTGTGCCCGCTGGAAATTCTATAATTGTGAAGTTGGCGTACCCACTTTTTATGCTTCGTAACTTTTTCATTTTTTGAGAACTAACGCAAATATTGGAGAACTATCGAGAACTAACGAAGAACTAACGATTGGTATATAAATATAAGCATTTTTATTTAGAAAACTGTGCCCGCTGGAAATTCTATAATTGTGAAGTTGGCGTACCCACTTTTTATGCTTCGTAACTTTTTCATTTTTTGAGAACTAACGCAAATATTGGAGAACTATCGAGAACTAACGAAGAACTAACGATTGGCATATAGATATAAGCATTTATAGTCATAAAACGGTGCCCGCTGGATATTCTATAATTGTGAAGTTAGCGTACCCACTTTGTATGCCTCGTAGCTTTTTTATTTTTTGAGAACTAACTTAAATATTGGAGAACTATAGAGAACTAACGAAGAACTAACGATTGGTGTATAGATATAAGCATTTATAGTCAGAAAACGGTGCCCGCTGGAAATTGTATAGTTGTAAAGTTAGCGTTCCCACTTTGTATGCCTCGTAACTTTTTTATTTTTTGAGAACTAACGTAAATATTGGAGAACTATCGAGAAATAACGATTGGTATATAGATATAGGCAATTATAGTAAAAAAAACTGTTCCCGCTGGAAATTGTACAATTGTGAAGTTAGCGTACCCACTTTGTATGCCTCATAACTTTTTTATTTTTTGAGAACTAACGAAAAAATTGGAGAACTATCGAGAACTAACGACAAAATAACGATTGGTATATAGATATAGGTATTTATAGTAACAAAACTGTGCCCGCTGGAAATTCTATAATTGTGAAGTGTGCGTACCCACTTTGTATGCCTCTTAACTTTTTTATTTTTTGAGAACTAACGTAAATATTGGAGAACTATCAAGAACTAACGAAGAACTAACGATTGGTATATAGATATAGGCATTTATAGTAAAAAAAACTGTTCCCGCTGGAAATTGTAAAATTGTGAAGTTAGCGTACCCACTTTGTATGCCTCATAACTTTTTTATTTTTTGAGAACTAACGAAAAAATTGGAGAACTATCGAGAACTAACGACAAACTAACGATTGGTATATAGATATAGGTATTTATAGTAACAAAACTGTGCCCGCTGGAAATTCTATAATTGTGAAGTGTGCGTACCCACTTTGTATGCCTCTTAACTTTTTTATTTTTTGAGAACTAACGTAAATATTGGAGAACTATCGAGAACTAACGAAGAACTAACGATTGGTATATAGATATAGGCATTAATAGTAAAAAAAACTGTGCCCGCTGGAAATTCTATAACTGTGAAGTTGGCGTACCCACTTTTAATGCGTGTAACTTTTTTATTTTTTGAGAACTAACGTTAACTTTGGAGAACTATCGAGAACTAACGAAGAACTAATGATTGGTATATAGATATAGGCATTTATAGTAAAAAAACTGTTCCCGCTGGAAATTGTACAATTGTGAAGTTAGCGTACCCACTTTGTATGCCTCTTAACTTTTTTATTTTTTGAGAACTAACGTAAATATTGGAGAACTATCGAGAACTAACGAAGAACTAACGATTGGTATATAGATATAGGTATTTATAGTAAAAAAACTGTGCCCGCTGGAAATTCTATAATTGTGAAGTTGGCGTACCCACTTTGTATGCCTCTTAACTTTTTTATTTTTTGAGAACTAACGTAAATATTGGAGAACTATCGAGAACTAACGAAGAACTAACGATTGGTATATAGATATAGGCATTTATAGTAAAAAAACTGTGCCCGCTGGAAATTCTATAACTGTGAAGTTGGCGTACCCACTTTTTATGCTTCGTAACTTTTTTATTTTTTGAGAACTAACGTTAATTTTGGAGAACTATCGAGAACTAACGAAGAACTAACGATTGGTATATAGATATAGGCATTTATAGTAAAAAAACTGTTCCCGCTGGAAATTGTACAATTGTGAAGTTAGCGTACCCACTTTGTATGCCTCATAACTTTTTTATTTTTTGAGAACTAACAAAAAAATTTGGGAACTATCGAGGACTAACGAAGAACTAACGAAGAACTAACGATTGGTATATAGATGTAAACATTTCTCCTCAGAAAACGGCGCGTGCTAGAACCCGGAAGTGTGAAGTTAGCGTACCCACTTATAATCGGCTATAACTTTTTTATTTTTTGAGAACTAACGAAAAAATTTGGGAACTATCGAGAACTAACGATGAACTAACGATTGGTATGATCAAAAGTGGATACGCTAATATGGGTACGCCAACTTCACGGACCTAAATTTTGCGTCAGTTTCTTGTAATGCTGGCCTAAATTTCAATTTTAGACACCAGCACATTCTGTGACTGGCTCACAACTACGTTCTTTTTTAATAAAAAATTGGCAACAGCTGGTCCATATAGATATGGGATGTCTTCTTCAGTATAGCTCGTGCGTTTCCTGGTGAAGCCTGGGGGTAGGGTTGAAGCCCCTACAAAACCGGTTGGCTGCACTTTACTTGACGTCCTACACTCATTCGAATGAAAATATCGATCGATATATCGATTAATCGATTGCTTCATTCGATATATCGTTTGGTTAGTTAGGTAAGGTTAACCTAACCTAACTAACCAAACGATATATCGAAAGAAACAATTGAATGAAAATATCGAATCGAAAAAAACAATCGAATGAGTGTAGGACGTCAAGTAAAGTGCAGCCAACCGGTTGTGAGCCACTCTAACCACCTGCCAGGCTTGACCAGGAAACGCACGAGCTCTATCCAATAGTCAAGAGGCTATCAAAAAGTCAACTCTTTTATCAGCTGGCCTAACTTAAATACCTTTTGATTTACGGTAGGCCTAACTTATTCATGAAGATTCTGGACTTAACTTCTAAATATTAAGTAATAAACCATTCCTACCTGACACCTACAGGTACCGACATTTTCTTGGATCCGCCCATCACAAGTTTTTAACAATCAAATCCATATACAATACAAGAAGTAATTGTCGGATAAATAGAACCTTTAATAGGCTGAGTAAAACATTGAAAAGTCATGCTGTTATGTCCGATTATTTTAATAAATTGAGTAGGGCTATTCAATTTTATCCAGGGAGACACTCTTTATTCTTATGTTAATTTTATGACTGGCTCTTAAGAAACCCTTTTTTTCTATTGACGACTTCATGGCTGTAAAGGAAGTTCAGTTTTAGACTCATTATCAAATCAAATCAAAACATACTTTATTTCCAAAAATATTGCAGAATATAAATTATAAACATAACTTCCAGTGAAACAGATTGCTATTGCATAGATAAAAATAATTTAATATAAAAATACATGTAAACTTAATAATAACAACAAAGGATGTAAGGTCTCAGAGAAGCTATGTTACACATATAAGGAAATAAGCCTACATGGGCTGGAAGCCTGTGCGTAGGCTCAGTCGCTATCAGTGACTTAAGTATTTGTTGGAAAACAATAATATTCATAAATATTCAGAAAATCTTAAAAACAAATAATTTAATATAATTGTAAAAATATTCTGAGGCTAAATTAGTGAAATGAGCAATTTGAGGAATGAGGCAAGGCGGAGAGCACAGACATAAATATAGTTAAGAATGTTCGATGTTAGTAATTCAGTTATTGTAGGGTCAAGTCTGCCTATACTCTGCTTTGATTAGGAGTTCTGATTCATCTACACCCCACTCTATCAGACAGCCAGTGATACATTTTTTAAAATAGTAATCGATGGAGAATGAAACAAATGATAAGAATTACAACGGGAGATAACATTACGATATAAAACTTCAGAAATGTAAGAGGAATTTGTTAATGAGTTAGACTTGGATAAATGGGAGGTAGTTATTCCGACATTCTGTGCATATCGGGTATTATAAGAATGTGATGTTTGGTTAAAAATAAATCGAAGTTCTTGAAAACATGAATTGAAAGAAATCTATTAAATAACTGTCTTACACGTAAGGAGTAAGGATAATTCACGAAATAATGTGTTAGTGGGGTATCGAATTGGCTTATTGAAACAAACTTTGAGTAACAACTTCTGAAGGACAAAGAGAGGTTCTAAAACAGTGGGAAAATTATCGTAATTATTTAGTGGGATTATCAGTGCCTAGTTTATTGTTGTTAATCCTTTAATTCTCTATCAACGTTAGTTATAACTTTTTCTATCTCTTGTAACCAGGGCCTTGTCTACTGTTGTTTATATATTTAATTGTCCATCAACGTTTGTTGCAATTGTTAATTTTTATAAGTTTTTTTATCTTAATTTATGTTATAAGTATATTGTTGTTGGTTCATATAATTTATTCTTTGTTAAATTATCGTATTAATTTACAAAATGTATTTATTGTTAAATCACATTCCATACTGTTAGTTAATCCACAGAGCTGACACCTCATAAATGAACATATTAGACATGTTTTCTGTAATGTCTAGCCTGACTGTAGCCATACATGACAATTGTCAATGCATATTTTGTAATGTCCAATGACAAATCAATTATTCTGATTCTGATTCTTAATAGCCCATGAAATTTACATAAAATGTAGACCTATCTATAATTAAATTCAAAGGGCCAAATTATATCAGTAGGCCTACTTGCTTTGTAAATATTTTTGCAGATCCAAGACTGGTCTAGGCCATAGAAGTGCTAACTTAAACGCTCAAGTGTGCTACGTTTTATGCTATTTATATTTACAACATTTACAGGTACAACCCAGATAATCTGAAAACACTAGAAATGTATGTTGAAATCCAAAGCCAAGAGAACGCTTATGACCTGGAAGCTAACCTTGCTGTTTTGAAGCTTTACCAGTTCAGTCAGAATTACGACATTAAGATTACCTGCCAGATACTGATGAAAGCGCTGACCAACTTTCCCCACACTGACTTCATCCTGTGCAAATGCCTTCTGAATGAGCAGCTTGTAAGTTGTTTAATATAATGTTAACAGCTTGCTAACTATATTTTCTCTGCACGAAGACAGCAATATAGGCTAGCTTTGTTATCATTTCATGAAAAAGTTAGGCTACTTAAATTTATCATTAAGTTAGCCATACAACTTAATTGCTCTTTTTTAAAACGTTTAACTTCCCGATGAGCTAGTTAATTGGAACTTAAAGAGCTCACAAATGGATGACAATGCAATATTATACCATTTAATTTTCATATTTCCCTTGGGCTACGCTCTATGGGCTTGTTTTCATTGGCTCGCTTTCTTGTCCGATACAAATTTTGCAATCAATTTTAAAATAACTTCCTGATGAGCTAGAGACTTGAAACTTGAAACATAGCTCACAAATGGATGACAATGCAATATCATATAATTTAATTTTCATATTTCCCTTGGGCTACGCCCCATGGGCTTGTTTTTATTAGCTTGCTTTCTTTTCCATTACAAATTTTGGTATTGATTGTAAACTAACTTTCATTTTGAAAGAATGTAATTGAAGTCAGCTGCGAATACTTAAATTTGACAGTTGGAAGAGCAGAGGTTAAGAGGTACAGGTTCTGCTCCCGAGGGATTCTAAATATACAACATAATTTCAAAGTAAAAAAAAAAAACATTACAGATGAGATATTAAAGTTTTGATTAGCCTATGTATTAACTGTTAATTCATATTTTTTATCTTGGATCATAACATGAAGCTAGTTTTTCACAATCAATTTCATGTCTTCTATTTCATGTTTTAACATCGGACAATTTTTTTAACAGACTAAGGAACACCCTATCAGCCAGATCATCTACCTAGCTGATATCCTTGAGTGTTGTGATTTCCAGCTGTTTTGGGATCAGGTAAGTTACTATCAAAAGATTTCTTAAAATGAAGTAAATGAGAACATCTTTTGTCCAACTACTCTTTAATTTACTAGCAATTTTTAAAAAATCCTCCTGATATAATTGTACATTATTGTTTTCCGATAATTCAGCTTATTATGGGCTAAAACTATAATAAAACATTACATTTTCAGTGCTAATTTAAGCCTTTTAAGGGTAAATTCCCAATAGCTCTTGAGGTATCTGAACAAGAAGATTAAGAATCAAATTTGATTGAAACCCTCAGACATGAAAAAACTTTATTTTGTTTTACATTTTACAGGTGATATTCACTTGCTAATACTTGTTTAAACGTACCGGGATAAGCATTATAAGCATCTAAGGCTGATTTATCAACATCAACCATCAAGAGTGACCAACCAAACCTTCAATTATTTAACTGTAGAGAAACTCAGCAAAAACGGCTATAAACTGCACCTGACTGGGAGTAAACTTACAGAGCTAACAGTACTTTGGTAGACTGTTGGGCCTGTCTATAGGGTTGTATTGTTGACCAGAAGATACCGTATATTGAAGGGTTATGCTATATTCCGTCTTATTACAGAGAAGCAAGGTACAGCGGAAACACGCTTATGGGACGACCGTGCGCTTTCAGTTCTGGTATGTCGTACCAGAAATATAATTGAGACAAGCAAGGAAGATCCTGAGCGTCAAGCACTGTGCGTACCCTAAATTCCTATCACACAGGGTCTTCCTCCACGTGAGCGCTGTGGTACATGATGGCAAGGGGGTGGTGCTGGACTTGCCCTAGACACCAGCACTAGTGCTAGACACCTAAATGTACCATTAATGTTTTCTCAGTACTTTACTTCTCAGAGTCTTAGTCAGGACTGGGCTACAACTTAAGGAGTTCAACTGTTTTTGGTATAGTTGAGAGAAGACCACCTAATATGGTGAATGGCTCAGATAGAAGTTTACTTGATAACACACCTCTGATCATTTTGCTACTTTTTACCTTTGACTTTTACTTATTGTTATGATATGTTTTTCCATCCACCTGAGATTATTCTATAGACTGGAAAATTGTAACTGACATAATAGACAAGTTGAATTATTGTGTAGTGTACATAACAGAATGTGTAAGAACAAATAATAAGCATAATTAAAGCTATTTTAAATCAACAAGAGGGTTACGCTCCTAAGTTCTAAGGATAAAGTTAGGTTCCTATCTTTGACCAATTCACACTTGACCCATTGAGTTTCAGTAAAGCTTATGGACAGTGCCAGTTGTAACTTGTTTTGTCCTCTCAGGTTTACAAGATGTCTGACTTGACATCACAAATCACCGGGTTCCACGACTCTATTCGCAAGTTCGTCTGCCACGTTGTTGGAATCTCGTTCCAGACCATTCAGCGACCGCTGTTGGCCCAACTACTTGGAGGAGTCGATGGTATGTTAACTGTTAATGTAAAAGCATTCTCTATGGCATATTAAAGTTTGGCATTCCTTCATTAAAGACTAAAGGGGTAGAGTGTTTATAAAAATGGTTGAATGATCCGAGTCTAAAAAATCTGTCTAAAATTCCATCTTTCCCTTAAGTTTGTGTTACTGTGGTTGACATAAAAGATGCTTTAGTTAAAAATAAGTACAATCAGTTTGGTTTGGTTAGTAAGCATATTCAACAGAAATAAGTCATCAGCACACTTGTATTTACTCTAAAACTTACCACAGCATGAACATGGAAATGGAATCTCTGCTACAAATCCAATTGTTAAACAAAAGCTTCTAGTGATAAAAGTCTCAACCTAACTAGAATGATTGACATCTTGTTGGGTAAGTGGATAGGTGAGTAATATTTTTTTTGATGTTTTAGACAACGTGCTCAGATTTTGGGTTCAGAAGTACGGATGGAAAGAAGAATCCAACAACATTATCTTCATCGCAAACCAGGATGAAAATGTCAAGACCAAGAATATTACAGAGAAAATAGATTTTGATGGAGTTGCTAGCCTCATGGCTTCATGTAGATAGATATTGTTTTTGTATTTTTAAATACACATTTTCAATCAACCATTAAAAGGTATTATTTCCCTTTGAAGAAGAACCCACTATATTTTAATTTACTGTTTAAAGGAAAGCCTAGTTGTTGATGAACATGATTTTTAACAAAAGTGTTCTGGGGTAGAGTTCAGCTAGCTTACCTAAATGTGAAATTTGAGTCTAGAAGATATTGATACTCAATAATAAGGCCACATAACATGACATGACGCTGATATTATTTCCAAATTATGAATATAGAACTTCACAGAGTACAAATAAAGAGTTAATAAAGAAAAGTATAAAATATAAGTTTTGTTATATCATGACTTGTTTTTGCAAATTAATTAATTAACCTCCGCTGTATTTTCTCGGGTAAGCCAGTTGAAAAAAGTTGTATCCTTTTTTTGAGAAATCCCTTTTGTTTCAAAGTCAGCTATAACTTTCATGGTCATAATTAACGCTTGATGTAATAAATTTTCTTAGGGCCACATTCATTATATACCGGTAAGAATGTTTTAAGAAGTTTCAAAGCATAGTTGGCATCATATGCAGTGAGTCATTTGCTGTGTCTTAGTATGTTTTTAAAAGCTCAACAGAGTGGGGATTTGTATTTAATCTTATATTTATTCCCTATAGAATAATAAAAACCTTTTTAAGAAAAAATCACAACAGTTTCAATAATTTTCAAATCTCATCTAAAATATTCAAACTTTTAATTTTGATCTTTCTTAAATAAACTCAAAATTCTAAACTGACTTATTTTATTTTTCACAAAAAAAGAATTTAAAATTTTATTTTCAATATACTTGACTAGTTTCATCTCTTAAAACATCATGTGAACTATATTGTGAAGTGAGTAACAAAATTGTGAAACAGCGATAATTAATATGAACAGATGTTTGTTGTCACATAACTATCTGGCGAAGCTGACAGACTTGCAAGTAGCTTAGTCAGTTGGTCCACGTAATCCATTATGCCTCTTCAGAAACATTATCTCATTGGAATATGTGTTCTTCTGGTAAGCAATGCTATTATGTTTAACAAAAAACTTAATGTTTGTCAAAAAGAGGAACAGTACTCATTGCAATTTTTTATTTTATGACCCAAAATTTTAACGATTATGTCAGTTGCTCAAAATTGAACTTGATTCACCTTGGTTAGTATCACAGATTAAGTGTATTCCTCTTGTTTTCATCCTTAAAAATGAAAATAGCTGGGAAGCTAAGTTGTTATAGTGCTTGTCTAAAACTGAAAGTCGCTTGATTGAAACTGAGGAATGTCGTTTTTATTTCTTTGAGCTTAGCTAATTTTAAGATGAGCTGCACTTAATAATTATGCTTTAAATCGTCCTGACTGAAAATAATAGCTTAATCTTGATCACACAGATACACAAGGCATCTTACTCACTATTATCTTTCATATTTGGGTATAATACATCTTAGTTGCATCGCCATCACAAAACAGAGATAAAATTGTGAATTGTGATCAGATTAAGTTTCTGTCCTGCATTTTTAGAGCACCTTATAAATCAACTAGATTTGGGTTTTCAGCTTTGAAACTATCATGACCAAATACAATTTGTTTGTAAATTGTTGCTTATTCTCAATCATTGTAGTAACCTAAATGTGCACTCCCTATAATTTACCATAAATGAGGTAAAAAACCATTTAGTTGACAAAAGCACACGTAAGATGTATGGAAATCGAAATAGTCATATATTAATGCTGCATCGAATACCTTAATAGGCTAGTTAAAGTTCTTTATAACAGTCATCAAAGGATGCAAAATTTTGTTTGGCAACATTCTTGTTAATACTTAGTTTCCAAATTACTTTGATTGACAATCATAGTCATCTTTTGAGATTCGTTGTATTGAAGATGTCTTTCCATAGTATACCTACTATTGATCGACAACATTGACATCAAATTAATTGGTAAGGCTGATAGTCAAACAGGAAATATCAGCTTTGTCTAAATAGTTGCAGTTAACAAGTTTTACAATAACATTCCATTTGAAATCAATTGATGTTATAAAATGTTGGGACATATTTGTTGTTGATTTTTAATTTTTTAACATTATTCCAGGTGGCTGCAGCTGTAGTATTTTTGGTATTTCTGTTTAAACTAGAAGAAGAAAAGCCATCTCCAAAACTACGTACGGAGGTGTATGCTCACCTCGACAAAATATGCAAAGATGTAAATTCCTTGGACAAAATACAGATAGCAATTTACTTCTTGATGCAAAGCTGGTTGACGATGTGCGATGCCACTCCAGATACGGTCACTTTCGCTCCGCTCAAGTTTATGAAAAAGAGGATTCACGATTCAGTCACTAAAAAAATACAAGAGTTTCACAAAAAAGACGAACAATCAGTTGAAGATTGCATCATAACATATTACAACACCGAGATTAAATCAACTGAAGACGATTTCCACAAGATGCTATTCGAGTTGGTTCTTCAAGGATATATGAAGACGTTCACAGATAATATCGTGCTGGACGAATCTAATCAGTTTTTGAAAATGGAAATGAAAAACTGCAACGCTACAGATTGTCAGTATTCATTTCCCAAACCTCCATCTGTCCCACAAATGATAGACGTGATCATTAAAAAGAGTCAAGATGAGCCAGAAGACGTTCAAGAAAAAAAGTGTGTTCAGGTATTTCAACACTTATTCATTTGGAACGAGAAGATTAAAAAGCCCGAATGGTTTGAGTGGTCCTACTACTTGTTGTTTAAGGGTGTTGAAAAGACGTTGAACATTACTGAAATAGATGTAAAGCAAAACCTACATTGTGCTTCGTCCCAAATGCAAGCCATGGAGAGAGCTATCACGGCTAAGCCAGATGACATCAATCCCTTCTTGGTGACTTTCCTCCGCGAAAGGGATGTTGAAATAGAGGTGTTAGAGGACGAAATTGAATACGCTGAAGAAAGTGCTATTGCCGATTCATTGAATCGCCGTTTGAAAGTACAGTCTATCCTGGCTGAGTTGGTCCTGAAGACTTACATGGAAATGTTTGACATCACCCCGACTGACGGGAGGTTTACAGTCATAACAGGTGGCGGCCCCCCAGTGCAGGTGGAAGTGCCTCCGATGGAAAACATATCTTCTCTATAGCCAGGCTCAAGCAAGAGAAGTAAAGTTTGCTGATTAATTTAAAACCAATAAATTCAATTGTGTGTCATAACTGAATATTTCAAGATGACAAATGGTGGCTGACAATCTTTTATAGTTTAGCACATCGTGTTGTACATTTTTAATAAATATTTGAAAACTGCTCAACAGTTTTTTTCCAACATCATTTATGCCTGTTGCTAGTTACCTTTGACCTACAATGACAATTAATTGGATGAATTAGACACAAGAGTAACTAAACAAGAATACCAACCATGCTCAACAAAAATTACTAAAGACTCATTTAGCTTTTTTCAGATTTTCAGTGTATTCAAAAGAAATTTGGTTTTCAAACAAAAAAGTTAGAAAAATGTGTTTAGAACTTGATTTAAAGGTGTATTTAGTGTTTATATTGGAGTTGGTAGCAAAATAGTTAAAATATTAGCTGTCAAGAATTATTCTTAAACATTTTAAACTTGACTTTAAACTATAAAAAAAAAATCTATTCCACTAAAGTACGCCTACTTATTTTCATACTGTAGTGGTAGAGTGCTATATTTTGTTTTTACATTCCATTGGCCACCTGAGTCAATATAGGTGCATAGGTAATAAGGTTAGATTACTCACAGCATCTGTTTTGTTTCTGGCAATATATGAAATGCGTTGGGATGGGTTTGATTAGAAATGTTATACATTTCAGTAGCATTGTTTTAAATTATCATTCAACTTTATGATTAAATAACTTGTTATATTATGGCAGTGTTTGTTTTCTGGTGGTTTTTTGCCACAGTGTCTACACCCAGAATAGTCCAGGAGCTGAGGGGGGTTGAGCATGCATGAAAGTAGTACGCAATGTTATTGCTGATTATTGTAATATGGACTGTGGTGATCAAAATTACGTATGTCGCCTATTTCAAAAGTGGTCGATAAGGTTGGGGGGAGGGGGCAAACATGGCGGTTTGCGCTATGCGTTAAAACGCTGATAGTTCGAAAACGGTAAAAGATAGAACATCGGTTAAACCGTCGTTGTAATCCTAAAAATGTGGACAACAATAATGGTCATTGGGTCCGAGGTCGTATCTCTATAAATAAACAAGTTATTGTATAAAATATGTAAAAATGGACTTTTCGTGTAGATTTTTTACCGAAAGTAGAATTAATTTGTGAGTGTCGCAAAGAAGTAATATCAAATATCTTTGCTGATAGTTGTAATATGGACTGTGGTGATACAAAATACGGATGTCGCCTACTTTTCAGGTGGTCGAGAACTTAGGGGGAGGGGGGCAAAGATGGCGGAACGCGCTATACATCGAAATGACTGTAGCTCGAGAACGGTACGAGATAGGACATCGGTTAAAACGTAGTTTTAATCCAAAAAATATTACCAATAGAAAAGGTCATTGGTTAAAAAGTCGTATCTTAACTAATAAAAAAGTTATAACAATAATAAGTTTAACAAAATCTACATCGTACAGCTATTTTTTTCGAAAATCGTATGGATAGTTGATAAATAATAGTGTAATTACTTAATTACTCGGCTAAATATCAACTAGATGCATTTTCTTATAAGAAAAAAATATATTATTACGAATACATTTGGTTTAAAATGTAAAACACGGCCTCCAAACTACATATAATACTTGGGGTTTCGCCGCAATCAAATGCATAATACAGACTACCACTACAAATCCAATTTTAATTATTATAATGTTGTAGGTTATTACAATATGATTATGTAACAGATTCTTATTTAATACAGTTATATGAAATAAAAAACATTACTACAAAAGTAAATACCTTATAATAAAAAATACGGCAAATCTCTTCATTCTATCCGTAACAATTACACTGGTTGTTCATATTATTTGTTGAATTTAAATAGGTACCTTTTTAACTTCTCTTAGAACATGTAATACAAATAAAAAATTGTAAATATTTTCTTTGATACAAATGTATATACATCTATATATAATTAATGCATGAGAGCGGTCAAGAAATTTAAAGTTTATGGTGTTTATATTTACAATGGAATTAAACTACTATATATTATAATTCATATTTAATTATTATCTTATTTGTTTGATTATTTATTTATCATTATTTTATTTATATACTCAGTGTATAATGAAATACAAAATACTAGCAATCATTATTTTAAAAACAGCAGCAATTATAACGCAACCTAACGGACGAACCCCAAGGCGTTTGGAGGCCGTGTTTTATATTTTAAACCATATGTATTCGTAATAATATATTTTTTTTCTTATAAGAAAATGCATCTAGTTAATATTTAGCCGAGTAATTAAGTAATTACACTATTAATTATCAACAATCCATACGATTTTCGAAAAAAATAGCTGTACGATGTAGATTTTGTTAAACTTATTATTGTTATAACTTTTTTATTAGTTAAGATACGACTTTTTACCCAATGACCTTTTCTATTGGTAATATTTTTTGGATTAAAACTACGTTTTAACAGATGTCCTATCTCGTACCGTTCTCGAGCTACAGTCATTTCGATGTATAGCGCGTTCCGCCATCTTTGCCCCCCTCCCCCTAAGTTCTCGACCACCTGAAAAGTAGGCGACATGCGTATTTTGTATTACCACAGTCCATATTACAACTATCAGCAAAGATATTTGATATTACTTCTTTGCGACACTCACAAATTAATTCTACTTTCGGTAAAAAAACTACACGAAAAGTCCATTTTTACATATTTTATACAATAACTTGTTTATTTATAGAGATACGACCTCGGACCCAATAACCATTATTGTTGTCCACATTTTTATGATTACAACGACGTTTTAACCGATGTTCTATCTTTTACCGTTTTCGAACTATCAGCGTTTTAACGCATAGCGCAAACCGCCATGTTTGCCCCCTCCCCCCCACCTTATCGACCACTTTTGAAATAGGCGACATACGTAATTTTGATCACCACAGTCCATATTACAATAATCAGCAATAACATTGCGTACTACTTTCATGCATGCTCAACCCCCCTCAGCTCCTGGACTAGAAGCAAAGGTCCACCATTATGATTTCTGTTTAAGAGAGTGTACTGCTTAATTACTAAGCTATATTGCTTAGTAGCTGCTAAGCATTATTGTATAAATTATAAATCATTATAATTCATTGAAACTAATCATTGTATAGTTAATACATATAATTCATTGAGATTTATGGGGAAAGATATAGAGGTCAGCTAGTTTTCATTAGAAAATCAAAAGGAGCTTATACATGCACAGCTGATCAAACATGTCACTGATATTTAGACTTGAGATAGAAGCTCTTCAGAGAATAGATTAATGGAAAATCCATTTAAATATCTAGATAATTGAACCTCATCAATCTACAGAAGTTCTTTACTAGGACAAAATATCCTTGTTATGTTATGTCCCCTTGAATTGTGTATCGTTATGGCCTTATTGAGGTTTAATTGGTCTCTGGACTTAAATTTTCTCAGGTTAGTTAACTGAACTATATTCCTTTATACTCTTCTTAACCAACTTTATCTTCCCCTTGAAATATAACACAAAATAACTATAAAGGAATTTGTTTAAAAAATTTCTAACGGTGTTAAATTCTTTATTTATAAAACCTTTTCATTTACATTAACAACTATACAATACTCGCTAATCAGTTATGTATAAGATCTTACAATGGGTTTAAAACTTACAATATAAAACAAATGTACACTATGGACAACGATGCAATAGCAACTTAACCTAAAACAACATAGTTTCCACAAAGTTCACCACAAAGCTGATCAGCATTTGCGAGAGAGAAGATGAGCTCAAGACAAGTTTGAGCGAGATTCGCAATAATCAAATAAGCGTTGTGAGGTTGAGGAATTTCGGAGTCTTGCTGCCGCCTTTCGCTGCCGATCCCTCCCAGATGATGACACTCCCATTGTCAGTCGAGGCATAAAGGTGTTGAGAGTCGTGTGAGTAGGTCAGGCTGAAAAAATAATCATGAAGCTGTAAACCTTGTTGAGAGGTTGTTTCTATAGACCAACTAATTGATGGATTTGTTGTGTAGCCAAACCCTACAGTTTAGTTTATTTGGCAGCGAGCTCAGCCAAAAGTTTAAGTAACAGTTAGATATTTTAAAATGCAAGATTATCCCAGAACCAATAATCATATGAAGTTTGGAATAATTCTTGAAACTAACATTGATGTCAGCTTCACTTATGCTGTTTTTCAGTGGACGCACAAATTATGATAGGTTAAAAAAGCATCAAGATCCCAAATCAGGTAAGTGCACCTTATTAAGAATATAGCCAGCAACGCCACTCATAGTTTGTTTATTTTACTCGGGCCTCCCATGTTAAGTTCTGCCAAATATAGGGGAAATTTTGATCCAAACTATCTCCTGACCAGGGAGACAATTCTTTGGACTGCTTAGCCATTAATTGATCAGACTTTAAAAAGGGATGGTCAAGTCTCGAAATTTCGGGAAATTTTAAATCTCGTTACACGAGACGAGATTTCTTTTTGGCCGAGATTTTTATCGAGACGAGAATTAAAAAAAAAAAAAAAAAAAAAATTAAAAACGCCTGCAGAAAGTCAATGCAATACCCGCAATACAGGAGCGTGTTGTAGTTGCGTTTCCTTTGCGAAGGCGTTCTTATTTAATTAATTATATAAATGTAAATATTACTTTAATTATTTTAATAATATTACTTTAATAACATTTGAGAAGTTTTGTTAAGTGTAAGCAGTGTGAGGAATGTTTTATTACTATAAAAAGTCAAAACAAGTAACTATTTTATAAAAATTAATATTGCTTTTATTTTATGATTTATTTTATTTTAGGATAAGTTGAACTCTATCCTAACTGATATCACTATGTTTCCTAATCGTAGGCATTTTTAATAAGTTAGGCGTGATTAATAAAAAAATGTTATGCTGATGTTTTTTAATAAAAGATTGTAAATATTCTTGCCTATTATCATTATTTTTGTATTTAAACAGTCATCTAACAATGTTACAAAATCAGGTAAAAATTTTGAACGTGCATTTCCCGTTGTGTATGAGAAGGGAAATCCCGTCTCGATCTCGTCTCGAAATTTTATGAGAAATAAAAAATCTCGTCTCGTCTTGTCTCGAACTAAAATTTCAATCTCGTCTATCCCTATTTAAAACTTAAAAGTAGAAAAAGAATAAAACCAATACTGGTGAATCCAAAGCCTGACAATCTAGCTTGAATACCTGGTTAGTGGTAACAGACTTCCAGCTGTTGGTTGAGTTCTCTCGCTTTTAGGGATGTTTATTGTTTATAAATGTTACTCTTGGCAGCAGCTTTTTCAAGCTTACAGGGTTGAACTAGCAATTTAAAATAGTAAAGTAACTATTGAGTGGTTCTTTTATATTTAAATCTAAAGTCTTCTTACCCAATAACAGGATGTTCTATGGAGTTGACGACAATTTCACCAACAGCTGATAAGTCCCAAGTGCTCCAGAGCCTTCAAAACAAATTTTAATCAAATAAATACAGTTTGAAGAAGAAGAAAATACCAAGAAAATCTCAAATACAGCAGCAGCTTATTTTTCATAAACAATATTAACTTAAATATTCACGTTATGCAATATGAACTGTTAAAAAATGTTTGAAGAAATGTTTAAATACTTCAAATTTATAACAAGCCTGTTTAAAACAATTTATTACCAGTGATAAAAATAGCAGAAATTTGAGAAATTGCATTGGAACTTGGAACCACGCAATTTCACAAAACATAAAATAAATTGGTAAAACATCACAAAAGCTGGAGATTTTTAAAGTACTGTAATTAAATTACATTCAGCAGGCATTTCCAATGCTTTTGGGGTGACATGACATAAGTTGTTTGTCTGTTTGCTGAAAGGGTCTTGAACAATTCAGGGATATTTATTAGGAAGGGAAACTTATGGTATTATCACGGGCATGATCACTGGTAGATGTGACTGCAGAAGATGATCAAGATGTTGCCAATATTGCAAGAGATACTAACAGATATTGTTACAATAGCAACAGATGATTGTGAAATCGCTGCATGTATCCTGAATGCAGTATTGGGAGACACATGTAAATATACAAATCTAATCAACTAAAATCTTTAAAACACCTACTTGATAACTCCATTTGCCATTCCGGTAGCAATAACGTTGATAGAAACCCCCTCCGGCGCAGTGGAGAAACACACAGCCGTAATCTGCTCTCTGGTGGTGACAGATCCAACCAGTGCCACATTGATAGTGTGTAGTCTGACTGTAGAGCCACCACTGTCGGTATCACTGCCTACAGTGACTAGGTCTCCTGACACTTCACTGACACAGCTCAGGCTCACCTACAACAATAATGTGTACATTTAAAAAAGGCGAGCGGAGTTTTAGCAATTAAAGGAAGTGTTTACAAAGATGTGCGATGAAAAATTAATGGTTACACCATGATCGCCGGTGATCTTCACGATTTCCCCCCGATTGTGGAAAACAATGATGACAATTTTGCCATAACCGTAGAAGACGTCCTTGATCTTGCCGTAACCACAGAAGATTTTCATGACTATACCATGACCGCGGAAGATGTTTACGATTTCTCCGTTTCACTGATTATTTCGTATTCAAAAGATTATCTTGTTTTCACTGTAACCGCAGAAGACGAAGACATTCACCATTTCGTCATATCTAAGGAGGATATTTAGGATTTTGCCAAAATCAGGAAAGATATTCTCAATTTTGTCGTGCTCATAGAATATTTCCTTGATTTTTCCGTAACCAGAGAAAACATGATTTTGATATGACCAGAGTAATGTTATTGATTTTGCCGTGACTGGGGAAGAAGTTCTTGATTTTGCTGTAACTCATTCTCCAGTTATCATGAATGTTCATGATTTCACCGTAATATAGTCGAGATCATGTACAACTTGTTTAACTTGATTGTAGTTTTATAATTTTACAAGGCAACCTGATTTTGAACCGAGAGCAAAGAAAGACTAAATGTTTGACCTGGCCTGATCCCTGGAGATCCTCCGAAAATGGCCCCTAGAATAATCTCTTAAATATAAAATTTGAATGGCAAGTTAGTGAAGTTACAGTTGTCTCTCAATAGCCTGATAGTCTGACACTCTCAGTAACTCAAATAAGTCGTCAATTTTTACAATAAAGGAAATCGATTTGAGTTAGGAGTCTCTTGTTTTTTCATTAGCCGTATCCAGTACGATTCTGTGTTCTTAAATGTAAATAAATAGTAGTAATTATTGGCTTGAATTAAATAAATACACAAATGGGCTTTGTTTGACTACTGTATAATAGGTTGTAGGCACATGGACCAGGCTGTAATCCTCTTAATCACGGTCGGTTGAACTGTCAGTTCTAGGTTGGTGTCGAACGCTTCTGCATCATACCATGCATAGCGGAACTGTTCGCGGCAAATTGTTAGCTCTATCACCGTCGCTGTCAAAACGAATCGTTTGTAGGTTAAATTTAAATTTAATTTAACTGTCATAACCTAACCAAACCAAACCAACCAAACTTGCTGATAATAAAAAATCAAATGAAGGTTTACTAATCAAAAAGTTCCGATCAAAAAATTTTAAATGCCTTAAATTCTAACAAAAGATGCACAGTTAGGAAGTAATCGCATTCTAAGCTAAATATTTGACAAAAAGTTAACGCCTCCGGTAGGAGTTAGAATTCTCGATTCCCCAACCCTCCTCCGGTGACCACTACCCTCAGGCTATAAATCAGGGGATTAACCCAAACAAAGATCTGGTCCGTTGTCCGTCTCCCGTATAATCATTGGTCAACTGAACTTAATTAACTGACCATTTTAGCATTTAAATTCACATGATAAAGTAGGCCCAGTTCAGTTTGTGGTTTACACATAACAGTAATCTGGCCTAGAGAATATAGCTGTAAGGATGAGTATTAACTGCTACATATTAATGCTACATCTAGTTTTGTTTTGTTTTCTAATATTGACTAAAAGTTAACTTTAACAAAATGGCTTGAAAACCAAATTGTTTTGATATTGAGTTTAGAGGACCTCCACCATTGTACTCACCGGCAGACTGATACTGGGCAGTGATCGCACGTAGGACAGTCTGTTGATGTCCCACAAGATGGCCGACCCATCGCGTGCTCCGCTCAGAGCCACGCTGTACGCTCGACACAGAGTGAGCGTCATCACAGCCGCGTTGTGACCCAGCAGCTCCACTGGCTCCGGGAGGAATTCCAGTGTTCCCTTGCTGGGCTTGAACTTGTACCTGGACACCAGCATCAACATTTAGACAAACCGGGTTTCCACAATCTATTATAATTTGTTTCTATGACTTTCTCTTTGAAAGGATTATAAAATTAGGCAATGGGCCAAACAATGCTAAACCATCATCAGGACAAAAGTCGGATCACAACTAATTTCCTTTCTATCAAGTCTCCACAAACGTCTGAAGCCTATATTTCTTGTTTTTGCAATATAATAGGCCTGTTTAAAAACTATGTTAAACCGTCGTATGTGTTTTATTGTACTACGTGTTACTGTGTATTAATTGAAATTATGACACACCTCTCCAGGCAAGATAAGTTCTTATATGACAATCCGATGATGGCTGAATAGCCTAAATGTGCATAATCCTTTAGGACAAAACTTGGACTAAACTTTGGGTTAAATGGTGATTCATAACATTCCTTTGAATGTCATAAAACAATTAAATCAAATTTAAATGCGTATGTCTACATTTCCAGGTTAAAAATTTCTGGATCTAAACTTGTTTCCCAAAAACTTACTTTTTTGTATCCAATCCACTAATACATTTAAGGATTCAAGGATACTATATTAGCTTCAATTTAAGAAGAACATACTTAGAAAAACACTTGAAAACTATGACAGTTAAAGTATTCAAAATAAACTAATCAAGGCACATCAACCAATAATCATGTACAGTATTTGTATATTGCCTTCAAGTTGATGTGAAATTGATAACATTAACCAAATATCTTTTTGTTTTAAATAAATAAATAGTTTACATAGCATACTACTTTTCCATTTGTTTCCAATCTTTATTTTATTTTGAGGTTCTAAAGAAAATCTGTGACTTGGAATTGAGGAGGACTCTAGGATAACCATAGCTTAATGTGTGTAATTCACTTAGAACTCTTAATATTCTGTGACAGAATCTCACCTGTACACAAGTATTTTGCCACTGGTGTAGCCGAGCCACAGCTGGTTACAGTCCGGTACGCTGACACACTGGGTGACAGGTCCGCCACAGCGAGGGGGACGGATAGCCGGATACGGGGGCTGCTCCTTGCGCAGCTTGGCCCTCAGGATACCATCCGGGTGTCCCCAGGATACCAGTGCAGCACCCAGCACACACATACCCCCAGTAGCTACCAGGCTCAGAGTCTTCTCCTGGAGACCATTGACAAATGTTATCCAACACCCTCATAAAGTCTAAATAAAGTTCAAAAAACATTTAAGTATGTAGGCTCTCATAGTTTTTCTCACGAGATATATGCTTGTCGTCTGGGTCGGACATTGTCATTGAGCTGTGTTTTAATGCTGGCATTTTGAGGATATTGCAGTTCTTCAAAATCAGGATTCAAATCCATAAGAGAAGACACCACACAAATATTCCTTGACTATACAAATTAGTGATGTGTCAAAACCGAATCTCAAATCTCAAAACCATCAAAACTTTGGAAAAGTTTCGGTTCCGAGATTCGATCACCGAGTTTCGAGATTCAAAAGTTTCGAAATTGAAGATTTTGGCAGTTTTATTCTTGAACCTACTGGCATTTTTTGCATCATTATTATTATTTTTAACACTGTTTCCACACTAGCTGATAGCAATAGAGCAAACACAGTAAATTGTATTCTGAAATTTCAGAAAAAATTATGTTGGTTTGGGTTTATCAGTCACATATTTATGTTATTATGTCAGTGTCAGGAGTCAACCTCTTACAGTGTTGATTCCATTTTAAATTGTATTATTACCTGTATTTTTTTCTCTAACCTTAACCTCTCTAACCAGCTAAGTAAAAAGGTTTCGCGTTTAGGTTTAGGGATTCGGGATTCGATTTTTTCAAGTTTCGGTTTCGGTTTTGAGATTCGAAATTTCTGGTTTTGACCATCACTAATACAAATTATTCTCAGTAAAATACTATTATAAAAAAACATATTTACAGTGTAAAAAAAGAGCCTTGCGTCCCTAACTTTTCCCATTTCATTAGGTAAATTTCATTAGTTTTTCCTTTTCTTCTTGAAAGGAGTTTCATTCATTTCTTCATTTATTAAAAATTGCAACAGCAAAACTATTACCCTAGACAAGGTTTTGGTTTACCTTAGAGTAAGCCAGCAGCAGTGCAGTAGAGGGCGCAAGGCCGAACACATCGTTGGTCAGTAATGGTATGAGGGAGGCCACAGGGGTGCGATGTTGCTGCTGCCAAATGACACTGGGCGAGCTGTCACTGGGAGAGCCTACGTAGTTACCCCAGGACACGCCTTTCACACCTGCGTCACACCGGTTATCATACACGGGGAACACATGCGAGAACACATACTTCTATGATCCTAGTAGTAAAATCAGTCATATAGTTACTTCAGTGACCCCCTAGTAAAATCAGCCATTTTCTCCCAAGATGCACACATAGCCTAGGTAATTTGTTTTACCCTTTCTTAAAATCAGTGACTTTCAAGATTCCTAAGAAAAGTCATAAAATAATTGACTTTTCCGTAAAACCCCTTTGTAAAGTTAATGACTCCTGTGGCCCTGGCCCATTCATAAAATTCATAACATTACAGTAATCTATACGCGTATGACCCTATTGGAAAATCAGAGACATTCAGTGAATTCTTGATTCCTTAGGCAAATCAGGGACTTCTGTGACCCCTCAGTAAAATAGGTGACTCCTTTGGTCCAATCATAAAACTACTAACTTTACAGTGACTTCTAATACCCATTAGTAAAATCAGTGTCTTCTGTAAACCCTTGATAAAATCAGTGGTTGTCAGCGACTCACATTTAGTAAAATCAGTGACCTCGCTGATTAGTTCACACCCGAAATTGCACAAGCAGTAACACTCCCAACAAAGTTACACTCTTTAAAGCCTACCTGGTAAGCTAGCGACTGCCGTAGTCTTGGGCACCAACGCTTGCACCACCATGGGATGAGAAGCCCTGAACAACTGTCTGGGAGTCTGTCCGTACGTCTTAACCATGGTCTCCCATGCAGTTCTCACCACAGGATCCGGGATGGCCTCCAGGTTGAACCCGTAGTAGGTTGCAGGATGGAACACGTTGATGGACTCCACGGCCGCCTTGCCAGTCTGTTTGTAGCCAAACACCAGGTCTATCCAGTGTGGGAGGTTCTCTCGCACGTAGTCCGACTCTAGGGCTTGCCTGCAATTGTGTGCGGTCTCAAATTATTGTTATTAATTGTTGTATGGGATTGTGGGATAGTTAGGGTAACAAAGAGCAGAGCACAAGAGTTTAACATTTTTTTTGGAATAGCAGGATTAAATAAATGGGTAATAGGTACTGAAAAACTCAGAATTTTAAAGTAAGTTGAATAACAGTTACTGAAGTTGTAAAAATTTGTGGGTAGTTTTAGATGGTTGAATTAGTTTTTTTATATTCTTTTTTTGATGATTTTTTTAAACTTCAACTAGCTGGACAGTTTTTGTCATAAAACTAGAACATTATTTTAACCTTCGAAGCTCAATAAACTTCACTTTTCCCTAAAGAGGACTTTTGCATTTGACTCTTGTTTTTTGGCATTGGTATTTGTCCATAAATATACTTTCCATAAATGGTTAACAATAATTTGTTTTCAATGTACCCCACACTGACCTATGTATGAGTATGAAACGCCGAGGGTCCCCACAGGCCCACGGTGGCAAATCAACCTCATCAACTTTGAGGCCGTTCTGTCGAGTGCCAAAGTTGAAACCCTCGTGGTTCGCCAGGAACTCCGGGAGGAAGAAGAACTCTGGAATGAGTTCCTTGACATCCGTCGAGCTCTCACTTGACGTCAAGCGCCAAGTGGTGTGGAGCGAGTGAAAAGTTCTGTCAGGTAGGTCAAAGTTGTTGTCCTGAAATGTTTAAGATTGTTTACTGTTGATAAGTTTGAGCAGTCTTAGTGAAGGATATAGGAATATAGAATAATTTATTTTGTTTTATTTAAAGATGTGTAAAAAATATTAAATGTTAAAAAAATTAAATTGATAAAATAATAAAAAAATGACTGCCTTTTGAAACTATCTTCAGTTCAAATAAATATTCTAAAAAGTAATACCAGTGCCTGCTTGAAGATTCATTATTAACCTCAACTGATTTTATGAATATGCACATAAAAGCTTCTTAAATTGTAGGTTTTGAAAAGCCACTTAAAAAAAGTCAAATCATAATTATTTTTCAATTTTCTGTAGGGATGGACGAGATTGGATTTTTAGTTCGAGACGAGATTTTTTATTTCTCATAAAATTTCAAGACGAGATGGAGACGGGATTTCTCTTCTCATACACAACGGGAAATGCACGTTCAAAATTTTTACCTGATTTTGTAACATTGTTAGATGACTGTTTGAATACAAAAATAATGATAATAGGCAAGAATATTTACAATCTTTTATTAAAAAACATCAGCATAACATTATTTATTAATCACGCCTAACTTATTAAAAATGCCTACGATTAGGAAACATAGTGATATCAGTTAGGATAGAGTTCAACTTATCCTAAAATAAAATAAATCATAAAATAAAAGCAATATTAATTTCTATAAAATAGTTACTTGTTTTGGCTTTTTATAGTTATAAAACATTCCTCACACTGCTTACACTCAACAAAACTTCTCAAATGTTATTAAAGTAATATTATTAAAATAATTAAAGTAATATTGACATTTAAAGAATTAATTAAATAAGAACGCCTTCGCAAAGGAAACGCAACTACAACACGGGGGTATTGCATTGACTTTCTGCAGGCGTTTTTTTTTTTTTTATTCTTGTCTCGATAAAAATCTCGGCCAAAAAGAAATCTCGTCTCGTGTAACGAGATTTAAAATTTCCCAAAATTTCGAGACTTGACCATCCCTAATTTTCTGTTATTCATTTCAATTACATAGGTACAAATTTTATGAAAGGAAAATAAAAACTAAGTAATATAGTGATACCTGAATTTTAAAGAAACACTCAGTACTTTGAAATGGCCAATCTCTTTAAAAATTTGCTTAAATTTTTAGATTTTACTTTAGTTTTTTTCCTTACATTTTTTTACTTTAATTTACACAAAAAAAAACGTTAGGCATATGTTAGAAGCAGTAACATTTAAATTGCGGTTTGGGAGGCTTCCACTCAGATTCCATCAATTGACGATGCTATGTATGTAACGAAAGGTCGAAAATTAAGCCTCAAGACCATGGTTTGGACCGTTTCCTAACAAAAACCGTTACAAGTGCCAATTGTGTAAAAACGAACATAAAATAAAAAAACAAAATGAACACTAAACACTGTAGGATTCAGAGCGGCTCTTGATTCCACTCAAAATCTCACCTGGTAGTTGATAAACATGGATGTGAAGGGTGGCAGTCTCACCAAGAAGTGCAGAACAGTGCCCGAGTTGGAGTAGTGTGACGAGTAGTGGTAAGGTTCGTGGTTAATGGAGATCAGGTTGAGGGCATTCGTCAGCTCCTGTTTCAGGTACTAAAAGTTATACGGGAAATGAGTGTCATTTTTTATATTGGTGTGCAAGAATATTTCATCCCTACCTTAATTCACTTTTCTAGAGCTAAGTTCAATGGAAAATGAGGGAAAGTGAAAAGGATACTTTTGAGTTTTGAGCGATGTGATGAACTATATTTTTTATCTTTAAGCTAAGCAATAAGCATCTTAGTAAAAATATAGTAAAAAGAAGAAATAAGTCACTTATATTTATAGGCTAGTTAGTTACAAACAAATAATTTACAAAACAAAAATGTTGCACATTATTTTAAAAACCCTACCAAGGGCTTAAAGTCATTGAAATAACTAAGACATCTTGGACACAAAAACATTGTTGGTTTTATTTATAAAAAAAAAAAAAATCTGCTGGAACAGAAGCCATTTTTTAAACGCTCTATCACTTTATTTATCTACACTTGACAAAGTCCCCCAGGGGACAAAATATTGTGTGTTCTCTTATGTATGTTCTATCCTATGGCTTATCTACATTTTTTCAAAGTAAGCTAGCTCTTATCCTCCTTATTCTACAATTCAAAATATTGAGCACAAGTAAGAGTATTGCTCATACTTTGTGGTATAAAAAACTAACAGGTAAAACAATTGATCAAATTTGTTATTGAGTGGTAGACAATTTGACTTGATTTAGAACGATACTCATATAAGTTCACAATTCCATCCTAAGTAAAAAATAGACAACCTCATGTTTACATTATACAGTAGTATTTTGTGTGTTTGTTTACTATATTATAAATAAAGTGTTAATTATAAAAGTTAAGAAAAGTTCTTTTTAACAATTCCAATTTTCAGTATGTAGGTCAACAAACAAATCCACTAATAAGCTGATGTTTTGTAGATCCCACCAAATCGCTACAATAGATACAACTAAGTGATAAAACATTTACAACTTCAAAGAATGCTAATGCATTGGAGATACTGCATGAGCCTGATAATGGGAAAACAGTGTAGCCCTTATCAGTGCAACAGCTGGTGATTACACCTGCCACCTGGATAGTGCATTTGTCAATATCTCCACCATGGACAACAGCTACACCAACGAGCCCTCCAACTACATCTACGCCCAGAGTCAGCTCTACGCAGACACCAAATCAGTGGCGAGCTACGAGGAGATCTTCACACCGCCCAAGTATGAAAAGGAACACTCCTACATCTCCTTCAACAACTCTCCCATTCCGCGTTTCTGTTTTGAAGAGACTGTACCGAAGAAGACGATAACGTTCTCTATTCCTAACTACGTTTTGATCATTCTCCTCACCACACTTGCGTTCCTCTGTTTTGTCTTGGTGTTGATCCTCACCGACGTGATCCACATCAATTCTCCTTGGAAACCGGAGATACCGGACATAATTCCCTATCAGGGTGAGGATTGGTTCGTCCCAGTGGAACGCTGGGGTATGAAACACACCTACAAGAACTGCCCCGCAACACACCAAGTAGTGACGAAGGTTTCTGTCACACAGATACCCATAGAAGACCAAGAGTGTGAGGACATCAAAGCCTGTGAAAGATATCTGGCGGCTTACGACACCAACGTCACCGTGCGACACAGGGGCGAGCTGGAGTACGAGTTTTTCTTCGGGAAAGACAAACACGTATTCGAAGGCCGCAACTGGAATTGCCCTTACAAGCCAGGAGAGCTGCGCTTGGGTTATCTCGGAGAAGAATACGATCCTCAAGACCTTGGACTTGCCTGGGGAAACATCCGGTACACAATAATACAGTTTGGCATAAAAAACAAACTTGTGTCCGAAGAAGTTTGTTACGACATTGATCCTGCACAGAAGAATTGCCAATGATCGCAGTAAATGTAAGTTAATAAGCTTAATAAAATCTGTAACGAGCCAAAGTGAAGATATGTACCCAGAAGCAACACAAAAAGTAAACTTATCTTAATACATACAAGCTTAGACCAAATGTATTTAAAAAAATTGTATATTGAACTTACGTTATAGTTATTGATGTAGTGCTGTTCACTGCTTTTTTCTTGTACAGCCATTGGTTTCTTGAAGTTCCTAGTATATAAAATATTGTTTGTATCAAATAGTGAATATTGTAATCATCAGTGATACTAGAAGAGTTATATTTACTTCTGACTGACAAAAGTGTCATTCATTTCATCATGAAATCAATAAGTTCTAGAACCAAAACTAACGGTAAAGATTTGATAAAATAAAAAAAGAGTTACTGCAAGAAATCTAAGTAGATTGTGTCTATTTCTTGAAGAAATGTTTATCTTGACTTTTAATTAACCTTCTAGAAAGGCTAGGTATTCAAATCACAGTTGTTTTTGGCAACAAATCGAAGTTTTTGGTGAGGTTCAAAAGTTAGAGCAAAAACAAATACAAACTAGCCCCTTCAAATAAAAAAAAGCAAATATGATGTAGCTTAACTTTAGGATGGTCATGTTCTTTTCTTTTAAACAACTGGCCATAATAGCTCATAATAATTTGACGTATAATTTGAGAAATTTGACATCTGTCCATCATGAGGCCAAGTGACTTAACAAATATCAGGCACAACCAGTTTCAAGCCAATAAGTATGATATTCAATTCAATTCAATTTGTTTATTCACGGCAGAAGCCATTGTACAATAATGCCATTACATACGGGAAATAACAAGCAATAATAAATACCAAATAATACAATAGGTGAACACAAGATGCATAAGGATAGTAATACTAATATAATAGTAATATTATATTCACCTCTCCCCACTCATCTCTCAGGTTTGTCACCAGCTTCAAAAATGCAGAGTGCAAAAAGGGTACTTGTCTGGATCTAGTTTTACTTCAATGCTTTAGCAGATTACTTTGTCCCTTTTCCATGGATAAGAAATGTCCTGTACAGTAAAACACAACACAAATTGCACCAACCTGTACGACTGGGGATCCGTCAGATCAAGAGTGGTACTTGTATAGTCGGCGAGGACGAAGGGCATGACAGGGTATTGCATGAGGTCGTTGTAACACCTGCCGGCCATCTTGTTGAGGGTGGTCAGGTACTCCCAGTTAGTGAGGTGGCCTTCACGCCACAACTGTACTGTGTCCGCAAGGTGGTCACTGGCCACACGATGCGGCAGCTCACACTGACTCAGTTCTGAGGCAAACAGATCTCTCTCCTACGACAGATCATTTTGTTGATCAAAAAACTATTGAAAATGTTGTATTTCTACTACTGGAGACACTTTACCAGAAAGTTACACTTTACACACACTAGAGGTCTGGGGATGCCCCTATATTTTATGAGGAGTTGACTAACTGTGAGGCCTGCAGCATCTAAAAGAACCACAAAGTACAATCGAGTGCAGAGTGCAGACCTCAAGACTTGTTTTTTGTTTTTATCCTCATAATTCAGACGGAGTGGCAAAAAGAGTTTTCTTGATTTTGATACAGTGTACAGTCACATCTCACAGAAAAACTAAACAATTTCACAACACTGAATTGCCCAAAGGGAAATCCTGATGTAAACCAAAAATTCAAGGATGATAAATACATACCGATGAAGATTCAAATGCTAGCAAGTAGGTTTTGCCGTTCAGTAGGAATATCTCCAAAGCTCTTTCCTGAAGCTGGTAACGTCTGTTGTGTATTTCCTTGACATCCTCAAACTGCCAGGCTTGTGAGCAAGCATCCAGAGAACCATTGGTAACCTAAATCATCATGTAAAGTGTAAGCATAATTGAAAAAAAACCTTATTTTTTAGGGTCTTTGCCAATGAAATAAAAAAGTCAAATGATAATAATTTTAACTGTGCCTTTTTATTGAATTTTCCCCTTTATCTTACGAATATAAAAAGTAAATTATAAAAAAAATTTTTGTGGACAAACACAGAGTAAAGTAAATTACAAAGTAGCGAAAATGCCATAATTCAGATAAAACTCCCAAAAATTTACCCAATCCATTAACTTCCACCCGAGCTGTACAGTGTTCTGCCACAGTCAGGTGAATCCGTTACACACCAGACCTGATTGATACAGTATTGGAACCCTCAATCTCAATGTTTTCTGGCCTGAGAAACAACGCCTTAGACTGATCGGGCATTGATCATACTATAGTCTACCAAATATCAGCTTTGGTAACGTACAGGAGTTTTTGTTGAGTTACACTTGCATATCAATGTAACAGAGGGATTGGTTATGTTATTCTAGCGTCTATCGGACGTTGGATCCTAAAGGGTTGGAGGAGGAACATCAAACAGAGTAAAGTAAAAACCACTTTTAACATTTATGGGTATTAAAACAAAAATGTTGTTAGGTCGCGATAGCAATAAATCTAGTCTCTGCTCATAATTAACCATAACAAAGCACAGAGAAGTAATAAACAGAGGATACATTCAATGGTACACTTAAGTGGTGGCTAGCACCAGTCGCTGATGTCCAGAACAAATTCTATTCGTCCTCCCCCCTGCTCTCATTTCCCCTCTCGCCATCACGTACTAGAGAGCTCAAGCTGTAGGAAGACCCTGTGCGCTACAACTGCTGTACAACAATGATATGTGGCCATTGCCGTTCAGGATCTTCCTTGCTCGTTACAAGTACATTTTCGTCCCATCATACCAGAACTAAAGTTGCACGGTTGTCCCATAAGCTGGTATCCACTGTATCATACTTCTCTGTGAACCAAGCTACTAAGTATGGTCAAAACAGTCTTAGCATTTCTCAGCAGCCACTCACGTCTAGCTTGGAAGGTTCAGTGCTTGGTACAAAGTAGAGGCAGGTCTCGCCAATGAGAAGTTCCCCAGGATGTTCAAGCGCTGGTGTGACAATACGGGCCGATGCCATGTGTCTTATCTTCTCGTCTGTGTGTAGTCGCTCTATCAGAACTGCCGACATCGACGGACCCTCGGCTCCAAACAGGAATGAGAACGGTTGAGGACGGATCGCTGCTTCTATAAACAAATGTAGAATGTTATTATTATTTCATTATTTGTTAGTTGTTTAATCGTTGCAACAAAGTTCACCTTGATAGTGTATCATATGGTGAATGAATACATTTTGTCAACTATTTAAAATATAAATTATACTTAACCCATTGGCGCCGACTTACGAGCGTTACTCATACGGCCGCTGCAGGCCCGGCGGCCAACTTACGAGAGTCACCGCTAGGCAGCGCCATTAGTTATTTAGTTATTATTATTTTTCGCCCTTTTTGTTTCTTCTTACTATTATAATGTTTATAAATATCTTGCTTCTTGATTTGCGTATTTACTCATTTATTTTAGCGAATAACAAACAATTTTGTGTTGCCATGGAAACCACATATCACCAAAAATCAGCTGCGGTAAGGTAAACAAACGACTTAAAAAAAATGTTATTACTAATAAAAGTAGATAACGTTTGATTTTTCTACGTAGAGAATCGATTGAACTTTTTAATAGTAGTGTTATTTGGTGTCTGGCTTAATCTTGGAATTTGTATATCAAGTTTACTTTCAAAATATGGTTTTTACAATTTTCATTTTTATAATCTTTATATATATATATATATTTTTAGTTTAGTACTTTGACTATCCAATTACCACTTTTCTGTAAACAATTTTACTGTGAACAAAATGGTGAAAGAATTATTAATTTATTACCTAAGGTTTTCTTTCTATAGCAGTTAGAGTAAAAGTCTACAAATTCGGTAAAATTAATTGCCGCCAGAGGGTGCTGCAGGTAGCGCATTAATTCCTTCCCCAATGGGTTAAGAGCTGTATTAAAGAGTTAACAAGGTAAATCACCTTGTCTTTTTGTAGTTTGCAAAAATTACTTTTTGTTTTCCATTAAAAATAATATTGTAGCTGATTAATTTAAAAGCCCAATAGTCAGGGAGTAGCCTACATAAGTTCACTTTTTTTAGCCTATTTACTATATTATTACTTTGTTATTGGTCATCTTTCGGTTAATGCAACCTAACACACTCCTGATAACATTTAAAAAAATATCGAAGGATTATCGAGAGCAAACTTTAGAGACAGTGTAAGAACATATCTTTCAATTTTGTATTTTTCTTGTTTTATTTTATCTGTACGAAACATAAATTATTGAAAAAGTTACTAAGGGTATATTTAGTAAAATTTGTTTAGTCTCAATGTAACAATTACCTAGTTTATCTTGGAACTCAGGCTTGAGGAAACGTTTGTCAATGGGAAGATGACATCTCTTCAACCGTTTCCTGACTCTGGCTGGGCCCTCAGTCTCGTCTAACTGCCAAGAGCTGCAATTTTCAAGGTTTAGATTACATCACTGATTTAACGACATAGCCAAAAAATGGAATATGACAAAAACTCGAGAGTGATCCATCTTCACCAACACAAACAATATTTCTGGGCACAGTTTCTACCCAGCAAATTAAACCTAAAGACCTTGATTAATACAATTTTGCACAATGCAACAAACTTTCACACTGTACAGAAAAAACTAGGGGTGTGCGAGTATTCGAACATCGAGCTTTTTCGAGCCGAATAGGACGCTATTCGGCTCGGCTCGTGATTTTCAAAAAGTTCGAAATGTTCGAGCCGAATACTTATTGAACTACTGTAGCAAATAAAAATTAAATTAATAAATAAGGAACTAACTTTCATTTAAATTTACTCTCCTCCGTTTCATAATTGTGTCTTGATAAGCACGAACCTCAGCTCAGTCAAGACGCAATGATTATCGATCCTAATTTTGAGGAAACTACCACCTATTGCGTTGTCTTTCTAACACAACTATTCGTATCGTAATATGCAACGCAGTGCGAGTGCGTGATTGGCTAAGTCGCTATGACGACACACGGTTGCCGTGGCAACCTACAGTGCGCACTGAGCACTGCGCCTTGTGTGGGAGGGGAGATTATACCAACAAACTATTTCAGGAATTCTATTTTGGGACGGATGAAAGATAAGGAAGAAACAAAAAGTGGTCACGTGTGCAAATGTAGTGGGCGAGACAATAAGGCTGTAATCGTCGTGTCGTTGTTCCTTGTTTGTTTACTTTTTCAGATTCCTTATCAAACTCCTTATCATCAAACTTCCTTATCTGCTATCTCTCTTTTTCTCTCTCTCTCTAACAATGTACTGATTAAACAGATTGTGTTTGACGACTTTTCTACTTATAAGTTTCCCTGCGGTTATTTTAGTTCAATCAATCCCATAACCTTTCTAATGTTTATCAAAATAATTAATTAATATGTTTTGTATTTTATTTCCTTTAAACCAACCCCTATTTACCATCTGTATTTTATAGAATAAAATGTTTGTTTAGGCCTATAAAGTTTGACTGGCCACACAATTTTGTACCTATTTTATTTTTTATAAAGTAACAGTTACTTTGAGGATTATATATATATATATATATCAATAAGTGGCGCGTGCTGTAATGAATGCTTTTTATTATCAAAATAAGTAATGAGTTATTAATTTTTGATAGTACATGGGTCATTGAATACCATAATGTGATGTAGTTTCCTATTTGTATCTTGCAAATAAATAATAATTGATAGTTAATTCTGGAAATGAAAAATAGTGATCGCATTCATAAACCTGTTGTCAAAACAGCAACGAGGGTGTAAGGGTTTATTGTTTCAGACGCAAGGGTGTTTCAAGGACAAAGTGTTGGGCCACCCGGATTGGGGGGGAGGGGGCCGGTGAGACTGTGTGAAGGGGAGGAAACTGGTTTTGGCTATTTATTGATTAGTTCGCCGACCCTTCTAGATAACAAAATTGAGTGACAGTGTTAAATCATCGTGTTCTGCATTTCATTTCTTGTTTACTTTGTGTGTTATTCTATTAATTCTAGTGCTTTGGTTATTAATTCTAGTGCTTTGGTCTATTTCCTCTATATGTCAATTATATATTTTTTAATATATAAGTAAAACTTGTCTCTCCACCTTTTTGGATCCAAACCAACCATGTTCTTTTTTGATTAATAGGATTCATAAAACAAAAATATTTTGTGCATGGAAAACAACAAGAATAATCACATGTTTTTAAATTTATTTTGTATTTATTTATACAAAATAGAATTAAATATTCATAGTAGCCTAGTTACAATATACATATGTAATCGACTTGCTAGTTGTTTTGTCGTCATTCAAGGTCGCGTTGCTGTTCTGTTTTGAAAGACAATCTGATTGTCTTTGTCTCAGTCTGCACTGCATATCTCTTCAGGCCTTTAATCGATATCCTTTTATTTCTTGCATCTTCATTTAGTTCAGTTCAGTTCTTATCGTGATTATCTACTATTTTATGTCTTGACAATTCTCAATGTTTTTAAACATATTAAAATAACATTGTGTTTGTTTAAAAATTGACTGAACATTATTATTATTATGCACTTTTTTAAGAAAAAAAGTTTAATAATTAAGATAAGGTTACGCTAGGAAAAGCTCGGCTCGAAAAAGCTCGAGCTCCAACATTTTTTAAAAAGCTCGGCTCGGCTCGGCTCGAGGTTCAAAATCACTATTCGCACACCCCTAGAAAAAACCCAAAAGATTTGTGTAATTCCATAATCTTCCAGACCATCTCAGAAATGAACCGTTTAAGACCCTTAAGACAGCACTGTCAAGATGGCTAAAGGAGCATCCTTAACTATAACACAAACGTACAATTTTTATGACAGCTGTACTATTATCAAGGATTATGTACGATACCTCTGACTTCTGTCTATTGTTTATTGTCTACTTGTATAGTTTAGATTAGAAACCAGTCCCTGGGTGCGAGAAGAAGGTGTTTACTGTAACTGTCCAGGTACGTTACCTCGGGTAGCAGTGGGGGAAGTGCCACACCGCTCGCTCGTGCGTCAGCTGGTGTGCCAGTAGTTTCCACTGCAGCTGAGCGTGTACGCTGTCACTCAGGGATTGTTTGAGTCGCTCCATCACCGTCTTCCGCTCACAGTTCTGCGCCTCCACCACCACTCGGGTGACTGCCATGGCTGACTCTGTCACTGCCTTCACCACACCCTCCATGCGAGAGATGGTCCTGCCACAGTCACTTGTTACCAGTGTGTTAAATGTTCATGATAGGCATTAGATATCGGTTTAGTATAAAAACATGGGCATATATTTACAATTGTTCACGAGTACAACCATTCCACAATATAATTCTTGGATAAACCTGAGAAAAAAGAGAGTATATACCTAGGAAGATGTTGAAAGAGATGGGAAGAAACTTGTGAGATCAGACAGAATAGTCATCACCAAGGAAGAATCCTAGGTTATAGTAGAACAATGAGAAATATAGGTAGGGATAAATCAGGAAGAGAAGTAGGAGTAGTAATAGAGGACAAGAAAGGCAGAGGGGAAGAAAGGGAAGGGCGAAAGAAAGAGGAGAAGTAGGAAGAAAATAGGTGGATAGGGGTTGGAGAAATAGGGGATGAAGAAGAAGAGAGGGAAGAGACAGAATGGATTAAGACACACAATCTACCTGTTGACAATAGCCTCCTGTTGCTTGGTCCAGAGGCTGCGTTGGTTGTAGACAGTACGAGCCATGTTACTGAGGTCGTCTGTCCAGGGGTCGTAGTCATGGCCGATGGCTGCTGGGGAGTAGATACTCCAGGCCTGTAGCAACTCCTTCAGCTCTTCACAAAACTGGGAATAACAACAAAGGTAAACTCAAATCACCTATGTGACGACAACAAATCAAGTTATATTTGAACCGTAATAGGGAATGAGGGAATCAGTTTCATGAACCAGAAGTAGTTGCTGAAGCAAAAAGCAAACTTTTGATAAGGACTGGACATATGTCTCGGAGATGAAGCTAATGAAATAAAATATTGAATTAAATACCTTAAAAGGGGCACTCTGGATTCCACAAGAGGGCCTGACAAGATGAAGTAAGCAAAGCGGATGAGTTATGAAATTGAAATTATCCTTCAGGTTCAAAACCATGCAGAATCAATGGGCAATGTTGGTTTATTTAATCCACTTTACCTGTATCTCTTCCGAGAGAAGTGATGAACTGTCTGCTCCGTACATGAATTCCCACAAGTAAAGAACAAACTGCTGTTCTATCTGAAATTAAATAATTAATTTTTACTAAAGTCTTCTACTAAAGGCAAAAGGTACAAAACAATATAATGACACTTTCTGTAAATTATGTCAAGTCTTTTAGAAAAACTTAATTAAAACAGATATTAAAACAGAACAGTTAATAAGCCACTCTGAGGAAAAAAAGACCTTGACGTGACCATAGTGTGAAGGCTATTCTCCTAGAGGAATGCATCATTCTGTAATATATCCCTAAGCCAATACTTTTTATTCAAAAAAGAGTAGTAGGGATTTTAAGAGAACGCTTTAGAAGAGGTGGGTTTTTATTGAGTGTTTTTACAATACTACATTCAATAAATTTTGAATTCAATTTACTCTCTGAATAAGTCTTGCACTAAATTACATAGAGTTATGTAAAATCTTAAAAGAAAGCCTGGAAGTAAATGATTGGTTAATTTTTTTTATATAGAATTCAGCTAGCACACCTGGGAAAACTAAAGTCCAGGTACACAAAAAAGACCACAGAATGTATCACTGAGCGTATTTCATCTTAACTTCTCTATATTCTCTCCTAAACTCTATTTTTCTTCCATGTACTCTAAAAAAGTACTTAACTCGGACAAATTATCAGAGTTACATTTTTCTTTTTCTTTCCGGATATAAAAGCTAGGCTAGCTGAATTGTATCCCATCCCAAATAAATCTAACAAAAGTAATTTACTACCTGGCTATTGATGAGTATGATGCTGGTGATGATGTCTTTAGCTTTTATCTGATTGCGGAGTGACTGAATAACAAACATTCTCAGTCTGTTGGGTTGTCCCGGCGACATCATCCACATCATCAGTTGCCCAGTCATCGATCTATACAACATGTCAATCAATTACCGTAGTTTATCTACCTAGGCCTGATTATTTGGGCCTATATAGATCTGGAGTCATCATATGACTTGTTATAAAATAGCAAAGCTACTATTACGCTTCTGGTTCATTGGTTTTAATTACACTTTAGACATTTTTTAATAAACAGAAAAAAAATTTACCTAATCAACCAACATTAGACAGAGACAAAAATTCAATGAGGTGCAAAATTAAATACCCCCGTCGCAGCAAACCTGACAACTAAGCGAATTTCCATTTGTCTGAATTGATTTTCAATTAAATATATTTAAATGAGTACCTAGGTTTGCTGCTACAAGGAAACTAATAAAGTGTGTTTTTTAGTAAAATATTAATAGCTTAGTACAAAATAAATAAGTTTGCCAAGATTGATCAAAATATATCCATAAACAACCAAACTACAACATTTTACAATATTCTCCATAAGAATAACATGGGAATTTTTATTTTAAAATTTTTTAAATTTTTTCCGTTACCAATAACCGTACAAAAATACTTTTATATACTAAATTATTTGTTTTTTTAAGCTCTTTAAAAAGGTATAAAGAGAAATTGGTAAACTTTGTGTTTTGAGGGTCAAAAGTGAGAAAAACCAATTTTTACCCCATAAAACCCCCCGTAAAGCCCTGTTCCCATGGTCCGATCATGCTGGTTCGCGAACTCATTCAAGTTTATCCCGCTTTACACCTTTGAACCAAATTTCATCAAAATCAGACAAAAATTACTCAAGTTATCGCGTTCACGGACACATATATATATATAAAAATTTTTACGAATGGTGTTTTTGGCCTCTGGGGACATCAAAATGAAAAAGTAAATCGCTCCCGGGCTTAGGTCTTACCATGCCACCTACGGTAATAGCTACTTCCCTATAGGGAAATTCGCTAAAAGCGGTGTGAAACATATGTCAAACTGGAATTTATCTAATTATGGCGTACCTCAAGGGTCAATATTGGGCCCTCTGTTTTTCCTGATCTTTATTAATGACCTTCCAAAAGCTATTGGCAGAGATTTAATCTTATTTGCTGATGATACAACAGCAATCGTAAGAGAGGATTCAGTAAATAACTTAATTGTATCAATGGAAAACACTTTGGATTGTATGAAAAATTGGTTTTCAGATAATGGTTTAAAGAAAAAATATTGACAAAACTCGTATAATCAAATTTTCTTTAAAAACTGTGTAGTTCTCGATAAAATTCCAAATTTAGTAGAATCTCGTAGATTTTTGGGTGTATTGCTTGATACTCATATTAATTGGAAGATTCACATAGATAAGATGAAAGGGAAACTAAGATCTATTTCTTTTGCTTTCTTTCACCTGATAAACTGTGTACCCCAGGATACATGTATCACAGTTTACTATGGACTAGTGTACATGTTGCTCGAAAATTCGAGCAATTGCAAAGTATTTCAGGAGTTTATTCAAAACGAATAACAGTCATATTTACAATGAGTTTAAAAGAGTCAACTCAAAGATTAGCGGTGTGTAATTCAGACCATGTTTATCTTCCTTATTGATAAACCTAAAGCATGTTTGCCGGTTTTCTCCTTCTCAAAATGCCTCGCTGTATAGGCAACACAGGTCATTGATAGAGGGCCAATTGAGAACTAAAAGTCATTTTGGGGTAGTGTTAGGGCTCATTTGTAACCTAAAAGTTGAGATTGTCCAGGGTCAGGTGCTGTCTGTGATGAGTTAAGCCTACCTATTACACTCCACTGTTCTGTAGCTGCGGTCGTTATCACGATTACGCCTCCTGTCTATGTTTCGTTGTCGTCGCGTCGGAGGCATTTAAAGGAAAAAAGCAACAATTAAACAAATTACAGCTACACAAAACAACGATAAACGCACTAATTTAAGTTACAATCACGCTAACACGGTCCGTCATAGCGACACAAAACAACGATAAATACACAAATTTAAGATACAACCATACTAACACGATCCGTCTAAGGGGTTATGTTTACACAAACTCAAAAAGTAAATAAATGTACTCAATGCGTTTCATGAATTGAAAAATAAATAACAGCAATTAAATTATACAGCTGATCAAAATGTAAACAATTATGTTCTCTGTAGGATTATTATTATCAGCTGAGTTATAAAGTTATGAATCATCTGCTATTTGGTTTGTTTACATTATGTTTTGTTCTTGTAAATAAATAGTATTGATTTAGTTTACTTAAAATGAGTTTTAATAATTAATTATTCTATATTGGCGACGAGAAAATGCCTAGGAAAACAGACCAGTCTCAGTATAAGAGTGTGATTGACTGTAGTAACATGTCTTGCATACAAGATAGAATGAGCAAATTTTCATTTAAAGAGTATAATAGTGAACAATTGTGGGAAGACTACATAGCTCGTTTTGAGTTGACCTGCAGAGTTAAGGGACTGGGTGGTGCTAACACAGAAGAACAAGCGGCTCGGCGAGATCTTCTATTGGCAAATGTCGGAGAGGAGCACCTTAGGGCACTGTCGGACCAAATGTATCCAAGGGCCTGGGAGGAGTGCACCTACGACGAAGTCAAGGAGGAAGCCAACCGGTTGTTCAAGCCTACAAGGACCCTTTTTGCGACAAGGTTTGAGTTTGAAAGAGCAATAAGAAAAGATGGTGAGACATTTATTTTATTTTATAACAGATTGAAGTCTTTAGCTAGAAGTTGTAAATATGGAGATAGATTAGATGAACGAGTACGAGATAGGTTTGCAGTAGGAAGTAACTGTCCTGAATTTGAAGTCGAAGTCAGACAAAGATGGCCCGAGGGAGTTAATAACCGAGGTGAGCTTGTTAAGTCAACAGTAGTACTAGAGTTAGCTCAATCCATGGAACGCGCGAGAGAAGAAGTTTCCAAACATTCGTGTAAAAATGAGATTTTTAAAGTAAGTGACAGTAAGGAAAAGAGGAAACCAGAGGTACAGAAATCTACTGGTTTCAATAGATGTTATAGATGTGGGTTTACACATGACCCTAGTGAAGATAGGTGTCCTGCTGTTTCTGCTGTGTGTAAGAAATGTACAAAGAGAGGCCACTTCGCAAGAATGTGTAAAAGTAAAAATAACTTTTTCAAGAGAACAGATGGTAATTTGAGAAAAGTAGATGGTTCTTGTGATCAAACTTACGATGATGAGTGTAATTCTGATATTGATGTTAGCGGAACACAAATTAGGTCAGTCAAGAGTAAGGTTCCGAGAGCTACAATAGATGTAGAATTGAACGGGTATAATGTTAGAATGGAGTTTGATTCAGGAGCTCGGGTAAGTGCTATAAGTTTGTCTCTTTGGGATAAGATCAATTCCAGTGGCGAATCTCTAAAAAAGACGTCTGATGTCATGAAATGAAATGAAATGAAATGAAATGAAATGAAATGAAATGAAATGAAATGAAATGAAATGAAATGAAATGAAATGAAATGAAATCAACTTTATTCATACTTTGCAAACATGTGCACGAATGGCGTCATTACATTGGATCAAAATCATAATGCTTAATCCTAAAAAAATACAAAAGATATAATCACTATTGAAAAAGTTCTTATTCTAATACATTATGTAAGAGGAAAAATTCGTTCTTTGAATACAGGGGATTGGTTAAAAAGTACATTTTTAGATTATGTATCACTGGCTATGGGAAAAATAAGCTAGAAGTCATGGGCAAGGCTTTTGTGGACGTTACCTTACGTAATCGTACTAAGCGATTGCCAGTTATTGTATTACTAGAAGATGATGTTCCATTATTTGGGTTGCCGTGGAGTGTAGCTTTCAATCTTAATTTGCCTAGGGAAGTAAGGGTTAGGCGTATTGATAATGGAAAGACAAATAGTAAAGAGACCGGCAAGAATGAAGAAAGTTATAGAAAAGAGTTACAAAAAGAAGTTGAGGCATTAACTCAGGAGTTTTCTGAACTCTTTCGTGATGAACTAGGAACGATATCTGACTCTAATGAAGTTATCCATCTAAAAAGTGGAACAAACCCTGTATCTTACGGGGCAAGAAGAGTTCCATTCCCCTTAAGGGAGGCAGTGGAGAGAGAATTACAGCGATTAGTACAGGAAGGAGTTTTGGAAGCAGTGGACCCTTCCGAAACACCGATAGAATGGAGTACCCCAACAGTCAACGTAGACAAGGGTGGAGGTAGAGTCAGGATCTGTGGCGATTTTCGTACAACCTTGAATCCAAACATCGTTCCGGAGAGACACCTCTTGCCAACCTTTGATGACTTGACTTCTAAATTAACTGATGGAAAGATATTTTCAGTCATAGATCTTCGAGACGCGTACTTGCAAATGAAAGTACATCCTGAGTCACAAAAGTATCTTACGATAGCAACTCATGTAGGCTACTTTCGCTACAAAAGGTTGCCTTTTGGGCTTTCCTCAAGTCCAGCAAAATTTCAAAGGTACATGGAAAGTTTACTAAAAGGACTTAATGTCGGAGTTCTACTTGATGATATAATCATTTCTAGTAAGGATAAGACCACCCATATAACCACTCTTAGAGAAGTTTTGAGACGGCTAGAATCAAGTGGAATAAGAGCAAAACTGTAAAAATGTAAGTTCTTTCAGAAATCTGTAAAGTATTTAGGCCATACAATAGATGGGAATGGTATTCATCCCTCCGAAGACAAAGTTGAAACCATAAGACACGCACCAAGGCCAAGAAACGTGAAAGAATTGCGAGCCTTTCTAGGGGCACTACATTTTTACGAAAGGTACATACCTAATCTGCATGCGATCGCTTCGAACTTGCATAAGCTGACTGGTACGAAGACTAAATGGAAATGGACTGACACCGAACAAACTACGTTCGACAAGTTAAAGAATATCCTGTCATTAGAGAAGACATTAGTCCCATACGACATATCAAAGCCGATCATTGTTGAATGTGATGCTTCTGAACAAGGTGTTGGTTCAGTGCTGTTACATTTGATGCCGGATGGAACGGAAAGGCCAGTCATGTACGCCTCAAGGACACTAACGGAAGCAGAAAAAAGGTATGCTACAGTTGACAAGGAAGCACTGGCGTTAGTTTTTGCCGTGAAGAAGTTTAGACAATACCTCAGTGGAAGACATTTCAAGGTGAGGACGGACCACAAGCCACTTGAAAGAATATTTGGAATGCATCGAGATCTTACCAAAGTAGTAAACAACCGTTTGGTTCGTTGGGCTTTGTATTTAATGGAGTATGATTTTGAGATCCAGTACATCAAGGGACAGGATAATTGTTTGGCTGATTTTTTATCTCGGTTTTCACTCAAGACACAAGAAGTATTGGATCCAGATGAGAGAGAGATTCGAGCATTGGTTCAGGAGAAAATTGACGTAGTTTATCCAAATCATGAACTTGTACTGGAGTATAAGAAAGATCCAAATATGAAGAAACTTATAGACTACCTGGAACATGGTTGGCCAAAAGATACAGGAAACTTGCCACCATCCATGAAACCATATTGGAATAAGAGAGAAGAGCTGACATTAGAAAACGGCATAATCATGCGATTAGGAAGAATTGTAGTGCCACAGATTTTGAGAGAAAATGTATTGAAAGAACTCCACAAAGGACATCCTGGAATAGAGGCAATGAGATCCCTATCAAGGTATTATTTTTGGTGGCCTAATCTGAATAAGGATGTTGAGGTTTATGTCCGTAGATGCCACCCTTGCCAGAGTAACCGATCATTTGACACAGAAGTACCTCTATATCCTTGGAATGTGCCAAGTGATCCATGGGAGCGAATTCATCTTGACTTCGCAGGTCCATTCGACAACCGATTCTGGTTAGTAGGAATCGATGCGTACTCAAAATGGGTTGAGATCAAAGTTATGGACCGTACGACAACTGCTGCTCTTGTAAATAGATTAAGGACTTGGTTTTCGAGGTATGGTGTTCCTAAAAAAATTGTATCGGATAATGGCACCCCCTTCACATCTCATGAGTTTAAGAGTTTTTGTAAGGACAATAACATATGTCATGTTACATCTGCGCCGTATCATCCAAAAACCAATGGTTTAGTGGAGAGGATTATCAGAACCTTCAAGAGTCGATATAGTGCTTGCAAACAAGAAGGTCTCAGTTCATCACTTGCACTTTTACAAGTGTTGCTTGCTTATCGAAATACCCCACAAAAGACCACAGGACAACCACCATCAGTCCTTTTCTATGGTAGAAGATTACCAACAGCTTTGGACAGGTGGAGGTATAATAGCAGAGAGAGAATAGAAAATCAAGTGTGGCGACAGAAGTACTATCACGACTTAAAATCCAAACAAAAGGAGTTTTCTGTCAAACAAGAAGTGTGGGTTCAAAATGAAACGAAGAAGGGCTGGAGACCAGGAACAGTACAAGAAAGGACGGGAGAGCTATCATACACCGTTTTAGTAGGGGGAGATATAAAGAGAAAACACACTGACCAGCTGAGAGCAAGAGAAGGTGCAACTGATCCACCTCAATGGAAAATGCAAATGGAACCTGAAACTGATGATGTACATAGTTTCGGAAACTCAGCCTAAATTGGGTGGGGAGAAATGTAGGATTATTATTATCAGCTGAGTTATAAAGTTATGAATCATCTGCTATTTGGTTTGTTTACATTATGTTTTGTTCTTGTAAATAAATAGTATTGATTTAGTTTACTTAAAATGAGTTTTAATAATTAATTATTCTATATTCTCCATAAGGATAACATGGGAACTTTCAAAGCCACTGGGGCAGAGCCCGAGGGACTTTATCAAAAATGTAAGGCCAGTTTGCAAATCTACGCGACACGCTCTTTCCAATGAGACGTCAATGGATAAAATCGGTTAAGAAATGGCGGAGGAGTTCAACCGACAAAGTTTCATGTAGCGTATTAATTATATAGATACTTTGATTTATCTTGAGGTATGGGATCATACTGTGGTGAGTGTCAACAGAAGTCAAATCCCTACTAATTTTACAGAAAAAATTATTAGAATATTAACCAAATCAAGAAGGAGAAAATCATGTAAAAACCTGTTTAAAAATCTTAGAATTCACACCATTTTTGGATTATACATAAATGCAATTCTAAATTGGATACATGACACTAAGGAAAATTTTTCAGATGTAGTCAAATTTACACATAGTTATAATACAAGGAATAAATATAATTTCAGATTACCACATCACAAGTTGAACATTTTTAGGAACAGCCCTCAATATATGGGACTTAGATTGTACAATGAATTACCCCTGTATCTTAAAAATTTAAATGCTACTCAATTCAAAGATAAAATCAAATATAAAATAATTGATAAAGCCTACTATTCACTTGACGAATTTTTGGAGAACTCTATAGTGTAAATAAAAATTCTCTGATATCCTACATGAGTTTATTTTAATTATTTTAACTATTAATTTTACTATAAAATACATCACTATGAGGAAACACCTGTTCTTATGTATGAAATGTACTTTATAAAGAACGTTTTGTGTCAATAAAATATGTCTATGTCTATGTCTATGTCTATGATTTGAGGATGAATATGCTTAAATCAAATGCAACCGACAATGCTTGTGGTACTTCGAGTACTACTACCTCAAGTACTTTCAAAAACTCAAGTAATTGCTTGAGTAATCGCACTTGGATACTCGCCCACCCCTAATTACAGGTATTTATACTTAAGAGCACAAAATGTTGCCTAACCTGACAGTATCTCTGCAGTTCCATACGATTGTGTTCCAGGTGTTCCGAGACCCGGACCTGCGATCTGCAATGGCAGCCATTCCAGACAGAAGAACGGAGAACAACCGACGAGCAAACTTCTCCTCATCTGCACTCATGGGAGTACTGCGCTCTGCAGGCAACAGAATTATCACAAGGTTGAAGCATCAATATTAAAACTCATGAGACTGAAATAACTGAAAAGTAGATAAGATGGAGGGATTTGTAGAGAAGATGACTGATGTTAGAGGAAAAGGAACAGTGGAGGGATACAAAACATAAAACAATGATGATGTCTGTTTGCTACCTCGACTCGGGAATTAAAATTATGTATCTGACTTTACAACTTAAATGAATAACTTAAGTCCAAAGAGGAATCAAATAAATCGACATAAAAACCAAACGTAAAACTGGTTTTAAGAAATTCAGAAGTGGTATACCAGTTGTTACTAAAACAAACAACAGGACTTTGTTTGTTTAGAACAGTCAAAGTTATTTTGGAAAAGGCAAAGTATATATATATATTAGGGGTGTGCGAGTACTCGAACCTTCGAGCTTTTTGGTCGAGCTTTTCATTATTCGGCTCGGCTCGAGGCATTTTGAAAAAGCTCGAAGTTCGAGCCGAGCTTTTAATACTAAGTCAAAACTAAAAAAAAAAAAACACTTAATTTGGGTCGTAATTGGAAACAATGTTATCACAATTCTACGTTGTTCAAGCATTCGAGGTTTGATAAGCACGACCCTCAGCTCAGTCAAGACGCAATGATTATCGATCGTAATTTTGAGGAGATAGTAAAGAGACAAACTACCACCTATCGCGTTGTCTTTCTAACACAGCTATTCGTATCGTAATATACAACGCAGTGCGAGTGCGTGATTGGCTCGTTGCTATGACGACACACGGTTGCCGTGACAACCTACAGTGCGCACTGAGCACTGCGCCTTGTGTGGGAGGGGAGATTATACCAACAAACAATTTCAGGAATTCTATTTTGGGACGGATGAAAGATAAGGAAGAAACAAAAAGTGGTCACGTGTGCAAATATAGTGGGCGACACAATAAGGCTGTAAACAAGTATCAATCGTCGTGTCGTGTCGTTGTTCCTTGTTTGTTTACTTTTTCAGATTCCTTATCAAACGCCCCTATCTGCTATCTCTCTTTCTCTCTCCGCTCTCTCTAACAATGTACTGATTAAACAGATTGTGGTTGACGACTTTTCTACTTATAAGTTTCCCTGCGGTTATTTTAGTTCAATCCCATAACCTTTCTAATGTTTATCAAAATAATTAATTATCTGTTTTGTATTTTATTTCCTTTAAACCAACCCCTATTTACCATCTGTATTTTATAGAATAAAATGTTTGTTTATAAAGTTTGACTGGCCACACAATTTTGTACCTATTTTATTTTGTATAAAGTAACAGTTACTTTGATGATTGTTTAAATATCAATAAGTGGTGCGTGCTGTAATGAATGCTTTTTATTATCAAAATAAATTATGGATTATTAATTTTTGATAATACATGGGTCATTGAATACCATAATGTGATGTAGTTTCCTATTTGTAACTTGCAAATAATAATAATTGATAGTTAATCCTGGAAAATGGAAAATAGTGAATGCATTCATAACCCTGTTGTCAAAACAGCAACGCGGGTGTAAGGGTTTATTGTTTCAGAGGCTAGGGTGTTTCAAGGACAAAGTGCTGGGCCTCCCGGCTCAGGGGGGGAGGGGTGGTGGTGAGACTGAGAGAGAAATGGGGGAGGAAACTGGTTTTGGCTATTTATTGATTAGTTCACCGACCCTTCTAGATAACAGAATTTAGTGACAGTGTTAAATCATCGTGTTCATTATTTCATTTCTTGTTTACTTTGTGTGTTATTCTATTAATTTTAGTGTTTTGGTCTATTTCCTCTATATGTCAATTATATATTTTTTAATATATAATTTTACTTTTTACTTTATCTCTTCACCTTTTTGGATCCAAACCAATCATGTTCTTTTTTGATTAATACGATTCATAAAACAAAAATATTTTGTGCATGGAAAACAACAAGAATAATCACGTGTTTTTATATTTATTTATTTATACAAAATGGAATAAAATATTCATAGTAGTTACAATATACATATTTAATCGACTTGCTAGTTGTTTTGTTGTCATTCAAGATAGCGCTGTTCTGTTATGAAAGACAATCTGATTGGCTCAGTCTGCACTGCATATCTCGTCAGGCCTTCAATCATATCCTTTTATTTCTTGCATCTTAATTTAGTTCAGTTCAGTTCTTATCGTGATTATCTACTATTTGATGTCTTGACAATTCTCAATGTTTTTAGACATATTTAAATAATATTGTGTTTATTTAAAAATTGACTGAACATTATTATTATTATTATGCACTTTTTGAAGAAAAATGTTTAATAATTTATTTTTTTGATAATGTTCAGAATTCAGAATTATGTTTGAAATTCCAGATAGGGTTAGTTGCAAAACATTTTTTGCTGAAAATAAAATCATGACACTCTCTAATATTTTCATTTTTTACAATTTAGTTTCCGTTAAAGAGAATCTGAATAAATTTGTTCCTTGCAACTCAATCCACGGGTATATCACCAGACAATCAAAAGATTTATATATTCCTCAGGCCAGGCTATCAAAATTAATCAAAAGTTATAAATATTTGCAAATAAAACTATTTAATAAACTTCCAGTACATTTTAGAAATCAGGAAAGTATTAATTTGTATAGGTCAAAATTATCAGATTGGCTTACAAGTCGTGATTTTTATTCAGTTGATGATTTTTTGCAGAATGAAGATTTTTTAACGCTTAAATGTGAGGCCAAGCAGTCTTGATGATTCTTTGTTCTTGTTATGGTCTTTTCCCTGTTAATTTTAAAGTTTTTATTATTACTGATGCTTTATCCTTTTAAGATTCTTTTAACTTTATTTTAACATTTTCTGTAGAATATTTAATATTTTATTTAACATATGTAACAAAACATGTTGACCTTGTCTATTGTAATGTTTATATTACCAAACAACAATAAAGATTTATTATTATTATTATAAGGTGACGCTAGGAAAAGCTCGGCTCGAAAAAGCTCGAGCTCGAAAATATTTTAAAAAGCTCGGCTCGGCTCGGCTCGAGGTTGAAAATCACTATTCGCACACCCCTAATATATATATATACATATATTTTTTTTTTTATGAAAAAGTCACCTTGTCACTTCAGTAAAAAAAGATCACTACTAAAACTATCGTAACTTTGTAATTTTTAGTTTTATTTTTTTGGGACAATCAAAATTATATGTTGATAAAGAAGATTTTTTTGGAATGAAAGATTTTCGTTATGTATAGCTGTATGGAAGTTAGCTATTTGTACACAGAGTGATAAAAAATTGTTTTTTAATGACCAGTAGACTGATGTTACCGGAATAGATGAAGAACTCGACGGCCTTTGTGATGATCATCTTGAAGCGGTCGTTGATCTCACTGCGAGGAACTTTGTTGGGTCGGCCCAGACTGCCCCAGGTGCTGTTACTGCTGAGGCTGTTGACACTGTCACTGTTGGAGGAGGAGTTGGACGTCAGCTTCGGAGACACAAGGGCCTCCAGGTCATCAAACCCGGGGGACAACACTGTATAGACAAACAAACTAGATGACATCGCAGCCACATTTAAGGTTGTCACAAGTTTAAAGGGCGTAAGTGAATTGAATGTCAGAGGTGCCCTGATGCCAATTGTTGATTTATTTAGTGTGCAAAATTGTTAACCAAGCAAGATTGAAGGAACAATTTTTTTGTTATCTAAAGCATTTTTATTTTACCAGTGTCTTTGAATAAAAAACTAAAGGTGGGATTGAATTTTTACTTTAGCACAGTGAGTGACTTTTCAAACTACATTTGAATAAAATATTGGTTACTACTGGCTCATATAGACGGGATGTCTATTCGCAGAGCTTCCTCTGGGTTTTTTTACCCTGTTTTTTTTTACCCTGCTTAAAACTGATTAATTTTAAAGTACATCATAAGGATTTATCATTTGAGACTTTACATACATTGCAAGTCAAGTTTAATATTTATTTTTGTTATCCGAAAGTTTCCTGGTCCTATGAGTTTAGAATTATCAAAGGTAAATTGTACTACATAATTAGCATACATTCAGTAAAATATCAACTCCCACTCCAAGCCATGGTGAAATACTGACCAGAACTAAGGAAGGCCGAAGCAGTTGATCGTATCCTAGACGCAGGCAGCTGTTGAGAGTTTATTTTGTCCTGGATGAGATTCTCCGCGTGAGCCAACACAACACACTGTGTGGAGCGTAACACCATCACACACCTGGCCTTGGGCCCACAGAACCCAGCCTCTAGTCGCTCTAGATATCTCAGTATCACCAGGATATCACTCACCACCTACACAGCAGGCAATGTTTATCAAATAAATAATTATAGTTGACGATTAACACATGGTGTAGATTTTTGATTTTGGAACAACTGTGCTAGTTTAACCTAACCTAATCAACCTAATTTAATTGGTCACTTATCAGAATTTTTAAATCTATTTTAACATGTAGTCAGCAGCAGACAATGAATCTATACAAAACGTGGAAGCCTATTCATGGAAATTCACACTTAGGTTCCACTGATACGGTACAAAAACAGTTTTCTGGAAAGATCTTATCACCCCTTGTGTAGGAAAAATCATACGATAGCTTCAATTCAACGTAAGGTTGCTCGGAAAAATAGGGCCAAGTGCCAGTAATTAACCTTCCACAGATTGGCTTAAACCATCATAAATGTTTTAGAAATATGAAAGTGTCTTTTCTTATGAACAATTTTTATTATAATGTTAATGAATTCATGATCAGTTTTAAACAACACAGAGGCGATCATTTCTTCTTGCCGAGGTGCCAATATATCGTAACTTTACCTGCATGTTGTGGTTGCCCGGAGAGTGGATGGCGTTGGTGAGGATGGTCAACAGCAGACTCTGTACGTCCTCTACCAGGATGTCAAGGTCACTGATGTCACTGAGGTCCGTAGGTTGTGACGGAGTGTGGCTGATCACGATCAGTGTCTTACACAGAGTCTCAACCAGTCCACAGTCCATCAGTGCTCTCTGGCCTTGGGCCACCTGTCACACAATGTATGATAATCATTAGAGATGAACAGAATCCTAAGGACAGGATTGGTATTCTACCAACCTTATTTCGCCGTATCAGAAGTGCCGATGATGATGACTCCACGATCCCGAGAGATGTTCATGACGGTTTCGCGAAGCCATCAAGGGGACAATAAGGTTGTATTCATGATCACAGGATATGTTCATGATTTCATGATTCATGATTCATAATTTCAACACTTTCTATGTTCATATTCTGGAGATCAGGGGAGGTATTAATGATGGTGCCATGATCGCGGGAGATATTTATGATTTCATCACTATGGCAAGTGATAAGAAAAGAATGAAAAAGACATTAGTGTCATTAAAAATGCTACAGACAAGCACTTTTCATAAAAGTTATGCATAGCAAGTTAAAAAAAGAAATGTTTCCGCAATCAAGGTTTTTAATCATGATGACATTATGATAGATACACAAAATGTGTATTTTACTGAAGCTAATACAGTACTGTTATTTTTTGGCTGGTAACCATATCAAGCCTTAATACCCTACATAGTTTTTAAAAATGCAATGATTCTAGGTTTAAATACCGGTTTGTGGTTAGCTTGCAATGTTTCTATAATAAGACTGTTCAACAATTGAATTACCGTACACCAAGCGTTATTTTTTTTATATTTTTTTAGGTAAATGGTTGTTGTTGTTATGTATGTATTATACCCATTATACAATTTTATATTGCACTGAGCCATTAAAACTACATATAGATTAATATGAACGAATGTTTTCAAATAACCCCATTTACCTGGAGAGAAATCATGTCTCGAAAATTAGGAGGGAAATAAAATCTCTTCCTGAACCTAAAGTACAATCCCACCCATCCCTCAATGATAATCATGCTTTACAGTCAATAAGCAAGATAACAAAATGCAATGTTTAATACTAGACTAGAACTTTTTTAAAAGTTTAATTTTTTTTAAGTTCAAAAAGCTCAAAATGGCCAATAAACAATTGGTAATATAATCTCTACTGATATTTTAAGCATTCCTCACCTTGGTAAATAATCTCTGCAGAAAGTGGATAAGGTTGTGGGTCAATGCAGTGTTGTGAACACAGTTGGCCAGTAGGGACAACAAGGGAGGCAGGGCTACCAACTGTAGGGAACCTAATGCCCCTTCTTCATCTTCCAATTGCTCTTCTAGAGGCAGCCAGTGAAGCCCTGTAAGAAAAAAACCCTTTTTTGAAACACTTCATCACAACAGGTAGTTTTCGATACATGCAATATAGTAGAAAAGAATTGCACTACGGTAGAAAAAAATCTGTTGAATTTAGGGACGTGAGCTGTACACTTTATGACATCTGCAGGCTAGTTTTTTAGAAAGGATTTGTTTTACCCATAAAATAAATATTGTGGCTCATTTCAACGATCCTGGGGCTATTGTTTAGTAATAGTACAATTTAAAAATCTAAATTTAAAAGAAAGTAGACTATTGAATCTTGGTCTTCAAGAGATGATCGGGTTGTTGAACAAGCAAAAACATTTGCAGACGTTTGGAATGGAATGCTGCAGCACTAATATGGCAGATATTTTTGCATGTTCAAAGCTGTCATCTTCTGTTGAACACTTGATGTTAAAGATTGTTGTATTAAAATAAACATGTACCTGTAACCATGGCAACCACCCCCTCCACCAGTTCCACAGTTGCAGGCCACAGTCCCAACTGGTTCGCTAACTGGTAGTAGCCCTTGGAACGGACAAAGTTAGTCAGCTGCTCTTCTGAAGCCCTCTGGATGAAGGCTGACAACACCTGTAAACAATGACGAGTAATCTAAAACTGTTAATGGACAGGGTTATACAAACAAGCTATATATACTTTATATATCCAAGCGTAAGCTATATGAAATGTGTATATGTACTGTAGCTTTCTTTATTTTCAACTTCAGCTTATGTAATACTATAATCTATCAATCTAAAAATATCTCACATAAGAATACAACAGATTTTCTTTTAGAGTATATCGTAAAATGTTACAGAGAAATCACAGTTAGTCTGGTGAAATACTTTTACAACATAATATTAAAGCTGTTTCATTGTGTGAAATATTAAATATTTGGCAGTCGCATTGCATGATGTTCCAAATTAAATGTTTTGTAATGTCCGAGGACTGTAATGTCCACATGAATAATTAATTACATATTTTGACACATGCACCACTAAAATGGGCTTGCAGTGTTCACCGTGAACAATTTGAGCATTTTACAACAGGTGTCTCGTTTTGAGTTGTATACATGGAATTCATTGCACTACTTGAGTTTTAAATGCCAAAAGTGTCCTGTTTCCATGTGTCACAAGCTACACAAGAACCATGCTCTCATATGTTTCATTGATGACTACAATTTTTGTAGTATTGATGAAAAAGCTGGATGCATTGCACGACGTCAAATGATATACGTCAACGGCACGACGTCCAAAATATCTTGAGCTGTCTCACAGTCACAATGTCCAATATGAAATATTTGACTGGTTGCAAGACGTTCGAGTCCTAACCAAACCTAGTCCAGCTAACTGTCGAGCAACGTTTTGGACATGGTGCTACGAAAGTTTTTAAGAGTATGAAGTGCGCTGTCACACAACGACCAAACCCATGACGTCCAAAGCTTGTAGGAAGACTATGTGTCTTACAGTTCCTGTACTTTTGGACATGATGAGATTTGGACGTCGTGCAACAGTCGAATAGCTTATATTGGACGTCGTGACAGAGCACAAAAATTATATTTGGACGTCGTGACAATGAATTACATCATTGGATGTCGTGCAACACTCCCAAAAATTTGACATTTTATTACGTTCCTTAGGTTTCATCTAATATTTACTTTAATGATGTCGATGACCGTTAACTGAATAGAGAGGTGACAGAAATTCCTTCATAAAAGAATTAAGTTTGGAAAATTGCAATGATTTTGGAAAGAAATAACAAAGTGTACACATCAACCAGATATAGTATCATTTTATTTACAGGATATAGATTCTAACATAACAGACCTAAGCTAAAAATGTCTTGTCATTTTCTGTATGATGGACCACAGGCCCAGAGTGGTCCAATACAAAGATGTCCACACATATGTCATTGTGAACCCATTAAACACCCCGAGTATGCCCAGACTGTAGGCGACAAACTCTCCTGGACTCGTCACACTGTAACGTATCACTGTCAACAGAACATCCTTCTCATAAGAAAACTGAAACATAGTTCCTTGATTGAATCTGTTAGCTTCAAGTCTGTCATGTGACTCAGGATAGCGATAGGTGATAGAGACGCAAGCCGAGGGGCAATCACAATGACATTTGTCGTCTTTAAACTTGTCGGTTGAGAAGAAATCACTCTTTGCCAAACACTTTCTTGAATTCTCATTGCTACAAATATGGAAGGAATCATTCAACATTACCATTACAGGAGGGACACACCCACACACAGCTATCGAGCAGTTTATTTGGCACTCTAGCATGCAGTTGGAGTAGGTGTAAATCTTGAATAGAGACAGTTTCTTCTCAAATGAGAAAACACAGTTTCGTTTTGATATGTCTACATCATACAAGTCTTTCCTCACATTTACAACCTCTGGAGTTAAGATTAAGTAGTATGAATTGAGTTTAGGGATGTTTGTGTGAGGTGAGTTTGAAAATGATGGATGATCAAAACTGTTATGGAGTAATATATTGTATTTATCAAACTCTCTTTTAGCATCACGGATAGCTAATATCTCCATGTTGATATCATACATAAAGTCATCGGTCGCAGAACTGTATTGAAAGTCGGAAAACTCAAACTCAAGAATCTTATCAGTAAAAAACAGTTCACTTTTGCAAAAATTTTCCAATGCATTATCTGGATTGCAAACCGTGAGTTTCCGGTATGAGTGATGTTTAGTTGAATTCCTCACAGTGCTATCTTGAAACCCTTGATCAATAGAATTAAAAGTCTTACACGCACGGATTCCGAGTTCGTCAGGGGCCATTAGCATTGCTGATGTAGAACCGTTACGAAGAACAACCTCACGGTAAGTACTGCCAGAAAAGTCTTTATTGTACATTTGGAATTGACTTATTCCCTCTTTGCCAAGTTTCTTTACGTAGTTCAGATATTCCATCCCACTGAAAGTTTGGTTTAAGTGTACAGGAAGATTCTCTACTGAATAGTCAAAAATCGGAGAGAACAATTTCTTATACTCAATCCTACTTGACTGATTCATCAACAACAAATCGTACTTGATGGGTAAAATATCCGTTGAAATCCTGAACATGTTGAGTTCCTCTTTACTGCATGTCCAAGACATTTCTTCTAGTGACATGCATCTCTTTAATATCCCAAACCGGTCGTATCCATCTCTCAACATCAGCGGCTCACAAAGTGTAATGCCTGGAAATGGTACATCTCCAACTTTCATGTAAGTATAACTTTGAACAATTAAAGAGTTTTGCCAATCGTGGTAGGCATCATGGATGTATACAGCGCTGACAACAAATGCTATTGCATGAAAAAACACATTTATCAAACTATGCATCTTTGGCATCCTAATCATAACAACACTGAATATATCAGGCAAACCGACATTGTCGAAGAATTCACTCACGTTGAAGTTTTGCTGGTAAACTTCTTCGGACTTTTTAATGTCACATCCTGTATTGAGATCTTGAATTATTTTTGTCAAATTTGAAATCTTTTCTACAATCTTGGGCACAAATTCCTTATGTGTGTTAATACGCCCATCGATGTTGGCCAGACAGTTGTCAAAATCATGAAACTGATATGTTAAATCAACAGATGACTCTTCCTTGATGCATTGATTAAGATTTCCATCCTCACTTGTACCTGTAGTATTGTGATCCATAGTTGGTATCTAGCAATGCTTCACGTCACTAAAAGTTTCTGCAACTGATTGCACCATTAACATTAGCTGATTACATCAAACATGAAGAATTACATTAAGTAATCACAGTAAACAGTTGTTGCATGTCCAGCGCTATTAGAATACATTACGTTGTGTTACATACTAGCCCAATTTGTATTACTCAGTATGAATTAAAAACTCCCAAAATAGCCGTTGTTAGGTTTTTTGTTGTAATTTCTACACCTTTACCAGGAAATAATTTTTATTCTCTAAATGAGCAAGAGTATTTTAATCCAATTTTCCTGTTTCAGTATTCATTAGAGCAGGATATGGCTGACTTGTTATTTAAAATTTAGGGAGTAATTAAAATGACTGTAAACACTAAACAGTGTACTTTTGTGTAATCGAAGTTTTGTATAAATTTTAAATATACATTGTTAAATAAAACTAAGATATAGGAATGTGGTCAGATATAGCGAATGAGATCATCATATTTAATTTAATCCTTAATTGTACTCTGCAAAAACATTTAGCTCGGAAGAATACATTAAAGCAGTAGGAAAGGATACACAGCTTACTTACTCAAAAAACTAGTTTTACACGTTTTTTAACAAACAAAAAGTTTACAATACAATCAACTTATGAAAAGCCCCTTTTTAGGGCCAAAAATATCAACTTCAGTCAGTTAATTTACGATGCTGTGCCATCAAGTAAAAAAACGAGATTGCAGGGGATTATCACAGGCATCGCCGCTATCTCTTTTACCATGTTTTAAGTTTTTGTTTGGACGCATCAATTTATTTTATTTCTTATTTATTTACAGATTGTCATTAGCCTACATTAAAAAAGACCTTAAAATGGTTTATGATATCTGCATATAGTAGTCCTTTGTTGCTGTTTTGACAACTAGTTTCGGTTCTTTTGAACCATCATCAGACCTCAAGGTGTCAGGTGATCACTTTATTTGAAGGTCGTTAACAGTGTTCAATAAATAAAACACATACGAGACACGAACAAGACCCGAAAATAAAATAAATATATGATTACGAAAAACACGAAACACACAAAAGTAACATTGACAAAAACGAACGTTGACCGCCAGTCTAGACTTTACTTCAGCCCAGTCACATTCGTTGTCAATGTCCTTCGTGTTTTTCGTAACCGTATATTTATTCTATTTCCGTGTCTCGTATATGTTTTATTTATTGATCTCTGTTAACGACTTTCAAATGAAGTGACCACCTGACACTTTGAGGCCTGATGATGGCTCAGAAGAACCAAAACTAGTTGCTAAAACAGCAACAAAGGATTACTATATGCAGGTATCGTAAGCCATTTTACGTATACTACAGTAATCCGGAGGCTAAACAACTCTTTGAAAATAAAATGGCCTACTGATATTCATTGTTCATGCTAATGTCAATGACATATTCTGACATAAAGTACTTCCTACCAGTTAAATCGCATGCAAATCCCACCCACCTTGACTACAGCTGTGCGGACGACAGCAGAGTGATGGTTGGACATGACCAGCAGTGCCTCCATCTTGATCACATGTGATAACACCTGTTGTACCATGCTGTCTGGCAATACCAACGTGATGTCACGCAACAGCAGCAGAAGTCCTTCTGTGACCCCTGCTGAGCCTGCCGACACTACGGTCACGACGTCCGGCTTCTAAGGACAACAGTGGGCAAACTCGTCTTCAACATTGTCATTATTTGTTAAACATCTTCAAGGCTTACAAGTTAGCAACAAGAAATGAGATGTTAGAACAAACATTTAATACAAGCAAAAAGAAGATCTCTCTTCACGAAGCTAAATGTTAGCAAGAATCCCATCTCATTCAGGTCTAGTGCACTGCACCTCGTTAGAAGTTTCCCTCTGTAAAAAATCTTGGTTGGAAAATCCAATACAAAGTAAATGGTGGACAGCTTGGAAATAAGTTGACCTGATAATCGATTCTTTGTCAGTTATGACTAAGTCGAAGGTAATTTACAACTTACCTACCCTTACTACTCTGTGTGTCCACCAAATCTGTTTGATAATAGTATAATTTTTTAGTCATAAGGTGTGGGGACACATTATAAAAATAAGCAAAATGAAATCTTTGAATCCTTTCTGGGGTTTAAAGGGGCAAAGAATTGACCTTTTATTCAAAAATAATAGGCCAGGTTGAATAGGCCTCTGACGGAGGGTTGATCTACTGTAAAAATACTACTTTTCTTCTTGCTTGTTTGTACTATGATGGTCTATATGATATTATGATGAGTTTATAATAAATCTTCAGTTTTTTTTTTTTTTTTTTTTTTTATAATAAGTCTATTCAACAGAAATCTGTAATTAATATCAGCATTTTTGTAAGTTATATTGTCTAATTGTTTGTAGCTCAACTAATCTACCTTTATTTTTATATTTTTAACTGGTGAAAAATAACCTTAGGAATGGAATGTCTATTTCTAATCATCTTCAAAATGTTAAAACAACTAAACATTCTTGGTTGTAGCTTGACCCCATACCTTGGAAATATCATGTTTGAGTTGACCCAGCCGCTGTACCTCATCTTGCCGCAACTCCGCCTGTTCCTTATCCTCGTCCATCCCTGCCATGACGGTGGGAGGAGGGAGGGAGAGGGGAAGGTTGTCAGACTGTGATGACGTCAGCTTGTCATCACTACTGAACTCATCCATGCTGCCCTGTAAGACAAATCAAGGCAAACCGTTAAAATCATACTTGTGTGCAAAGTCTAGACACAGGTGTAACAAACAATGGTTTAAGTTACAAGGGTTATCTTTTTTGTCTTTAACAAAACTAGCTGTTACCCAAGGGTTTCACCCCAAAATAAAGGTGGATTCTCTCTGAGTGTATGTGTAACTGCACTAGGTTTTTTTTTACTAAAACTATATGGAACAGACCAAGATGAAATTAATACACAAATAGATCATGAACCTAGACAACCAAGGCTTATTAAAATGATATAGGGTTGTCGGTCACAATTTCGTAACAGATTGTTTTTTTGTTTTTTTCCAAATTTTTCAAATTGACGCTTGAAAGACGAAGGTGCATAAGCACATACGATAACCCTATGTACTTCCACTCGTCTTGCAAACCACAAATTTTAGTACTCCACAGCACATATAACAGGTAGTTTTAAAACTTGCCCATTCCTCCTGTAATATTTTTTGTAACTTTTTGACGAGGTGTATGAAGAAATATAAGTCCATAGTATTTTGATATTACTCATATTTTTGAACAAAATGATAGCTCACCTGACCACTAGAGGTGAGAATGTCGGACCGGTTTGTGTCCAAGCTTGCGGTCAGAGACACTGTTTGCTGTTGGCCCAACTGCTTGATCTATAAACAACATTATCTTACTACTGTACAACGTATATTAAACTAAATCAACCAATTTATGAATAAAAGCTTTGTGAACAATAAATAAATTGTTGGATGGCTATACAAAGACTAACGTCAACCTTTATAAAGAGCTGTTCTCTGTATGTATGACTCGAGTGCAAAGTGTTATATTGATTGTATAATGTGATAGAACCTTTTCTCTGTTAGTTTACCTGTAGGTTGGCCAGGGCCTTGTTGAGTTTAGTGGGATCTACAGGCTGTGTCATACGCCGATGTTTGGTGAACTCTGTCAGCTGTGGCAGATCTACTTCATTGATATTGTTCAACATGCTCTTAGACTTTCTCACTGGAAAAAACATGATTATCAGATTATTAAAAATAGAATATTACTATTTTTTTTTATGAAATCTGAAACATACAAACAAAGCCCCTTCTTTTCTGCATACGACACATTTTGTCAACTAACACTAAGTCCTTGGTCTTCTGGGATTTTGTCACACCTCTTACGTACATATCTGTGTGCTACCCCTTAGACCCAATCCAAACAAAGACTTGTGGCTGGTTGGTTTTTAACACGTTGACTGCTAACGCCGACTCTAGTTGGCTTCGCTAGCACTTCAATGTGGCGCGCGCCGACAAAAGTCGGCACCAGACCAACAGAAATATATTGAGTCAGTGTGAGCTTAGCCTCAGACGGAGACGTTATAATCGTTGCCAGCCTGCCAGCTTAGAATGCGAGCTTTACTTTGGTGTAGGTTGGTACTAAAATTTCCCGTAAAATCCTGTCTGGCAATGCTTTTGTCCCGGTTTCGGGGATTTTTTCTCTTCAACCCACATTACAAAGACACTGGATACGGATCCGTGCAGTGCTGCTACCTTTGTGTGTTTCAGTGAACTACATCCACTCTCGGGGTAACGCAGCACAGTCACCACTGCTCTTTTGTGATTCGTCAGACTGAAATATTTGAATGCCAATTGCGTTAGCTGATTCGGTTGCGTGCCGGGGCTTCGCCCGCCACTGGGGAGCGCCTGTACGTTGTTTTCAGCAGGTCATCGTGTTAAGTTGTTTGCAATAATCAATGGTTTAAAAATAAGAACATTTAGATGATAATTTGAATGTGATAATTTTCATCTTAAAATAATAAGATAACACATACTGCTTCCGATGTTTGAGTCGACTTCCGAGTGGTTGCTACTGGAAGTGTTGCTGGCAGCAGTGTTGACTAGGAAGTAAAAACTTGGTCTGACAGTGGTGATGTACGTAGCAGACGCAGGGTGTGCCAACACCAGGTAATCAAATATTGCGACAATGTGAGGCATGTCAGGCGGGGCACCCATCAGTGAGCGTATCAGCTCCACTACAGCGGGGCAAATACGGGGGTCTAGCTCTGGCTGTGGCTCTCCACTCAGGAACACCTCCTGTGACAAACAAATTTACACCATTAACTTTTAGTTGACTTGATACCGAGTTCCAAATACACCAGTTGTAGTCAATTTTTAAGTAAAAATAAAATAATCCTGTTAAACTCTGAAATATTAGTCTAACCTTAACATTTCCTCAAGGTGAGTTGTGTTCAAAGAAAGGCTCTAGGCTAGGATTTTTATTTTTAGAGATAAAGGATTGTAGCTAGCTTCCTCTCTCTGTTCTTACCTTACAAAAAGTACTAAGTAGGCCATAGAACAGACATAAGAAACATAAATCAAAAAACGTTTTGTCCCTTGGGAGACTTTTGTGTAGACAAAGAGAGTTCACAAAAAGGTTGCTGTCATCGTCACGGCTGGACCATCTACAATAACAGAATTGAGGCTATCCCCCTTTCCAAAAATATGAAATCAAACCAGTTTATACTATTTTAAAGGTCAAGTTCTTCAACCTTCATTGTACAATGTTACAAGTTTGGGGACATGAGTAAATGAGTAGACTTAGGGTAGTTGACATGGTGTAGGATAGAAACTTGTTGGTAAGGTAAGAAATCCACAGAAGTAAGAGTAAAAAGTATGATATCTTGCTTTCATGGATAGGCTTCCACAATCACATATTGTAGACTCGTGGTCTTTTGGTGATGACTGTGACTATTTAGACAAAACATAAAAATGTTAGCCTTGATATAGAGAGCCTTGATATATCATTGTATGATTGTACCATCTACAGGTGGACTGAAATTCAGCACAGTTGGCGTACAAGTCCTCCTCAACATAACACTATTTTGAGGTTGAAACAGTGAGTGTAAGTGTTTAATATATTTTTACAAGGTCAACCCCCCAAAAATCAAGACCCTACGACACCTTACCTTGCAGAAGTGAAGCAACGACTCAACCAGTCGGGCGTTGTTGAACTGTGATGCATTGAACTCCCTGTGAGGATGGTCGTCCCTCAGAAGTGTTTGTAGGGCCTGCAGTAAGCTGTACAGGGCCCCAGGAGCTTGGGCCCACTGTCTCCAGGCCTGAACTACGAGGCCTACGATACAAGTAGTACAATGATCAGTGATTAACATGGGCCCTCTCTAACTCTCACAAAATGGTATCTATATATACATCAGTTATTATTAAATTTAAGTGTAAACTGTAATAAATTCTGTAACAATATAAACCTACTATCACCAACAGCAAAGCTTACACAAAATATTATTAGTGTGGATTAAACTTAAATATAAGCGGGTTGTAGTTTTATCAACTTCTAATTCAAACCAAAAATTCTACAACCGATGAAACAAAAACCGAACTGATAAAATTACAACCAACACATCAATAATTTTAACACAATAAATCTCTAAAACAACTAAACTTAAAACATTTTCAACATTTACCTGCCAAAAGTGAAGGTTCGACAACTATACAAGAGAATGTGGTTGATACAGACACTTGTCCTGTAGCGGGATGTACAGTCATCAGTCCAGGCTTATCACAGCAAACGTCAAAAATCACCTGCAATCAAATCATTAAGGTACGGTTACACCAGAGCAAACAGGAGCAAACAGAACGTCCACCGGTGTTTGCTGTGGGTTGCTAGCATTCGCGAACACCTGAGAATGGGAGTAGTCACACCAGAGTGAACACACATGAATCGTTTTGATTGAAACGTTTTTGTGCTTCGGCCTGGATGGAGCAGGTGCGAACACGAACTTGCGACTACTGAGCACTGCCGAATCGGGCCTATTGGCTTTCGCTGCCGCTCGAGGCGCCGGTCACACCAAAGTGAATTTCGCAATCGTTACTGCTCGTTTGCTCCTGTTAGCTCGGGTGTAACCGTGGTTTTACATATTATCCCTTCTATGATTGTATTTGGGATTTACATTCACTTCCAATAGTAACTCTTTTCAGTTAGTGATTCTATGTAAGTGATTTGAAACAAACTAATAGGACAAAGTACTGAGAATAGTCCACGACCGAACGTATGATATTGAGAATGGAGTGTAGATAAAACCTTTCACTATGGATGGACGTAAACAACCCCTTTCCATGTTGAAACTAAATCCTGGTTTCGATTAAAAATGAACATAGTTGGATTGAACTATTGACAGAGATTGCTGGTGTTGGTTACTCATTTCTGTTAAATACACCAACACTAAACCAAACTATAATACAACTTAAGGGTGTAGCATAGAGCACAAGGGCCTAGATTTTTTAGGATTTTTTGAGAGGATAGCAGGCTTACCTGAATGGGAAAGAGTCCAAACTGGCACAGGAAACACAAAACAAAACTTTACACTATATACACAAAACATTAGAATATTTCACTGTCACTGACAGCATTTTCAACTAAGGAAGAGAGAGTTTTCTCTGGGGGGGGGGGGGGAAACTCTCTCTTCCTTAGTTGAAAATGCTGTCAGTGACAGTGAAATATTCTAATGTTTTGTGTATATAGTGTAAAGTTTTGTTTTGTGTTTCCTGTGCCAGTTTGGACTCTTTCCCATTCAGGTAAGCCTGCTATCCTCTCAAAAAATCCTATAATACAACTTATTGTACTAAAGCATCTTTTAAGTGACATCAGCTATCATAGTATTGAAAACTATGGGAGGAAGTATAAGTTTGTCATAATCTACAGACCTTCAGCATGATGAGGCTAGATGAGCAGCGTGGCGATGAGAGAATGTGGCTCAGTAGTAGAGCTACATCTCTTGACTCAAACTGGGAGTTGAGCTCACACGAGCTTTGTGCGAGCTTCAGTAGAATGTACAGAGCTTGAGCTTGACTCTCCTCACTACCTTTCAGCTCCACAACCTATGAAAGGTACAAACTTGTTTTAAATTTAAATATTCAGCCAATAGGTATAGCTTATAGTTTTGTGGTGTATTTGACCTCATTAGCATTGTAAGAATTAATACCTTTAGGAAAAAGTTGTGTGTTTCCGTTTGAGTAAATAATAAAACTCAACAAGATGAATTGCTGAGCTTGAATTGGTGTTTATTTTAAGCTGAATATGTACACAATGTGAGTGTAGATTAAAGTGATGATCTGTATAGCTTTGTTACCGACTAAAATCAGCTGTTTCACTAACCAGGACCATTTATTAAAAGCCCAATGGTCACGGACAGCTGGGCAGAGTTCCCCTATAAATGTCTGACTTAGCAGGTTCAAACCGCAATCTTCTCATTCCCAAGTGAGCACTATAACCACTCAGCCAAATATTTTCCAGTTCTCGAAGCATAGGTAATTCTAAAATGTGTGTTTCATTTAGCTTTTTTAACAGCCTACGGAATCGAGAATGGAGAGTCGAGTTAATTTGTATTTATCTAGTTGGCTTTACTGAATAAAACGTGAAAATAAATTCAGTTAGCGTTATTTCTAACAATACACATATCTCAAACCAATATACTAAGGGTTTACTAGGACGGAAAAAATTTTTATGTCATGTGCCCTTTTACTACACAATTGTAAGCTCTTGGATTAAATTTTTTCAGAAAAAATATATCAAAATAACTAAAATACAATGAAAATCAAGTTCTACAAACCCGAGCAAAAAGCAACAAGAACACAGATATTCCGCCGATGGTGTCAGCAGCAACAGTGATGCCGTGATAGTGTTGGATGGATGCTGGCGCGAAGAATATCGGTTTGACAGACATCGGTAGAAGTTGACTTGCTCTGGTGTCCACTGTAGCGACTCTGAACCCAGGAGTGGGGGGAAACAGTGAGCCGACAACACCTGTGGACAGTCACGATTGAGATGAAATTGCAATGATTCGAACCATAACCAGTTGGTAGCTCTGAGGTGCTCATGGACTATAGAAAAGTTGTGTGGTAAATTTAGACAGGGATAGATTTTATGAGCTTTATTTACTTATTTTTTGTTTATTTATGTTTGTGTCCACGCCAGTGTGGTTTCAATGAAAGAATCACTAATTCTTTTAAGCAAATTTTTGCATATGCCAGATATTTCGATCCGTTCTTTTCACACTAAAGTCCAAGACGCTAACCACTTGGATACACACAAAAAGTATTATCTCGTCCATCCAGGACTTGTTAGGCACACATGTATAACAATTGTGCCGGAAACAAAATCTAACAGTTTGTGGGAAGTTTATCACGACTTTTCACCAATGTCAGAGTTTGTTTTCAAGACAGATTGTGTATTATATGTGTGTCATTATGTGTGTACCTGACGAAAACATACAACAGAGGTAAGGGTAGCCCTTCAAATATATCCATCAACTATATCTAAAATACAAGCATGTCATTTAAAACATTATTGAGATGCTGTAAATGACAAATAAAATTACCAAAACTGACTCATTCATACTACAGTACTAGTTATTATTTTGTTTAAAAATTCAAGACTAGCCTATATTTTTGACAGGTATACTCCCAAACTTTAGTGACGAAATTGCAAATCCTGATTATTTGTGTGTCTAGCATTCAGCCACATTTTAAAAGATCACAAAACTCTTATACTAATTTGCTACACTTTGATCTTAGCCAACAGAGCCAACAGAAGCGATATATGAAAAATATATATGAGAAACAAAACTAAAAAACAGAACTAGAATATATGAGGACAGATTGTGCTAAATCGTTAAGGTTTGAATACTGGTATTTTTACTGTAATTGATTGACACTATTTATATGTACCCATGTGCATAAATTAAATAAAGAACTTTTGATTTGATTTGATTTTAATTTGATTTGCTGAGTAAGAATGTGTACTTGAAGAAATGGGTTTTGTAAAAGAATTGTGCATAAACTTAAAAAGATATTTCTGCTAAAGGTCTTGTAATGATTGTTCTGTTGATATACTTACCAGTATTACAAAATGTTAACACAACTTCCTTCAAATTTGCATTTAATTCTATAAACCCACACCTTTCAACATTTTTTAGAGTTTCTCTTCACACCTTCTATCACACCTAATAACTTGAACTTTCAGCTAGAAGAAGGTTGTTTTTAACCAATGTAACTCATTTCAAACAGTGATCAATGTAGAACTACATAATCCAACACCGAATAAAAATCAGAATCACCTCTTCACAAATTAACCAGAAAGTCATGGACATAGATAAATTGAATGAGCTGTTCATTCCAATTTAGAAAACTGATAATACCTTTGTTTTTAGAAGTATTTAACGTTCCGTGTCTGCCGATGTTGTGATATCGCCGAGGAGCTAACGGAACTACTGTCGTAATCTTGTCACTCACTGTCACGTGGCTTCCAAGGTTAGTAACCTCTACCAAACATCACGCCCTCGTTAGTGCTCTCTAGGTTTAACGTAAAGCGAATCATGCAGCCCAATGAATGAAGACCCATTATGAAGCAATGCAACTGAATTACGGTAGAATCTTGATAATACTGCAAGTGGAATATTAACAAGAACTTATGCTCAGCATTTTAATAAACTAATCACGGAGTATTAAAACCTTTGTTGACATTTTGGTATGATTTTCAAAATGCTTGATTGATTACAAATCTTTTTCCTAGAGGTTTCCTAAATGATGTCAATGAAAATAATTCACTATCACTACAATTTTATAGTTTTAAAATTATTATGTCATATTTGGGTAGCTATTACTTTAGTCAATGTATGTGTTGTTTCTAACTTATATAGCTAAGATGACTTTGACTTTGACTTTCATGTGATCATATCTTAACATTGTTTTTTTCAGCTAAATGGTGTACAAGAAATTGTTACTGCTTGATTGAGTGATTAAGTTTTTTCAGGGACAGTTTATTTACGATGTTGCAAAAATGATGAAACAGTTAAGGTATAATTTTATAGTGTGAATTTTGGGAATTAAAATTACACTTATTGTTGATTTTTTATTGAATCTCATAGCATATTCGAGGAGACTTTAAAACTGTTGGGACCTCATTTCAAGTTTTGACGGTTTTCAACATAAGGTGTTTAATTAAAAACAATCATGCACAACAGAAAAGTGGCAAGGGAGTGTGAAAATGACAATATCTCAAATGATTCTGTTTGTAAAAGAAGAAAACATCCTTATTCTTACCAGTGGCATTGCTGATGGCCTGAGGGTAAGCATTCATCATCAGGTGACTCTCAGCGGAGTAAGAAATAAGCAAATTTTCCTGAAAAATAGGACGGTTTGAGCCACCTGGTTCCTTAAATAAGTAAATAGTTATCAAAATATATTTTGAACAATGTTGTAATTTCATTTCTAAGTTAAATGGATGATAAATAATGTTGCTAATTCACCTTTTTATCTTCAAACATTGGTACGTCACAAAATAAAAACATGTTAAAAACTATGTTTGATTGAACAAGCTAGAGACTAATATCCATCAAAACTTGACACCAATGTTGTGTCATTGAAACATTGTTGATAATATCTTGTTTTCAATATCTGTCACCCATTTTTGTTTAGTTTTACTAACACAGATAAGTGAAAGTTTGGTTATGATACTCAAGTCTTTGTCATATTAAACTCTGGAGTTTAAAAAGTTAAAAACCGATATAACATTTTGATAACTTAACACGTTGACTGCTAACGCCGACTTTAGTCGGCGTCGCTAGCACTTCAATGTGGCACGCGCCGACGGAAGTCGGCACCAGACCAACAGAAATATATTGAGTCAGTGTGAGCTTAGCCTCAGACGGAGACGTTATAATCGTTGCCAGACTGCCAGCTTAGAATGTGAGCTTTACTTTGGTGTAGGTTGGTACTAAAATTTCCCGTAAAATCCTGTCTGGCAATGCTTTTGTCCCAGTTTCGGGGATTTTTTCACTTCAACCCACATTACAAAGACACTGGATACGGATCCGTGCAGTGCTGCTACCTTTGGGTGTTCCAGTGAACTACATCCACTCTCGGGGTAACGCAGCACAGTCACCACTGCTCTTTTGTGATTCGTCAGACTGAAATATTTGAATGCCAATTGCGTTCGCTGATTCGGTTGCGTGGCGGGGCTTCGCCCGCCACTGGGGAGCGCCTGTACGTTGTTTTCAGCAGTCAACGTGTTAAGATTTATTCCACTCCAAACAGTTACCTGTAGTTCCCGCAGTGTTGTCATCTGGTTGTGGTAGACAGACTCCCAGTTGACTCCAGCTTGTATGGCCTCCACTCTGAACACTGTGGAGAGGTTAGGCTTGATGTTGCCAACATCGGCCTGGGTCAGATGTATGTAGTCTGGGCCATGCGCTACTAGGCTGTGGTAGAAGCAATTGCAATGGTCAAAACCACATTGAAAACCCACAAAAAGACATTGAATCATTAATGTCTACATGTTTGTCTTTGTCAATCCATTATTTTACTAATATGAAGACAGGGTTTTGATATCATATAATTGAGTATGTCAAATTCAGTGTTATTTTAAATGGTAGAAAAAGGAGGATAGCAGCTAGCTTACCTTGAAAGTGTGGGTAGGCTATAGAACAAGTAGAAAAATATTTTGCACACAATATTTCGTCCCCTAAGGGACTTTGTCAAGTGTAGAGAGAGTTTATAAATTACAGGATGTAATTATGTAATGTAAGTACAAATGTAAGATGTAATGTAAGTACAAATGATATTGTAATTTATAAACTCTCTCTACACTTGACAAAGTCCCTTAGGGGACGAAATATTGTGTGCAAAATATTTTTCTACTTGTTCTATGGCCTACCCACACTTTCAAGGTAAGCTAGCTGCTATCCTCCTTTTTCTACCATTTAAAATCCTGGCCTAGAGCCTTTCCTTAAACAAAACTAAATTCAGTGTTATGTTATATGACCTTTATTGTTTAACTTAGCCTGTGGACTGTAAACTTTCTCTAGTAAGCTAAATAAACTATATCCTTTAAAAAAATCAAACTAACTACTAAGTTAAATAAGTTAAATACCAAGGACATTATTATTTTTATCATTGGAAATGTCCTACCTACAGGGATAAATAAAACTGTATATAATTATTCAGAACAGCTGGTTTACATTTTGTAAGATTTTTTCAAGAGCTGCAGACAAAAACCAACTTTAACTATTAAAAGTCTGCAGCTAGAGTAAAAAAATTAAAACCTAATTTCCTAAAAACTGACACCCACAATTACCATTATGAATTTTACATTCCCTTCCCCTCAAAATAATCTTTCAAAATAAGAATCATGAAAATCCACCAACTGATTGATTCAGAATCTGTAGGCAAAAACACCCCTTCAAATCTGAAGTATAAGATCAGAGTGTATCACAAGGTACAACCACTCACTTGGTGGCATTCTCCTTATTGAAGACCGGAGCTCTGAACATGAGGACACTGCTGATCATGTAGCAGCTGTTGGATTCACCACAGTGGCCGAGCAGTAGACACGATGGCCGAGCTTTGCGTATCAACAGTCCCGTGAACACCAGTGGGACTTGTACTGAGACACACCCGTCTATCAGCAACAGCACCTGTACACAGATAGGCTCCATGATGCAGGTTATAAAATTCCGATCTAAGATTAAAGAAGTGTTGAGTGGATTGATTTTTGAGCCAAGCTGAGTTTAGTCTAAACGCTCAACTGATTGAGAATCAAGTCAGAAAATGGAGCCGAGTTGATTGCAAAGAGTATCTGCAAAATCACCTTAAAAATACATGTTGTCACCGCAAATGCAAGGGATGATGACGATGTCACAGCAACTGTCGGTGATAGTCAAGATAGTGCTGCGAAATTATTATAGTCATGATGACATTGTGTTGTGATGAATGCACATTTTATAACTTATGATTACTTGATGCTAGTACTTGTTTTATACTTTAAACTATATTAGACATGTTTTAAACTCCTGGATACTTGAAACTTGTGGTTTTGTTAATGAGATCAGTTAATGAATGTAAAAACTGTATTTTCTATTAAACACTTTAAGCTATTTCAAAGAAATAAAGTGGTGGCAAACGTTGAAGATTCCCTTCTTTTAACATTCACAAAGAAAGTGTTGGATATATTAATTATAAACAAATCTTGGCTCATTTTAAAATTTTAAACTTGCACCGCTATTATTAATTTTTTTGAAGACTAGCAAACAAACCTCAATAACAACTTTCCTCTTCTGCACAGAGTCCCTCACATTGATGGCAAGATTGTGCCATTTGTCAGTTGATATCTGACCGAGGACGGAAGCTTCACAAAGTAGTTCCTGCCTCTTGCCGTCCGGACGCACTAGTCTGAACACCAGCTTGCCTGTGGAAGAAAGCGTAGAACAAAATGTTACTCAAGTAAAATTTCCAAAACTCAAATTGATGGGGTTATACAATTTGAGTGTGGCAACTCCTAGATCAATGATTGTAAACATTTTCCCCAAAGGGGAGGAGACTTAGTGGGAATATTTATACAAAGTTTGTTTGACCCTGGTATTTGTGCATGCAGTACAAGTTCACAATTTTGCTGTGATCGTAGGAGATCCAGGAATCAGTGTTGTTATTGTACCTTAAGTCAGGAATTAAGAAAAGTTTTGAGGAATCTATAATTCAGGATTTACCACTGTGTGTAATTTTGGTAGATTTTTCACTCACCAAGCAGACATTAACACAGAGAAAATGGTTTTGTTATTTGTCACAAGTTGTCGAGAATATAATAAAATAATGATTATTTTAACTACAATGCAAGACTACAAGTTTTTTTTTTAATTTTGTATATTTAAAAAAAAATAAAATCCCACAAACCTGAAGTCACTTCCACCCAGACCTCCAGCACCATGACATCAAACCCGACCGACACGAGGTGAGACAGAGACGGAGGTAGTGGCTGAGGTGGAGGGGGAAGCTTCTGACTGCTGTCCGACGAGTGAAGGAGAGTGCCTGTGGAAATTACACATGTATTAACCAAATACTATAATATCATGTTTACAGTACTTTTAATGAAAGAAACAAGTTCTTATTAATATACCAATATTGCTTCTGATACAGTGAGGTGAACACCTCAGGTGGCGTTGGCATAGAACGTATGAACTCAAGCTTCGGTGTTTCATTGTCTCAAACAGAGAATATTTCCTGTTCATCAAAATTGAAGTATAATTCCCAGTTGGTTGGACAATCTGGTTAGAATTTTGCAACACATAGCTTTTTAAATTCAAAAACTGTAACCTTTATCACCAACAGGTTCATATTATCTGGACTTTCAGCAGGGTTTGGATTATGAACCCTAGTGTTATCTTAATATTATCTAAATAACAAGGGTAAAGAAATAAATCTTTTGGAAAATCCATTATTAAAAAATTATAAATAATAAACAACGGAAAGTAAATAAAAGAAACGTCTTATAACACTTAAAACATATATTTACACTTATACTGTTATTCACAAGACGGTAAATATACAAAAAAGTCGGTAAGTGGTGATCGATTTTGATTGGACACTCCAATCATCATCAGACCCAATAGACGAATTTCACCTATTGGGTCTGATGATGATTGGAGTGTCCAATCGAAATCGATCACCACTTACCATCTTTTTTGTATATTTACCGTCTTGTGAATAACAGTACAAGTGTAAATAAATATATGTTTTAAGTGTAATAAAACGTTTCTTTTATTTACTTTTCATAAATTTGATAACACGTACAATGCTGATCAAGAAGTTATTTATAATAAAGAACAAATGGTGTGTTTCTAGCCTATTGGTTAGCCTCTCAGACTTCAGTGCTTTTGGGACACGTTCAATTCCCGACACATCTACAAAACATATATGTTTGTATGAAAATATTGAAAATGGTGTATGTTACAATCTTTTTGCGTCAAACAATCCGTGTGTAGTTAGTAGAACTACAGCTATTTCATGCCCCTAGGGCACATCTTCAGGTTGTCAGAAGAACGTTAGATAAAAAGCGCATTCATCAACTCGTGACTGCTAGCGTGTGTCCAAGCATCAGCTGTTACTGTTACCCCCTCCCTCCAACTCCTTTATCAGGACCTGTTTTGTTTTGGTCTAATTGAATGGCAGTATTGTAAATGATGTTAAATCTTAGGGATGGACGAAACTGAATTTTTAGTTCGAGACAAGACGAGACGGGATATTTTATTTCTCATAAAATTTTGAGGCGGGATTTCCCTTTCTCATACATATTGGGAAATGCACGTTTACCATTTTAACCTGATTTTGTTACATTGTTAAATAGCTACTGTTTTTTGACAGATGACTGGTAAAATACAAAAATAATAATAATAGGCAAGAATATTTAAAACCTTAAAAAAACATCAGTATAAGAAAACAAATATTACTTAGAACTACCTTATTAAGAATAACTATTACGCATAGGAAACATGGTGATATCAGTTAGGATGTTAGGATATAGGCTAGTATAGCTTTTTAGTCTGAAACAGCATCTGACAACCTGAAGATGGGTCCTAGGGCCATGAAACAGCTGTAGTTGTACTAACTACACACAGAGCATTTGACGCAAAAAGGTAACATAAACCATTTTTATATTGCAATTTACGATCCAGAGGCTTACCCACCATGAAATATGTGTTTGATATGCTGGCCCTAAAAGCGTTTGATTGGATACTTATACAACAAATCCAATAAAAATACCATTGTTGTGGTCAAAAAACTACAAGTTGTTATAGTCACTTACTATTCTCTGTGTTCCAAGTATCAGACAAAGATGTGTCGGAGGTCATGATATCCGCAGCATCATAGGGGGGATCAGGGGATGTACAAGTTGGAGGGGAGGAGGGGTGGAGCTTCAGCCAGAAGGCAATAGAGAAGCCGTTGACCCACATGGACCAGCCTAGGTCTGTGTTAATGGGCAAAGCTACAGCACTGCATGACCATGATGAGTACAGACCTGAGTGAGAGAGATATCAACATGAGGAAAGGCCGAAACATTATCAGCTGACAACTGTCAGTCCTTATATTTATGTTACGTTAGAAGTTCAGTTTTGGTGGTTAGCCCATAAGAATAGTAAAAATGAGCTATTGAAAACATACTTTATGTCTGTGTGACGAACTATAGTTTTCCTCATGCCGCACCATTTATTGCATTAAAACTACCACTATACGTAAACTCTAAGCTACAAAAGAAATTCTCTAACTGTACAAGTTAGCTCCCAAAATTACTCCCACTTTTGTTTCTTCTTAATAAAATCAATTAGCTGTTTACTGAGGTATTAGCTATTGCATCTGTTACGATTGTGTTTGTGTATAGCCGTTCCATCTATATATACCAGCTGTAGCCAATTTTTTGTTAGAAAAGAACGTAGTTGTGTACCATAATTTCACCCAAAAAATGAAAAATGAAATGAATGAAATGAATTAGGGGTTTAAAGTTTATTGGCCAGTCACAGTGACTTAAACTCTATTTTCTACCTTATTTTTTTGTTTCTGGCCAAGTTGATAGGTCATAACAGTTGCTATAGCTCACAATAAGTAATTCCATTAGTTTTAATTGGTAAAAAACATTGTGTACTCAACAGAAATTAGTTATTTAGATCAGCACAATCTATCAGTGAATCACATCAACTACAATAATTTTGGTAAAAAACTGGCTACAAAAAATGGGGATGGAATGTCAAGTTGTATTAATAGTCAAAGGCACTATAAAATCAAAATCTATCAATAATCAAAAATCTTTGAGCAATTAATCTGAAATAATGAGAAGGCCTAGCATTTGTTTTTACTTTTGTTTCCCTCAAATCAAAGTTAGAACTTTTGTTAAAAAATATCAATTCCTAATACAAACCGGCCGCAACATGCTGCTGTCTCATGGTTACAGCAGTCTTCTCTGCAGGGGAAGCCTGAGAGTTGAGGTGCACCCTGTCTTGGCAGTCAATAGGAAACTTGAAGGCATAACTAGGCTGCACCTCACTGTTGGCTACAATCGACATCAGCGGAGGCAGCAAGCTCTCCTGAAAAGATTAAATTTTAGCTGCACAAAGATTTATAAGTTATAAAAGAAAACAAATATTTAGTATAAAACTAGAAAACCTCTGTTTTGCCTCATTTTGTATTCATGTATTTTTTTACTAAGAAAAATATTTCACTTTGTGCTCATCAGTTTTTATTTAATTATACTTATACTTTTTCTTTTTATACTTTTATCTATAATGATGGTAGGTATTTTCCAAACCACAATTGCTGTTAATGTCCATTGAAACTAACTTTTGTTTTCTATGAAAAACATTAAGTTGAGCTAAAATAAGAAGTATTTACAAGTATTCAAAATTATTGTAAATATTCTTTTGCGGTTGAAAAAAAGGATGCAAAAGGAAACTTCAGGAACAGTCAATTTCAGGATGGTCACAGTGACGTTCAAGATTCTACTGTCGCTCCGCAGGATTATTTACTTCTACAGTGGAAACCCAAAAAATACTTCTTGTCCATATAGCTTTATTTATTTTATTTTAGTTTGGGTTTATGTTTAACTATTTAAAAAAGTTGAAAGAATGTGTACTGTTGTATAAAAAACTATAAAAAGATAAGAGTAACTTGGAAACATCCAACAATCTTGTAACTAAAGAAACAAATGTGTATCAGCTGATCATAATGATTTTATAGTTTTTCTATTACAGGCATTTTGTAATTTGCAAAGTCAATTCCATATTTCAGGTATCCATCTCAGACGTAGTTATTGTCGTCAGCAACAATAGCAGCAGTAGACGCTTCTGTATTACAGTAAATAAACAATGTAGCTGAGTATTTACAGTTATTTATATCTATAACATGGCAGATATATTTTTAATAAGCAATTGGGTCTTAAGTATATAGCTGATATTTACCAGGGGTGGATTGTCCAGAGTGAAGAACCTGATGTACTGAGCCAACTCATGAGGTTCCAGCGCATGTCTGGCAAGAATACTGACCAGCTCTAGCACAGCACACTGGAGCTCTGAAAACAATGGTGAATCAGGCACAGGGCACAGAAGTGACAAAATACAATAATTTGAAGAAATTAGTTGAATCTTAAAATCTACCAAAACAATGGTTTTAAATCAAGATTGATCGGTTTGATTTGATAGTCGAATCTCCAATTTAGTTACACCCTACATTTGCCCATGCTGCTTCAGCCGTGAGTTTGTTCAAGGAGGTAAGCAAAATAGAATCTGAATAAGGATGTTCAAGCCCCTCAAAGATTTCTGGTTTTACAACCGGTTACAATCCTGTGTAGCAATAATTCTCTTTCTTTATCATAGCAAGTGAGAAAGTCTACTGCAGATGCTATTTTTTGATATTTTTTAGTGCTCAGAAAGAACTTTTGCCAGTTATTACATCATACCGCACAGTACAGAAAATATGAGCAAATTCATCGAAAAACTCTGAAATTGTTAAACATCTTTTTTTACTAACCACATTTTCAACGTATATAAGGGTGTCTACACGTTTTTTTCAGACAAGGACATTTTCCAAACTTACCTCGGTATTTTGTGTCAGACAACGACAGTATGTCAGAGAACTGTGACAGAAGTCTAGAAACCATCGCGTGTTGTATGAGAACGTGACAGTTCTCTCTGGACAATCGTTGTATGCAGTACACACAATCCACCAGCTGTGATTGACTGAGGGACTCACTGCAACAAAGGTAGAAAAATCAACAATAATTCATCAATTTCATTTCAAACCATTGAGAAAAAAACACTGGGGAAAGATGGAAAGTTGTGGTCTTAGTTGTGGAAAGCTTTCAAATCCTTAAATTAAGATGAATAGAGAGAACAAGATGGACTAAAGAGATATCAGTTGTAATATAGCAGTTAAGTCTGAGAATAGTCCTCCTCTTTATGAATTAGCACTTCAGCCGGGTCCGCGGAATTGGCTAACTCTGGAACTCGCTAACCCCATGTTAAACGCCCTATCTTCAAATTTGGTCGATGAGAGGAACTCGTTAACTTGTTCGGTTTCGGAATTGGCTAACTCCGGAACCCGCTAACCCGCTCTAGAGCCGGGTTAGCGAATTCCGTCCTCGCACGGAAGTCGCTAACTCGGTCCCTCGGCGGAACTCGCTAACTCCCAATCAGAAGCCTCTCGAGTCGTCCAATGGGAGCCAAGCACGAATATTTTTGGCCAGTGTTGCCGAAAGTGTAGTACCTATATCGTATTGGTACCATAATGTCGTATCCTACGATTGATTAGGAGTAAGAGCAACGTAGTCGATAAAATAAATATATTTAGAAGTGTGTTTAACATTATTCCTATGATTATTATTGTGGAAAATGCATTATAGTCTTACCATAGACTAACCAACATAAGTAAACTTTACATCCCATTGTAAACTTTGAAGCTCGTTTTTCGTGTCTAGTTCATGTCCGGTGACACTGATCGCTAGTGTCGACAAAATTGTGTTTTTATTATTTTATAGTTAACTTCATGATTTGTTCCTTACTAATTGGTTATATAACTAGGGGACGTGTTATTAGTTGTGATTAGAACGTTTTATTTGGTTAAACGAGGTTTTAAATTACTGAAAACAAGAAACGATTGTAAACAAAACACGACCTCTAAAGACAGTGCACCGGACAGAACTAACAATAAAACTGTCTTCAGCTGATCAATAAGGATGAGATACGTACTAATATAAGGGAGTATGTTTTATATGTGGGTTTCTTACTTAAATAGTTTAGTAGCTTATTGGTATGCAAAAAGATAAAAATGCATATTTAATTTGGATCTATTACATGTTATGAAATATCTATTTTCGTAGTCCGCCATTTGTTTCTTTTATTCGAATAAATACCATTTTGTAAATTTCTGCAAATAAAAATATTGAGTTCGTATTTTATATACTGGGCTTGTAACCTTGAATCATAAATCATAATAAAATTTACACGTTAAACGTCATTAAAGAATTACATTGTAGTGGTAATGTATTTTTTAATAGAGCTATTGAATTTAAATAAATATTTATCAATACATTATAAAGTGGTAGGCCTAATGTATTCATGGATTGCATTAAAAGTTAGTCTATGCATAAATACAACTTGTAAATTTCTTTTATCGTAGGCTATTAGTGTAGACCCGGGGTCATCCTCTTAATTTTGTTGAATTAAAATTAATTTTACGTCTTTCAGTAGGCCTACTTTTTAAAAGTCTGGAGTTTTTCTCTAGGCTGATTCTAAATGGACCCAGGCATTCTTGTTTGTTACAATTCTATGAATTGGTGGCCATAGCTAAAATTACTTAACCTTATCCAAAAAGCTATTGTCTATTGTGAAGCTCAGTACTGGGCAACGGTGAACCGAGCAATGGCTTGGTATAGTTTATATCGATTGTGAAAGCAATATAAAGGAAACCCAACACTCATATAAGGAAAATCCGTCAATTCGTTTATTAAGAATCGTGAATAAAAATTATCGTGTCACGTTTTATTATATGAATATTATATCTTCTACTATTTTTTACTAGTGGTGCTTAGGTGTACAATCTAAAAACGGTTTTATAACATGTAACATAAATCTGTTTTCCGTGTTTAAAAACTTGCGTGTATTTTAGCTTAGTTTCGTAGAGGTTTAATTATTTAGTACCAATTAAACTGAAATTTCAATATTTTTCATATTCTATTATTTTCTTTTATACTGATGGCATTTATATTTAAGAGCGAAATCATAAACATTTAACTGGCCATTGTACAGTTTAATAAAAAAAAACACTTTTTCATGATTTTTTAATTGTCTTTGAATTACTTTGGGCTAGTTATTTGTTAAAAGTGGAATTGATAACAAAAAAAATAACATTTACTGTATCTTTATTGACACTGACATTTTGAAATACGGCAGTGTACGATTATTTTGTCGTACAAGGTTGGCAACGCTCCGTGCAGTGGGCGCGGCCGGGTTAGCGACTTCCAGAGTTAGCGAATTCCGCCGCGAGACAAAATCGAGTTAGCGGGTTCCGGAGTTAGCCAATTCCTGACTGAGACGGTTAGCCAGTTCCAGAGTTAGCCAATTCCGACACACGACCGAGTTAGCGAGTTCCTGAGTTAGCCAATTCCTACGTCTCCTTCAGCCTTCTATTGGTTGTGGCCTCTGCTACAATCCTAGTTTTTTTTTTTTTTTTTTTTTTTTTTACTATGGCATTTCCTCTCCATGGCCTTCTTCTGGTATTGAAGAACATTCCTTCCGAAATGTGTTTGCCAACTTCCTCTAGCTTTAATACAACTTCCTTCTCAATCGAAGTCTGAGCTGTATGCTATTTTTCAGCTGTCAAAGATTATTTGTCAGTTCTGTTCTGTGTTCAAGGTCAGGTTTTGTAGCAATAGTCACTTTGTCAAGCAAGTCATTTGGCATGGAAGAAGCCGACAAGCAGACTGCAAGAGTTCATCAAGTGCACGAGACTCAGAGACAAACCCAGAGGTATATAAAAATAATTTGAAGTTAAAATCATTCCAAGGACTCTTTGAAGGGATATTTGATACCTTACATTTGACCACTTTGAGACAAGATAATACATAGATAGATAATACCTACTCTACTTTAACCAGTACCAGTTAAATATCCAGTTTCTTGCTCAAGAAAGTTTTCATCACCGTACAAACATAAAACCCCCATTTTCGAAGTTAGGACTAAAAATTCCATCTTGATCGAACCTTACTAAACAAAAACTCATTCAACAGGCAAAATTCATTTACATCAATGTTTTGATCCCTAACAACTCACCATTGAACAAAGGAGGATACCAGGTCAATGGCCAGCACGCAGAGTTCTGGGTGTGTTATCTGGGCAGTTCTGCGGTGATCCACAGACACTTTGCGACTTGCTGACAAACTCACCATTCCTGCACTGGTGTCCTCCTCGGCCTAACACACAAGACAACAATTATTACTATTGCACTTGATATTAATGTAATAATCCCCATCATGTTAAGCAAATTGTTACCAAAGTAAGATGGTCAAATTCAGGAATTCAGAATCTCTTATAGAACCTTAGTCCTAAACAACAAAGTTCCAAATCTAACATTACGAATCGAAAAATAATTTCAATAAAACACAATAAAGAATCCACTGTGAATAATTGAGTATCACAATTATTTACCTAAGTTAATTTAAAAACTCAAAATTGATCTTCAAAACTCTTCAAATTACAAGAGTGGAGAGCATCTCTTAATCGTAAATACTTCTCAAGACTAAATTAACAAACTTTTACTTACAACAAAAAACAAAAATACCCCTGCTGCAGCAAATCTGCCGACTAAGCGAATTTCCATTTGCCTGGATTGATTTTCAATTAATCTATTAAATTAAGATTTATGTTTAACGAGTACCTAGGTTAGCTGATATGGGGAAACTAATTAAGTGTCTTTTTTCTTTCTCTCTAAGTGGTCTTACCATGAGACCTACAGTAATAGCTACTTCCCTTTAGGGAAATTTGCTAAAAAACTGTTAAAACTGTAGTAACATGTGCTGCAACATGGGGGTCAAGCTAAAACCATTACACTTTTGCTTTGGGTTTACTAGTACTACTGCGAAAGACTTTTGGGTCTGCTCAATGGCTGAGCGATTTGAGTAACTGTCAACTCTTCCAGTATTCAACAACGTAGATCCTAATTTAGTCTCAACTCAATAGATTACATTAGTACGAGACTATCAAGAGTAATATATCTTATGAGACGCCTTATAAACATTATTTTATTCCTAAAAATTACATCAGAAGTGCGTACTTTTCCTTTTTTGAATCTATCATTTGATACGGTTTAATACTGTGGGGAAACTGCTCAGGAATTCAGGACATTTTACTGCTCCAAAAGAAGGTGATTAGAATTATGGCTGGAGTACATTTTAGGGAACATTGCAAACCACTTTTTAGGCAGCTTCAGATTTTAACCATCATAGACTTATATATTTTTGAAATCACAGTTTATATATTAAAAAACTCTCATCTATTAAAATTCAAAGACAAAATTCATAATTATTATACCCGAAACAAAACTAAAGCAGTGATTCAATATTGTTGCTTAACTAAATCGTTGGATAGCCATGTGGTGATATCTTTAAAAATTTACAATATCTTTGAGCCTATGATTAGAAAATATTCAATAATAAATCAATTTAAAAACAAACTCTATAATTGGTAACTAGATAACCCATTTTATACATTAGATGACTTTTTTAAAATTGGTGAAATCAAATTTTAACATAATGTAATCTTTGCACTTATTTTATTTTATTTTATTTTTTATTTTATTATTATTATTATTATTTATGTTATTACTATTATCTTTTAATATTAGTATATTGTATTTTACATGAGATTTTTAGAGGTATTTAAAATTTAGTTTCTTAAATGATTTACACAAATTTGTCTAACTTCTTTGATTGTTTGACAAAAAAAACTTAAACAAATTTTTGTTTGTATTTAATTACTGTTGTTGGAATTTAACTATTCCTAATTAATATTATTTCATTATTTTTTTCTTTTTTTCCCTTCATTTTAAGAAATTTACTAAGCTCTCAAATGTTTTTATGTTTTATTAATAGATAGCGTAAAAGAAAAAAAAGTTAAGTTAATTTATCATTTTAATTTTTACTAGATACTTAATCCTATACTATTGTAGATGTGTAGTATGTATGTATATGACGTAGGCCTATACATAGGCTGATGTGTTGACTTTGTCAATGATTTGTAAAAATCAAAAAGACAAATAAATGATATGATTTGATTTGATTTGATTTTGATTTCAATCAGTTAACCTATTTAAGACAGAGGGCGGGCAAAATAAACAGGAGACGATTATGATGGAACCGAAACAGGTTTAATTGAACCCGAATAATTGAACTTAATTCTTATTCAAATAAGTGATTGCTACATTTTACTTTATGTGTCCGCCAAAAACCTCTTTATTCTAATTTGTAATTTTGGGAAACAAGACGAGACAGAAACTAGATATAAAAAAGACTTGATGAAATTAATAAACCATAGTGCTTAAAAGAGTTGATACAATATAATGGTTCAGTCAATACCTGTTCACTGAGTTGATCCCTGATCTCAATGTCCGCCTCGTAACCCTCATCGGCTGTCAGTTCCGGACTTGAGTCGTACTCAGACACAGTGTCCTCAAACTTCACACAACTTGTTGACGACACCAACGTCATCACTGTGTCATTCCCTTCCCATGATAGGCCACCCACCTAGAATTTCAATAAATCAGGAAAAATGCTCACTAAAGGTTTTTTGTGGGGAATTAGGGTATTTTAAGGCTTATAGCAAGTACTGTATATTCCAGTAATTTAGAGTTTACGCTTGGCAATAAACACAGTTTTATTATAAGCAACTTAATGCTGCAACATTAGTTTGTTACACTTTCATTCATTCATTCATTCGGTTTGTAGGATGCAAAAGCTGCACTTATTGTGATAATTGGTAAATACAGAATTCTTTTTGTTAGTTGGTAGTTTTACAGGTTTTTTCTGATTCTCATTCTAGGTTGAACTACAACTAACTAAGTCAGCGAAAATCCTCCTACATTGAAAAAAACATAATCATAAAGAAACTTCCAAAACAACCTGAAGAATGAAACAGGAAATAAACTAAAACAAAAACTAGTGGATTGGCTGTTAGAACAACCCATCTATTTTATGAAAGATTTTTGGACCGACTAAAAAATTTACCTCAGTAAAGCAAGAACTAACTGTATTTATTACACCATTGCATTTTTTTAGAAACCACAAATATATTTGTCTGTTGTTTACTGTCTGGGGAGGTTTTTTTTTTTCAACTATGCAAGAAATAGTTTACCTTTGGCATTTTATGAGTTGGCAGCACAAGTCTTGAGCTAGGTTGAGCAAGACTGGCTCTGTACAAAACATCACACACTTGTCTAATGGTGACAGACCCACTAGCTACAGCAGCCATTAACATAGGTTGTAACTGCCGCACCAGTACTTCACAAGGCATAAACGTTTCTAGAACAAACAGAAGAGACGATATAAATAGGTTACATACCTTACGTCGTCAATCCTAAAATTAGTCTATGGCAACTAATTTCGAAACATCAAGGTTTCATTGTCGAGCCTCTTGCCTCTTAAAAATATTGGGACATCTTGTCTTCGTCATTACACATAGTACATTTAACATATAAACACGAACAGGGACAAAAACTATTTACAAAAATGAATGCGCGGTCGGCCATAAGTACCGCGGTGACGGACACGATGACTACAAAACAGATGAAATACAAAACAGGATGAATAAAACAGAAGAGACTAAATTTACTGAATGATAGATGTGAGAAGAGTAGGAGAGAATTATAGGGGAATGGAGTTGATGATGATTGGGAAGAAAACTGTGACGGACTAGAAGGATTAATGAGATGAAGTGGGATTTGGAGAATCAGAATAGAGGAGTGATGGAAGATGTTGGAAGAAAATAAATTATGAATAGGAGAAGACAGTGAGACCTAATTTACACAAAATGAGGAATAACCAATTTTAAAAGATTGTTTGTACGTATCTGATGCACAAAGCTTGCCTGCGAACTTGAAAGTCAAGAGGCTTATACACAAAAAAGTCACAGCACAAAAACTTTGTTCAGGAACAGAACTTCAAAGTACATCTCCTTTTTCTGTCTACTCTCTGAAGAAATCTTACACCAAAACAGAATACCAATTTGATGTTTTATTTGCTCGTATTTACACCAGTGTCATTTTTGTAAAAAAGTAAAGTCAAACACTTTCAAGGGAAAGCGTGCCAAAACCATTAAATGTTTAGCGGATGTGCCGGGAATTGAACCCGTCCCTACCGCACCAAAATCCGAGACACATCCACTAGGCTAGCAACACACCCAATAGTGCTTATAGTTGATACCTATAAGTCTGCGGATCCTAATTTTCTGTTGTTAGTTCTGAACTTTATTGCTTTGCAAAATAATTCCTTTCCAAGGTGTTTTGTTGGATTTTTACCGCTAATTAGTGTTTTTTTTTTTTTTTTACATAATTTAGCACAAACCTGGATTGTCTGCAGCTGGGGGACACACCAGGCATATGACCAGCAGAGGCTCGGCCAGCTTCAGGTGCAACTGACTGACACTGGTCTCCTTGTCTTTCATTGGCTCTTCTGTCAACATAAATGAAAGGGTAAGATTTGTGAATTTAACCTTGTTTGTAATAGATCTTGAAACTGAAAAAAAATCTTTGGTAATTTAGAGAAAATCCCTTACTAGTCTTAAGTATTATGACTAATCAAACATCATTGTCAATGTTAATGTGGAAAAATGTATTATGCTTTCTAATTAGATTATTTTGAAATTGAAAAGTTTATTAAAATATATATGGTAAAATCATCTCATAAATTCCCTGTTAAAGGGTCTCTAAAACGTCCATTTTTTCTTACAGTTTAAAGGCGACATGAAAGTGACAATCCTGAAAAGGTGTCTAATAATACTGTATTGTTTAAAATAATTACATCCACGAATAACTATTACTTTTGCTTTTCAAGAGTACATGGACATTGGACAACTTGTCCAAATTAAAACAGTAAGTGAAAAATTCCATACGTAGAAAACTTGTACTAACCTTTGATGAAGGTAGACTTGGTGATTTTCTGTAGAACTGTCACCAACAAGCTGTGTGCCAATACTGTGGTTGTACGTTCGTGTATGGATTGTCTGACTTGAGGACTGTACAGGCTGAGATTGGCCAATGTCTTCCACAGAGACGTAAGTGACACCAGTAGTTGTCCGTATTGTTGGTAGCAATGAGTGGAACTGAACCGCAATGTATCATCGCAACAAGTAATACTGTCATCTTCCACGTCAGCTTCCTTCTCTAAATCGTCCCTGTGCATCGACAGACATTTCGTTGAGCTCCACCGGATCTCTTCCAGCAGAAAATCAAATTCAGTTACATTTACTGACGATTTGAGAAAGGAATCTTTGGCATCGTTGTTTTCTGATGGTTTCTGTTCAGATTTCCAGATCTGAGTGATTATCACAATCTCTATAATGGAGCAACACAGCTTCATTGCATCTTTATCCTGCAGCATTTCCATTATGTGAGCCGTCGCTTTCTGGTCGATGAATTGCTCTACGATTCTCGCTCGTCTCAAGAGATTTGTAAATACTGAGAGACAAGTGATGATTAGGAATTTGTCAATTTCGGAATGATACTCGCTGAAGCGTTCACGAGCTTTGAGAAAAACAGGGTAAAATACTGAAAAAAGAATTTCTTGCTTGACAGCAAGTTTACAACTAGGAATGATTCTCAACAGGTGGGAGCCGACTAGGAATGTTAGCTTGGAATCAGAAGACAGCAAGAGATCTTTGAACAGAGATAAACAGCTCCATTTCGGCTGCTTGCCTTCAGGAACAGGAGCAACTGGGGAGGATTGAAAGTCACTTGAAGAACATTTTGAAGATTCGTCAAAATATTCAACGTAAGACTCTCTTGCACACAGTTCACAATTTGTGCTTTCTTCAAAAGCACCCATCTGTTTGTAAAATGTTCTTTCTAATAAAATCAACCCACAGTTTCTGATTCTTTGGTCAGTGCATGACAGTAACCTGATGATTTTCTTCAGGAGGAACAAAGCTGGGAAACAACAACATGTACCACAAGACGTCATCAGCTGCAAGGTGCGAATGACAATATCTCTATCTACGTTGTCTGACAGGAATTTAGTAAGAGTCATAAACAGAGAAGCAATACTACAATTCTGTTGAGTCGATGGAGATAAAACGGATCTTACGTAAACACAACCAAAAATGTTATCATGGTGATGCATGAGAGCTTTGGAAAGACACAGTTTGTGCCTACTTCGTTTGCACTGCCGAGCGTGAACGATTTTTGTTCTTGTCTTTTTCAAAGCGGTGATAAGCTGGCCAACCAGGAGAATAATTTTCTTTGCTCTCTCAGTGCACTTCCTTTGGCTGACTTGAGAGAAACTCAATATCACAGTTACAGTTTTATCAATTAACCTTCCATTCAAACTGTTCCCGAATTGGTGAAACAAATTGAGAAACTGATCCAGTCTCTCGGCTGAACTGTTCTGTATCAGCAAACAATGGACTGCAGTGATTACACCAAAGATCACACTAAAAATATACTCATTTGTCATCTGAGCTTCATCAGTATCTTTAATTTCTTTCACCACATCAGCAGAATGTTTCCTCAGAATATCTTCTGCAAGTCTCAGCATAACTGGGAGTACTCCTTTTTGAAGAGCGGAAAGAGTCATTTCTGGATGAACCAAAACCTTATCCAAAGACGACAAAAGCAGTCTAGAAAGAAAACATTTCAGTTGTGAAATTCTTTTTGACGGCACATCCGATCCAAACTGCAGGGAACAAAGCGTTTCCAAACTAAAATTCAGAGTTTGAAGACAAACTGATTGGTGGTTGCTGCTGATTTGCTGACTGACGTTTTCTGACTTGACTAATGCGCTGAGAAGTTCTGTCAGTAGCATTTTAAACTCAAAACTGTTTATCGTTTGCTTCATAACGTCTTGGATTCGAACATCACAGAAGTCTTCTGGGGTTTGTTTCGTAGATGACTTCCTGTTGTGGACAGGCTTGATGGTGATGTTCTCCATGGGTGGTTCGTCATCGCTTCTCACCACAGTGGTAAAGTAGTCAAAGTCCATTGGGTTGAGACGTATCTTGAGAGCGGATCTGATCTGATGAGCCTCGCTAGACTCTGCATCTTCTGACTCACTACTCTCCTCATCCTTACCAAGCTCTGGAGCCGTCACCTAACAGACCAACAAGTAATCAAACAAACTTAATACTTTTGAAAACTCTCTCTCTCTTTTTAGCCCTATTCCATTTATTATTTCATCTATGATTAATAAAATGCTACAGTAAAATAGATTCAGTAAATTTGTGTCATCAATGCTACATCAAGAATAAATTTACTGTAAAGCCAGGTGTTAATTTATTTTATCAAATAGAGAAATTCATCACAAAATCCATAGTCTTACATCACATTAAACTTAATATTTTTAAAGGGGGATTTTATCTTGGAAGAATTAGACCTCTTTCCTTGGGTTGGTTACATGTGTGAAACAATTTTTATTTTTTATTTTTATTTTTTTTTAATAGGCCTACTACTTTAACTTTGACTTTTTTTAACTCGTTCGAGAAATCATAGTTTTGAACCAATTATATGTTAAAATCAAAATTAAGAAAAAAATGTTTTCTAAATAAAAATTATTTTGTTCGCTGACAAACTTAATTAATATACAAGGGTTATCTATAAAAGGTCTCCATTGAGCCCGCAAGGTAGTACAAATCTAAGACAAACGTCGACTTCTTACTTCATTCACTACCCTTCTAGCTGATTCACATCCCAATAGTATTAAAAGTCGTTGAGAAAGAAAATTGACGCTCCCGTCAAGTATAAATCACGTTTTGTAGTATCAAGGAAGGGGGTAAAATCCCTGGTTATTACTGTTGCTGCTTGGCAGATGTATGTCCAGAAAAATGGTTCTACGTAGAAAATGTGCATTAGTGGCTTGGGGAGTGTGTAGGGAGCGTTTCATAAACTCCAAATTTCACAAACTCCAACGCTTAAAATATTAAATAAACAGAGTGGTTCATAACCTCCAAATTTCATAAGCTCCAAATCTATAACATTCAAATAATCACTGTTTCACAATGTCCAAGTTTCACAAACTCCAACGTTTAAATATTAAATAAACAGAGCGGTTCATAATGTCCAAATTTCATAACCTCCAACGGTACAGTCTGGGCCAGAAGTCTCTCTAGTGGTTGCCACAGTCAGATAGCAGGCACCGTTCGCCAGCGCTCAACTACTGATTATACGTACATTTTAATGATTGAAGAACACTCAGATGTGTGACTCAAATATGTGTTAGCACACAATGTGCAAATCAAATTTACATTTTAGCGAATTTCCCCTATAGGGAATAAGCTATTACCGTAGTACTCATGGTAAGACCTGGTCCCGGGACCGATTTACTTGTTCGTTTTGAGGTCCCTAGAGACCAAAAACACAATCAGTTATATATATATATTTATATGTGTGTCCGTTAGCGCGATAACTCGAGCAAAAATCATCCGATTTTGATGAAATTTGGTATAAACGTGTAAACCTACGTTTATTCGAACGAGCTCGCGAACCAGCATGATCGGACTATGGGAACTCTTAAGAATATATACTTATACTCTTAAGAAAGCAATTACGGAGCAACAATGATACTTCGTGTTACACCGCTACAACAGTAGAACGTGTAGCGCCTACATACCGAACCACGGCAACCTCTGCAGCGACTTCTGACAGAGACTGTACCGTTGGAGCTTATGAAACTTGGAGGTTATGAACCGCTCTGTTTATTTGATATTTAAACGTTGGAGTTTGTGAAATTTGGACATTGTGAATCGGTGATTATTTGAAAGTTATAGTTTTGGAGTTTATGAAATTTGGAGGTTATGAAACGCACTGTTTATTTAATATTTTAGACGTTGGAGTTTGTGAAATTTGGACATTATGAACCTCACCCAGTGTGTATAAGCCCGTACACATTTAAGTACCGAGGCCAGAAGCGGATATTCACCAGTTTTTCTTTAGTATGAAATGAAAATTGTTTATTTGAAATGAAAATCGTTTATTTTTTCCGAAGTTAGGGCCACATGGCCCTTTTTGACACTTAACCTGACATTAAAAAAACTAACAAAATAATATTACATTGGGATAACTAACAGTTTCCATCATCTCAGTGATTGATTTTTAAATCTTTGCTTGCAGATCAGTATGTTTCAGTCCGAAGTCTTTGATAGTCTTATAGAAACGTTCCCTATTAGTTTGATAATCCCTCCCATTCATTCATCCTACCAGTTTGATAATCTCTCCGATTCATTTATATCATGAGAAATTCCTAGTACTTTGGGCAAACGTGACTGATCGAGCAAGTCGGACAACACTATCGAAAACACCATTAAGTTATCGTTTAAGTAAATTCCCCCACTTGCACACACATTCTAAGTCAAAATACTTTGCTCCATTCACTTCCGTCAACTGGCGATGGACTTTAACAGCGGTTAATGACTGGGACCACAGATATTCAATCACAGAACGTAATTTATACTAGGGAGCATCAATGCTCTTTCACCTTTTTTAATAGTAAGGCCAGGCTAATCACCCCAATGGGAACTAGAGTAGTATTGAACGAAGTATGAAACCAGGAACTATTATTTTCCTGTCAAAATTTAAATTAAAGCACCCCGCTTTACAGTACAACTATTTATTAAATAATGTATTTGTTAAATGCCTGCTTTTAAATTCTCCGGCTATAGACTGAATAGCTTTTTACAGATAAGGGACTTTTGAGTTAGTATTTTTCCTCTGACTTTGTTACTCATATAGACACAGAGATAGGATTGTCCGTCATAGATACAGTTGACACAATATTATTACATTCACTGTATCACCAACTAACTATTGCACATTTCAACTTGGGTATTCTTAGATGATTTAATGCTAAGGTAAAAAATGTTACAAATGTTTATAAAAACCTATTATTTTAGTTGCAATTTTTTTACATTATCTTGAAGCTCATTGAAAGAATTTTAATAAAAGGGTTTAAATAAGGTCATAAACAAGTCTATAAACTTCTACCTAAAACTTAGAAGAAATAAAAACTGAATATAACATATCTTTTGATTTTCATATGTTTTACTAGCAAATCAGTTGAGGCTTTGCTCACGAAAATTACAAAGTTAAATGTTCAACCTGAGTAGGGCCTACACTTCTTGAATTTTAATTCGTTTAACTATAAAAAATCTGTTGGTTTATGCAGTAAAACACTTTTTTGTCATACTGCAGCAAAAACAGCCGTTTTAATGCATGCGGGTATAAAGTAGCATTTTTACTCTCTAGGGAGTAAAAGTATTTTTTTATCCCTAGGGAATAAAATTCAGCCGTTGTTAACAATTTGTAAATTTTGATTGTGGTAATTCTATCAATCGAAATTATTTATCGATTGATTTATTAGGTAAGGTGTAAGCCTACTATTGTCAATCGCTCGACATATTGATGGTATAATGTACACAATCGTTATAGACAAAATGATTGAATCACTTACTATACAGCTGCTTATTTGCATTAGTAGAATTTCAAACAAGCTGGAAGTCGTTTTGAGAGATTATTTTTAACATAAAAATTATTTCGTTCTCTAGCTTAGTTTGTTAATTAATGATGCAATATGACGAAAAATATAGTTCACTACATGGGCAAAATGTGTCCTCACTCATTTTTCGACCTCGGTTTCGCGTCAATCGTAAAACTTGACCTCGGGTCAAAATGAGTCACTTTAGGCCCTAGTGATGAAATATACTATTTCAAGCCACAAACATAATGTAAATATTTTCATTGTATGTAATAAAATATAACCAGCTGTTCCCTTAATTTAATAAAACTATTTATCTGTTCAGATGTAAACAAATCTTTTCTACATAAGGATAGAATGGTAACTTTGTAAGCCACTGGGGCAGAGCCCTGATGGGATTTCTTGAAAACGCTTCTCATTGGTTGATTGGAACCTCCTTGCCAATCCCTGAGTTGTTATGGCTTGTAGTTTTTTAGATATAGGGATCAGTGAGGGGTAGTTGACTTTTATAAGTATAGAAGATTAAAAAGATCAACTAAATATAAATAAACACCAAGCATATCTCCTTGATTCATATTAATCAGCCTGGTGTAAAACACACTCATATGTAAAAAACAGTTGGTGAATACAGAATGCAAACCCCCATTTGGAAACCAATATTATTTTGGGGCTTTTATAATTTTATTGCACCTATCTATAGTTTTTTTTTTTTTTTTTTTTTTTTTGCTTGTGATTATTTATTCAAGTTCAGTAGGCCTCAATAAATTTTACCATGCAAACCCCTTTTCTATTACAGCATAAGTGTTTGGCATTTGTGGTCCTTATTTGTAATGTTATCAGTTTGAGATAAGCAGAATCCATAGTTTAACTTGGTAGGCAGTCCAGTATACAAGCTACTGTTAAATACGATGTTTGCTAGCTTACAGAGTGGTCAGATAAATTTATGTCCTCTGTATCCTTTAAACCCACTAAAATTATTTAAATCCCAATAATTTATTCTTACTTTTAAAAGTTTATGTACAGTTAAAAAGCCGGTTTATGCAGTTTAGTTGTTGAGTTAATGTGTTCAGGTATTTGATTATGATTTAAAGACAAAACATTTTTCAGTAAAGATTACATGCAAAATATACCTGAATCAGTACTCTGTTTAAGATAAACTGTTTTTAATGTAAATGTATTCATGTTGTTAAGGCCCGGTTTCCCCAAAATGGTGTAAACTACATTATAATAAACTAGTTTATTTTTAAACTCCGCTTAAAATGTGTGTTCGGTTTCTCCAACATTTTACTGGCTTCGTTTAAGATAAACGGCAATTCGAGCGGTTGGCAATCCTGAATGTGTATTTGTAAGGAATCTTCGGTGGGCTTTGGGCTAGTGTTTCCTACAACCACCACAACGCTGCGCTACAACTCAGTAGAACAGCAAAGTGCGAATGCAGCTAGAATAGCATCACTGTTTAAGGTTATGTTATCAAGTTATTGTCAAATTCAGATTCATTCCATTTATTGAAATGGTCAATTCTGTCCCTTATTTTAGTAGACCCTCTTGTTCTAGGTACTAAAGTGTCATAATCTTCATCTTCGAAAATGTCTATTAAACTCTTCCGTTTCAGTTAAGGGTCAAATACTGCAATTAACAGTAGCCTAACTTGAAATAAAATCAAATGTACAAAAAAACTCAATAAAAACAATAAATTATAAATAAAACTTAACTTATAAGCTAGCCCTAAACCAAGCCTATTTTCGTCCAAATGAATTTTTAGTTGCTTCAATTATTATTGTTTTAACACCTACTTTTGATTTTGATTTGAGGTTATGTTACTGTTGTAATTTACTCATTTGAACTCAGTTTATTTTATCCCCAGTAGTTAAACCAAGTCGAGAGGTGGTTTAGTTTGAACTTAGATTAATACCTAGTTTAAATTTGGGGAAACACAAATCAAAGTTAAACTACGTTTAAATCGCCGTTTAACTTAAAACTAAGTTTAAATGAGTTGGGGAAACCGGGCCTAAAGGATTATTGTTGACATTTTCATGTAATGAATGGTAATTGAACTAGTTGTTGCCAACTTTCACATTATTTCTGTGGCACATTTGCACCCCAAGCACTAATGTATCATGTGACACCTGATTTTCCCTATTCACTATTATAGCTCAAATGCTCAAACAGTGTGGTCATTATCATGTGTTGAGTGGACAGTATTGATTGATATTGTAATCTGTTATTGTTTTTTCATCTTTTTCCTGTTTCCCTCTTTAAAATTGGACTGCTCTGTACATTTGTTGTTTTTAGCACTGTGCTTCGGAGCTGCCTTGGTTTTTAACTAATCATTTTCTATGTTCTTTCCTAACTGGGTATGGGATCAGATACCATCTTAAAACGTGGAACATTCCTTTTACTAATCACAGATCGAAAATGTAAACACCTCCAAAATTATTAGTAACCAAGTAAAATTTGAGAACAAAACACATCCCGTTCATCTCTGTTAAAACTAAGTTGGCGTAAACTTTTAGATACTGAACTAGACATCCTATCTGTGACATTCAAGTAACAATGAGTCGTACTTTAGTTTTGAAAAAATAGTCAACACAAATCAAGAATATACATAGCACACACTCTGTCGGTGGTTCAATTTTTATTCTAAGGCTGACTACAATTTTAAAATAGGATTGTCTACTAAGTCTACTTCTTTCAACAGTTTACAACTCACAGCTCTTGGTACTCGGAAGCTGTTTTTGCGAGGAGGAGTCGCCTCGGAATGACTGAAGGAGCGACTCTTGCGTCGCAGAGGTTGCGGACGACACACAACCTCCCCATCCTCCCCTCCCCCCACTCTAAGGGAAAGGTAGGGGTTGTGTAGGTCAGCTTCCCCCTCCACATCCTCCCCTCCCACGGTGTACAGGGAGATCAACAAACTGGTCAGCTCCCGGCTGCAGGACACCTCCTGCAACAACGAACATCAAAGAATTTATACCCAAATGATTACCAAACTATACACCTATTTAATGGAGGATGGATGTAGAAGAATATTTTGGTGACCTATTCAGCTTTTAATGACCAAGACAAGCTGTTTTTAGGAGGGAAAATTATTCAAAGCCCAGAATTTATTATTGAGGAATCCAGTATTAAATTACCAATAAGCTTAAGAACTTTTCTAAGTTTTGAACCGACAATTTAATTTCAGCACTAATGGTACAAAAATATAACATGCTAATTGCTAATTATGGTGTCCGTAGTGGTGACTCACATAATAACAAATGTTTTAACGAATAGTGGACACACAATATTTTGGTGATACAAAAATCTAACAGGCAGAGTGTGTTAACATTCTTAAAAAGTGTAGCGGACTAATGGTTAAAAGGTTTTCTTTTGGTGATGAAAATCGCTCCAACAATCATAGTTTTAATTGGATCCCATCTCTAGAATTATTCATGTTACAAACAAAAATATGAAACAGTGTCTTACTCTGGTACAACTACAGTAACCTAATAAACAGTGCGGTTCAGAACAGAACAGTTCAGACACATTTTACAACACTTGGAAGTTTTAGGATTTGTAAAACACGCAGTTATATTGAACACTTAAAGTCGACCAATTTAGGCATGGGATAAACACACAATGATTTGCCTTATAACTTAGAATTCAGTACCATAATATCCGGTTATGAATCCATTATATTTCCAAATTATTCCCTAAATTTCCACTGTTAAGTAATGTATTCAGTGAGGCATAACTAATGTAGTTTACATGCAGGGTCAGTCCAGCCATTGGACCATTCTAAATCTTTGATCTAATAGCTTGCCTCAACTTGACCTGAGATTGCATTTTATACTATTGCAACTCTAAACTGTGAAATTTCACAGTTTAACATTTAGTTCCTATTTTTACTAGTACAGTACTTCTATTAACTAAATAATTGTGTAGTTAAAATCCAATTTCTTCTGTATTACTCAGAACAGTTAGTCAAAACTTGGGAATGTTGTGATTTTGTGAATTTAATTTCTCTTTCTGAATTCCTTTATCAGAATGGTAACTCAAAATGTTGTGTTCATGCGATTTGAATCCTATTTTGGTTTTACTTTTACCAATATGCTAAAACTTAGAAAATTTTTAGTATTAATGATTTTTCCGTATCACTTTTTTACTAGTACAGTGCCATCCTCCCTTTCTTATTATAGGTAGGTACTTTATAACCACTTCAACAGACAAACATAAGAAACCATTTCTTTAAATATAATAAAGTAGCAATCAAAACTGAGACTTGACAAGATGTTTGTCTGTAAACACTGGGTGTCTCCATAGAGGGGGAGAGGTTATCATTTGTTGACATTGCGACAAGTTCAAGGAAATCTGGATCAATATTAGCTTTGGTCATGAGGTGTACTCATGATAACACCAAACACTTCTCAGAAATTTATAGATAGAAAAAAAACACACGGAAACATGTAGTTTAAATAAATTTGTGACCAGTCCTTAAAGACTTTGACATTTTCGACTAAGTAGTTATTGATAAGTAAAACAGTTAATAAAATGTAAATTTATTAAGTATATTGATCCTGGCTGATACTTAAATTGAACAGTTTTGAAATACATTTTACAAATTTGTAGGTCTATCAAATAATGCCTATTGACTTTCATCTGCAAAGATTTGTGGTACGTGCCAAGTAGGATTAGATAATAGTAATAAATAAAACTATCTTACATCTTAATCAAGTGTGGTGGGCACAGTTCAAACCAATCTAATGAATCAACAAATAAACTTGTTGTCTCATCAAACAGAGGAAAAGGTCTAAATATAAATCTGGTTTGCACAGTGTTACAGATGACAAGCTATCTGTGTGATATTTCTATATGAGTTGAAGATTGATGTTGCGATTTTGTTAATCCTGACACAAGAATAACAAAAGTTACCCAATAGGATTACCTTAGTCTGACAGCATTTTAAATTTTAAGTTTGAGTTGGAAGGAATTTTTTTCTAAATAGCTTTAAGACCAGCCTAGGTTGTGAAAATGCTGTCAATGACATTTAAATATTCCAGTTATCAAGTAATGTTCTTGTGTTTTAGTACTATTGTGTAGACTATTGCTAGTTAAGGCACAACTGTTCATCTTTGTCTCTTAAGCTATACAAAGCTCCATATTATACCGTATGTATTTTTTTATCAGCATATTAGGTGTTTGTTAATGATCATTCATTTTGACATCTTTCAACCCGTTTATTAAATTTAGATTTTTCTAATTCTGATCCATTACATCCATCTAGTAATACACGTTTGAATTCTGGAGCTTGTATGTGTCATGTGCTAAAAAGATTATTGTGTACACAATAGATTTTAGAGCGAAAATGTAAAATCCGTACCTGTAGGCCTATGCATTGTAAGACAGCTAGGCATCGCCAACCTCTACCAGTTAAAAGATAATCACGCAGTGCTGCTAATTCCTCTCCTTCGCCAGGCACATTGCACAGGTTGTGTACGTCGGACAACAGCTCGCAAGACACCAATGTAGACACACTCCCACAGTTCGTAGCACTGCAATAATACATACGATTTATCATATTGTAATATTAAATAAAAATACTGCTTTATCGAGCAGTACTTAGGTCATGATTTGTCAAAAATCCAAACAATTATAATAGCATATTAGGAACAAAAATAATCAACAAGGTACAATAAGTTGGCTAACAAAATGAAACAAAACTTCCTACATATTCCTTACATTTGATTCACACAACCTCATACACTCTATCAATGGATGGAGAATGTATGGAATGAAATGACCTATGTAGCTTTTACTGATCAAATTAGATGTTCCTTTAACCGGGACCATTTTTATAATTAAAAGCCCAATAATTAACGACAGCTGGGTCCAATTTCAAACCATCAAAAAGATGATTACTTTTCGGACCAAAACCACCCAGCTACAAAGCTTTGTTATTGTCCAAAGATTGTAGATCTATAAAAGTTCATTTCTATTATTAAAAACAAAAAAGTGGAATAATTTAAATGACGTAAGCAAGTACTAAATGTAAGCAGTTTTAAACTACTCGTGTGAGTCATCAAAACTGACCACAGATTATTCCAAACAAGTTTCCCCACCAGACAACCACAAGGTAACTCAACCTACAGTGATTGACTTGTTTCCAAAGGTGTTCTACATTTACAAGGTCAGTTCATAAACAAGTTATCGGTTTACTCAGTTAAACTAGTCAGTCAGTAAAGTGCAAAAGTTTAATGAATATCTTTACTTTGTGTTTTATATTGAGAAAAAAATTTTCCCAGTTAATTTAAATTCATAAATTACAAAACTAAATAGTTATAAATAAATAATTGATACATTTTATGTTTTCATCTCACAAACTCGAAGACTTATGAGTGTGATACTGTACAACAGAATGAGTAGCGGTACCAAATTTTACTATTATATACAGTGGTTCTAAAAATCTCATGTACCAGAGAAAAACTTGAAAAATAAGGGCATTTTTTACTACTGTGTTAGGTAACTTATTATTATTGGGGGGCCCCCTAAATTACACAAATTGACCACGCGTTCCATAAATGCAATTTCTTCTGTCAGATCTTATACAAGAACATCTCTATCTTCGAGGCCGACAGAAAGAAGGTCACAAGATCAAACCTAACAAATTTACACGGACTCACAATGGAGACTGGAACTTTTAAAGTATTACAGAATACAAATATGTGTTTTATCTATTAAAGAATGTTAACTGTGCAGTTGCCAAAAAATAACAAAATAAAACTAATAAAATTCAGATAAATAAAAACTCTTGAAAATCTCCTAATGAAAAGTTTAATCAACTATTCTAATGTGTTTTTTTTTAGTCAGAATCATTCTTCAATACAGTTTCAGGGTTTAAATAAAACATTGAATAGCCACATAGTTTTATATCACAACTTTATAATTTAAATCTTTCTGGAGTCTGTAATTTATTTATTCTCTACTTAGGATTTAAAAGACAATAATTTATTCTATTGTTGTTGGTTATTAACCAATTATATAGTTTGGATGAGTCTTTTAGCAATCATTCAGTTGTAATATTTTAAAAGAAGTATTTTAGAATGTCTCTTTCTGTTTAGTTATATTGTAACTATTGACTAAGCTATAATGTTAGCACATTAGCACATACAATAGGCTACATTGTCTATTTGTAAACAATTCAAAAGACAATAATAAATATTTCATTCCGTACACATTAGCTTGCATAATGCTTAGCCTATTTTAGTGCTTTTGTAAAACCTTTATCTTGAACTCTAGAAAAGATATGTTTGGACTTGATGATATGTAAACTAGATAATACAACTGAAATCTAACTGCAAAGATTTAAATTAGTAGAACTGTACGATATTATTCCAGCATTCAAGTTTTCAGATCTTGAAGGCACTTTTGGCCATTAGCGCCTCTTTTCTCATATTCTTGTCTTGTTGTTACTTGCCGTATTTTTACGTTGCATCATTGCTAAAAGCCTTAAATGTGGCCTAGAGATAAATTTTGTCGTACAATCAATCACACAGTAACTAACTGGAGACAAAAAAGATTCAGACGGCAACAATCATGATCAATCAACTAGATTTTCACATGGTCAAACAAAACTAGCCGATGTTGGGCCACAACAGGCTATTAAAAACATTTGTATATTTGGGCAACAGTCTGCAGATTTTGGGACAGTATTATTTCAGTTGCTGTCACTGCTGAAACCCCTATATTCAATCTATAAACAAATGGAAATAGTCAAGAATGGGATATGTTTTTTCTATTTTTTTTTTTTTTTTTTTTTTTTTTTTTTACCAAGGACGCTAGGCACGAGCCTGGGATTGTTTTTCACATTACTTCAGGCTAGACCTAGGGTTTGCGGCATTATCACTTCGATAAAATCCATTGGTGACTTGGCGAGGATCGAACCCGGGACCTCAAGGACTGAAGTCCCGCGCTCTAACCACTACGCCAGCTCGCTCCCCATGTTTTTTTCTATCAGGCCTACCTGTTTATTAATATAATACTCTGCATTCATTAACTGTGTTTTTTTTTTTTTTTTACTTAAGTCATGTCTCCAAATACAAATTTAATTTGCATAAATTACCTCTAAAGCAATTCAAACTCAATGATGTTTCAAACTTCCTTCTTGAAATTAATTAGCTATCAACTGAATTTAAAATAACTGATTTTATACTGTAAAAGCGTTATGTTAAACAGTGAATGAAGTCTTGCCAACTGTAGGTCAAATACCTGAGTACCCACAGCCATGTTTGGAATGTTGCAGAACTGGATTCAGTTTATATATATTCCGCCTATAACTAATGCAACTGGTTTAGAATACTTTGAACTTGATTCATATAATATTCAATTTAAATATGGAAATTACATTTAGACTGCTATAAAGCATTTTATAGCCTTAAGTGCTTTATCACGTTTATTAAGGCGAGGAACTTTGCTTGATTATTTTAAGAATATTGGATATTAGATTTATACAACGCAACAAACCATAGTATGTATTTTAATGTGAAAAAACCAAGTGTAGAATGAATTATGTGATAGTTTTGTTACTGAATGAGATAATCTTTTTTCCAATGATATTAATTGATAGCCCAGAGATCAAGGACACCTGGGTACCGTTTTGAACCATCAAAAAACTACTGACTTTTCTCATGATCAAATAAACAACCTTTTTACCAAATAGACAAGTAACTTACTATCACCAATAAGATACTACAAAGCTTAAATTTTAAATATTTTTCACTCACCTTGAGGTAAGAATTTCTTTCACAGTTTTTCCTTCTTTTACTAGGGCCAAGAACTCCGCCAGAAATGTGTCAAACCAAACCAATTTCTGAAAAATATAAAACACAAATTTAGTAGGCTATAAATCCTAAAAACATAAAAGTAGACAATAGACAATAGACAATTAATCTTTATTTACACATTCATTAGGAATAGTAGAAGTGTCAATCAAGTATTATGTTGAAATATTTTATTTTTATTTTACTCAAACAAATGGAATATTGTACTTATTAAAAGTTTAAAATAGCTGTAAGCCAGTATATATGTGGGTAATTATTCTTTTAAAACAATCTGGTAGACCCATAATTCCAGTTCTATAATCCTAGCTTTGGCTACACAAGTAGACATGCCATTTGTATGTAACCTTTTAAAATTACTTAATCAATTCACTAAAGCATACTTTTAGTGTGTATTTTAAGCTGAAGATGTTGACAGGGCTATAGCACAGAAAACCCAATTGTTAGAGATGTCAAATTTCCTAACTTTTTATTTACAATAATGTTTTCATAAAAAAACACACAAACACACAGAATTTGAGTTAGTTTAAACTCACAGTAACGTCATAGACAAATAGAATTAAATATAGACCGACAGCAGTGCTGCGGTTAGCATAAGTTCTGGCGTCCACCGCTGGGAGCGCTGTGTAGTTAAGGCGCACGAGCTACGTAACTACACGGCGCTTTTAGCAGTGGACGCCAGAACTTATGCTAACCGTACCACTGCTGTCGATCTTTATTTAATTCTATTTGTCTATGGTAACATTAACATTGGTTTTGAACAAGTTTCATGTCAAAAATCCGTCTCCCCCCAGTACGGGAAGGGGGTGCTTAGTCCAAAGATTTTTTTTTTAAGGTACTAATCTAATCACCCTATACAGTACTAGGGTCTGGGTGAATGGTGAGTGTTAACTGATGTGAATGGATAATTCGGGTAGCTTTATTACTGACTAATATTTGCTCTTCCTTTATCCGGATCTGTTTATTAAAAGCCCAAATGATCAAGAACAGCTGGGTACAGTTCTAAACCATGGTAAAGCTACTGACTATATCAAGATTGGACCACTTCTTTTTTATTAAGTGAACACTGATTACCTATTGGCATTCTATCAATTGCATTCTATTACCCAAGCTAAGTAGTAAATAGAACAATGAAACGTTACAATGAAAGTCATAGCCTGGTCGATACCTATCAATTTTAAGTGATGCAAAAATGCATATTCATCGTTTGAGATTGGGACAACATCTATGTGTGTATTTTAACCCAAAATGGTTGAAGGATGAGTGTTAAATGGAGTGTGGTGCCTTGTGTAGCTTTGTTACTGACTAAGACCTGCTGTTTCATTAGTCAGGACCGTTTATTGAAGGAACCATCAAAAAGCTACACACTTTTCTCAAAATCGAACTGGCAACCTTTTGAATACTAGGCGAGCACTATAACTACTGTGACCCATATTTTTACAAATAGAGCTATGAAGTCTGTAGGGTCGCTATTGGTTGAAGAATGACAGTGCAATAATCATCAATGAGTGTGGGAAAAGTTGAGTCAATAGTTAAACACAATTTAGCAACTTGCTTGCTAAACGCAATCGTCTATTAATTGTGTAAACACAATTTGTAGATGCATAATATCTCTAAAACGTTTGATATGACAAATTATTTCATGGATATAATTTTCTAATTATATTTAGAAAAGAGTATTACATCTCAGGATGAAACCTTTGGTAGGCTTAACATGTATACCATTTAATAATTTAACACAACGCTGTTCTACTTAAACGACAAAATACCCCTGTGGCAGTAAACCTGAGAGTGAAGCACAGTAAAAAGAGTGTGAGAACTATTGTATTTGTTTGCTATGAAAAAAGTACAACCACTTTTGTTATCTGCCTGTAGAACATATTTATTTACATATACAAGTTTCTAAAATTACACAATTTGTTTTTCATTACTTAGTTAATAAAGTTTTTTTTGTCCCAAACCCAAGCTATTACAGAAGTAGGTCTACTTAATATTATCCTGGTTGTTATGTACATTTGGTACAATCAGAGACACGAGGCAGACTTTGCTGACCCAAAAAAGCTACATTGGGCTATCAGTTGTCCAATTAAATTGTGAAGTGCCTTAAATAATAACTTTTAGGTTATCTAATACAAATCGTTTTTACTCAAAGATCTTGACATAAACTTTTAGAAAGTCAGTATTTACACAAGTTACATCTGAACTACCTACTTAAACTTTCATCTGAAACAAAAAAAATTTGCTCACTGTAGCAGTATTTAATCTGCATTAATTTGTATTTAAATTTTATCCCTAATCACTTCATTAAAACGTTAGCCTATTTATTTTGTGTACATAATTATTATAAGATTAATAATAATGCACATTGGACAGTGGAGAGTGGATTAGAATTGATTGGATGACTTCCATAGCTTTCACACAGATCAGCTGTTTCCTAGACCCCTTCAAATTTACCAGGCCCCTAACTCATATTTTGTTTCAGGTGTTCTTGTTGTTTCTGGATTTGACAAAAAAAATCTGTTAAGCTTTTCTATATAATTTTCCCGCTTTGCATACTCATTTTGTTTTGTTTAAGGTAATTTCTAACTGCAAGATAGTTCAGTTTGTTAAATGCAATTTAACAAATCATTATGAAAGGATTCGTTCATTATCAAATGTTTGCAATGAGCCCACAAATAACACAAACTTATGACAAAAAAGAAAATGTATAGAATAGACCTAGTTATATTGTATGGGAACAAAACAAATTTTTTCATGCGTAAATTATCTTTGAGTGGAGTCAGTCAACTATTCCGCCTAAACGTAATCTCAAGTGCAAAAGAGTTTCTTAAAGCACTTGTAACAAAAATAACAATTGGTTTTCTCAAAATAAACACTGTTTTTAGCTTGGAGTATAAATGATCCGTTTAGTCTGGAGCCCACTCTTATCAGCGGTGTCTCCTCGTAACTGCGTCTAACTTACTTTATCCTGGCCTGATAACCTCAGCACTCAAAACTGATACTCATTCACATAACTCGAGCATTCCTCCGAATCAATCGGAAAACTGTTGTATAACAGTGTGTCTGTATTGCGCAACTAATTGATACACATGTAAACATTTGAACCAAACAATTCAAGCGGTACCAGTAGTTCTAGCATCTTTAGTTGGTAGTTCAATAACATGTAGTACGCAAATAAGACAAGGTTTTGACTGTCTCCAAAATATTTTTTAACCAAAAAGGAATAATAAAAATGTATACTTTAATGGTTGCATACAAAAAGTGTCATTTTATTGGACTGTGTATTAAAAGAAATCATTATCTTCAAGACAGAGAGCACACTAATACTACAAACCTATAATGAATCATATCTTAATTGATAAAAAAGTTAATAAAATTTGGAGGTATTGTATAGAAAAAACAAAGGATGTTAAATATTAAGAAAAAAGGATTTCCATTTTTGATGAAAAGCACTCAACAATTAGTGTTCAAACTATTAGGCAAGAATGTTTATTGCCATCGAGTCATCATAACAAAAAGACACCTAAGAAAAGTAAACAAACTTATTATTACAAACAAAAGATCTTCCAATTGTTGTTTGGATTTAGTTTTTAGTAGGTACCCCAGCCAAGTATGTATTCAAAGTTACTATTAATGTTTCTTCCCATTTTTAATGTCAATATTTAGTAATCACCATTTTAACATCCCACACAAAATATTGTTTTAAAAAGGATAGAACAAAACCCAGAAGTTAGACCCAGTTAGTTCTCACTGGAAACAACAAGATGTAAGGTATGTTGTTCAGCTTGGGAGATGCAACCTTAGAAAGGTCACTGGTAACCTAGAAATGGAGGACAGTCCTGATGATGTCATTACTAGGATGACCTTGGGGCTTAGAGGTCGAATGGAAAGACCAGTCAGGAATGTAAATAGTATGTTATGCCCTATGTTTACTATCAATCAAACTGACACTGTACAAAACAAAACAAGCAATATTGATTAAATGCAAAAATTTTCATATTCAACAATTATTGCCTATTTTCACTCTCAGGTAGGGAAATCCTCTTGAACAGCACAAATGAACTATTGTAGGTAGGCCTAGTCCATTCTAAAATAATAGATTTACTTTCAAAATCTACCTATCGTAGTGAACTTACAACCATAATTTTAATTGTTTGTCAAATAAGTAGATCTGGTGTGTGGAGTTTGATTTTTTACGAGTCTGTGTTTACATTCAGGTTCAGTGCTTGATTTATAAAAAATGAGGTGCTGGAACTATAACCTATTTAATGTGATTAGTACCTACAGTATTTATGCCAATACCCTATTTTTATCTTTCTAAAAGAGAAATACCTGAACGCCGTTCTGCCGCAAATTTAGCATTGTTCAGGTTAGTACCTGAACGAGGTAGCTGTTGTAAGTATTAACAATCCAACTAACTTTATTGGATATAAAACAAGGACGTACATTTACTGTAAATATGTTCATATAGACCTAAAGATAATTAATCCACTTTTAGACAACTTGAAAAACATATTTAACATGTTCATAAAAGTTTCTTCCCAGGAAGATAAGAGAACTCTTAATCTTCCAGAATTTTACACTCCATCAATTTGTACTAGTTAGTCAAATTTAAAAATATATTTAGTTGGTAAAAACCAAGTTATTTAGTTATTATTATGACTGGCTGGGTAGCTGAATGGCTATAGTGCTCGCCTGGTAATCAATAGGTCACCGGTTCGATCCTGAGAAAAGTCAGTAACTTTTTGATGGTTCGAAACTGGACCCAGCTGTTCCTGATCATTGGGCTTTAAATAATTGATCCTGACTAATGAAACCGCTGATCTTAGTCAGTAACAAAGCTACACAGGCCATCACACACCATTCTACACTCATCCTTCACTCATACAAGGGTTAAAATACGCACCTAGGTGGCGTCCCCATCTCAATGATTGATAATTGAATTTAATTTAGAAAACCAATTTGATTGAGAAAATTGTTAAATTATGTCATCATCATAGCATTGAGTACAGGATACACAATGTTACAAATCTTAAGAGTAAAAGATGGGTGTAGAAAGGAGATGCCTTGTGTATCTTTTGTTACTGTTTAAATACCAACTATTTTTTAACCAGAACGATTTACCGTACTTAAAACCTCAGTGACCAAGGGTGCTGAATCTCTTTAATGGCGATCAAAAATGCTAAGCCGACTGAATTTTCTCGTAATCAAACTTGTTACTTTCTCATAATAAAGCGAGCCACTATATTTACTCAGCTACGCTGATACCACAATCAAACTAACTTTTATGGAGGGAGGTGTGCTAGATGAACTAGTCTAACTTAGTGACAGTGATTATTTATTCAGCAATTAATTATTTTGGAGCATAGCCATTCAAATTGGTGGTTATGCCATCATCAGACTAAAATTTATCATTCTGCATTAATGGTGCGCTTTACCTCAGCTCGGAAATCTCAGCTTGGGCTTCAGTAGCTATGTTGCACCATTGGAAAGTGCCGCGAGAAGCGCTTGCAGAGGTTTCCAAGATTACTATTTTCGAATTAACCAATAATGATAGCTACTAAACCACTTATAGCCGCACCCGATAAAACCAACACAAGAGATAGCCGAAACCATCATAAAAAATTCAAAATCAATTAAAAGCTTAGAGAATGAGCTTGGTAATGGCGACTGTTTGCTATGGCGCGAGTAGTTGGTATGGCTCGGCAACGTCGTAATGTGATGGATCAGCCAACGGATTTCATACCGAGATATAGGGCCTAAATACAGTTCAGAAAACAGCTTTTAATTATTTTGAGAAATAGATTTTATGTATAGTATAGTATGTATAGTATAGTACTGTTGTAGATTTTATGATGGGGAAAATCAATTTTTTTTAAACCCCATGGTTGTATCTCTTTGAATAGGCCTAGGCATAGCCTTTTCCTGTCATTGCTTCTGAAAATTTTGTTTTTGGAAACAACCTTGCTTCTTTTATTTTGGATAGGTAATCGGGGTTTTGCCATACATAGGCTAGATCTTTAAGAAACACTTTCTGACTCAGTCAGCTGAAGATTCAACAGATTAGATTGGCCGCTATTTTAGCCTACCTATCTGAACCCACTTAAATATTGAAGTGTTCATATTTAAGTTAATAGCAATGTCGTGGATCAAATTATGCAAAAACCAACAAAAGGGATTTTTAACCAATATTAACACGATGTTATATTTTATACCATGGTTTGATCAGTTATCTTAATTTTCTGATGTGCAACTGGTTGGATCAGATTAGTTTTCCTCACAATCGTCAATTGAAAATAATGATATTGCCTATCAAAAAGTATGAGGGAGCAGAAAGAGCTAAGTTTAGGCAGCCTAACTTACTTAGAAATAATGGCTGCACTTTAGTCCGTCCTACACTCATTCGAATGAAAATATAGATTGATAGATTATTCAATTATTTCATTTGGTTAGTTAGGTTAGGTTAACCTAGCCAACCAAACTTGATACATCAATGAAACAATCGATATAACTTAGGCCTAGGCCTATAGATTGATATAGGCTATTCATTTGAATGAGTGTAGGACAGATACCAAAGTGCAGCCGAATTTTATAACTAAGTTTAAGTTTAGGCGTACAAGTTATTTTATTCTTTATATTTACGGTAATTTTCAAAAAAAAGTCTTATAGGCTACCTAGGCCTAATAACTTAGGTTGAGTTAAGTGGGAAATTACGTAAAGATTAGAATTAATAACCAGTCTTTAATAATTATGATCGAAACATATTTTGCCTCTAGGACACGTTTTTACAAATAAGTTAAAAAGGTTAAATACCTGCTGTGGTGTCGACAAACCATTTTTTTGTCTGCGACTAAGGTTTGTAGCCTTTAGATTCGAAATCTTGGTCAAGGACTAAAATCGGATCTCTGACAGCATTTTTTAATTTTATCTAAGTTAACCCTTTGAGTGCCAACGTCCGGGGAACCGGACGTTTTTAAAACGAGCCAAAAGTGCCGACGTCCGGCCGACCGGACGTTTTTAGAACGAGCCAAAAGTGCCAACGTCCGGCTGACCGGACGTTTCGTAATGATCGAACAGTTGTCATAACAACCGAATGGATACTCGGATTCTTTTAACCCATTTATTAACATTGAGTCGAAAGTTACTAGATGCGATACATCGATTTTCGTTGGTCGAAATATCGAAAATTCGATTTTTACGAAATTTTAACCTAAAAATCGCCAGATCGCGCTTGGCATTTTTAGCGCGACCTTCGGGAAAAATCATCGGCATTTTTTGAGCGTTACTTTTATTTCTCGCCTGGCACTCTAAGGGTTAAACGGACATTCCATTTTGATGTGTTACAGTACAATTTGCTTCAAACATGAGAGTAAAGCAAGTGTTCGGCCTATCGAAAACCTCCTGCCACTTGAAAGAATGCCTACCCTATCATTTTGCAGATAGGCTTACCATAATGTACACGTAACAACACATACAATGTTGATCAAAAAGTTATTTAATTATGATCAACCTTTAACTTTCGGTAAGTTAAGTTAAATACCGTAGGCTAGTCCTTTATGTGCCATCTAAGTTAAATGGCCTTTCTAACTTATTAGTCTTTTTTTTATTTACAGTAGGCCTAATGCCTGAATTTTGTATGTACTGTAAGTTATTTATCTCCGACTTGTGTTTTTGCAGCATGTAAATCCACTTTTAGACGTCCAAATGCATGTGTCTACTGGAATAAAACATTGATTCTTACAGTCACATATAAGTTAGGCCTAGGCTATGGTGTTATAAAAGCATAAGTGAAACTAATTTAATAACTCAATGAGTTGTAATCAACCATTACCTACCTCAAATGATTTGCCCTCAGAAGTAATGAATCCATTCCATAGAACCTGGATGTTTTCTTGAGTTCCTGTTTTCACTAAAGTTTGACTGTCAACCATTATCACAACAATATAATCTAGGCCTAACACATAATGAAAGTTCCTAATTGGTTCAAGAACTAATTACAGAAACATATTAGCTTACTCAAAACTAAAAATCAGGTTATGAAGGCCTATATAAAAAGCATCCATTCAACAGGACGCTCCTAAAGGGTTATATAACCATTAAAGTATGCACGTGAGACCAGTGTTAAAAAAGATAAGTAAAGAACCAGCAACCAAACTCATACACTTTCACCACATTTTTAGGAAATGCACGTTATACACTAGGCATTACCGACCGGTATTTTTCACAAACACAGGAAAATTCTAATCAATGAAAATAGTGACGTTTCTCAACTTGGCACTCAACTAAGCACCACAACTGCACAACAAGCAGATGACAGCCAGTGAGCCAACCAAACTAACACCAATTTCCACCAATCCCATTCTCTAATTCTCTGATACGGCTAAGAAAACATCTGAAGTAGGCCTACTACAAGTAATCAGCTGACTCAAGATTTTAGTTTCACCATAGACTAACGAAACATATTTATAGTTGGTCTTCGATTTTAGCTGTTTAAACGTACTATATAAAAAGATAAACTAATTTATTTATCCCCACATTGTTAAGTCGTGAATTTTTCATGGTAAAATCCACTAAGTATTTATTTGAATCAAGTAACTATACAGGGTGGCTAAAAAGTAACTTGCATTCCCTCCTTAGCTGTTGAACCTTTTGAAATACCTATTCGAAATCGGTTTGCGGCAAACTTCTTAGAAATAAGGGGCTACAATAATCATGATCAATTAGTTGTGAAAATTTTGCCCTTAAGGGCAGCAGGGATAGCGGATAGCTCAAAATTTTCAAATGGCAAGTTAGTATAGTCAAGTTTGATGGTATCATTTTACATATCTTGACGAAACAAAAAAATTGACCCAAAATCGGACCACTAATATAACAAAATGGCGCTCTAAAACGTTAAAAATCCAAATAACCATGAAGTTGGCTGAAAAGTAACTTGCAGCCCCTTAACTTTTCAACCTTTTGAGATATTTGAAATCAGTTTGCGGGAACCTTCTTAGATATGAGGGGCTACAATAATTATGGCAAATTTTGAAAATGTTGCCCTTAGGGGTATAGGTAATAGGTTATAGGTATAGGTTGAGAACCTATAGCCAGCCACAAACTAGAGTTGCCAATCGCAGTACGTAGTTGACTGCGCCCTTCGCCCGACGAGAATTCTTGAAGTGAGACTAAAAAATGACAAAATGTTACATCAATGGTACATATTCTTACGTAATCCTTTTTTATCATGCCATGTTTCATTGCCTCGTCCCCTGCGAGTTTACGAAACCACCCTCCATGTAGACTTGCTGTTGGATCAGATCAAATTAAGTTTTGTTTGAATCTTCAGAAAAAATCCGTGCGTTTTTTTTTAGCTAGCAACCACCTCCGAGAGTATAATAACCCTTCCAGAGCCTGGTCATCTTGATCGTGTACAGTATAGCCACTACGTATTGGCGTTCTTGATAAAATCAAGAATATAGGAGCAATTCTTTGAAGGCAATGGCTGATATCTGCGCATAGCCTCGTCTAATATGTGGAGTATTGTTTCTTGAAATACAGCCTCGACGAGCTCGGTGACATGGAGATCACCATGAGAAACTACTGGAGTATATGATCTTCTCATGGCGAGATTCCAATGCGTGGGTGTTAAATTGATCATCTTTTACTGTGAATCATCGCCGGCCGGATGGAGAAGGTAGAATTACAGACAAGGTTTTTGTTTTGTGGTAGAACCCAAGTAGCAAAAATCGTTGGCAAATCGTTGGCCCAACGTTTCTGTCGATCGTTAGCCAACGGTATGTTTTGGCACTCAGTCTTACGGTTGGCCAACCAACCAATTTTTGCGGAAGGGCCAACCATCCCATTGGGCATAAACATAAAAAACACAAAATAATAAAGATTTTGTCCTTGTTTGAGGCTAAGATGGGTGTAGTAGACTGGGACGGTGGCGTCGTCCTGTAATAATCCAGTTACTAGGAGGTCACAAGCGTCTACAGCCTGACTGATCACTTATTGCAAACGAAAATACCCCCGCTGAAGCAAACCTGCCGACTAAGCAAATTTCCTAAATTAACATTTATGTTTAACGAGTACCTAGGTTAGCTCTGCTCAGGTACACTAATAAAGTGTGTTTTTATTAAACTATCGATAGCTTAGTATGAAATAAATAAATCCGCCAAGTTTGATCAAAATATATCCATAAACAAGCAAACTACAACAACTATCTATACTTATTACATGGGAAACAAACATTGTTATGAAACTCCAGCTGTTGTCAAAAATTAAAAAAGTGAGAAGAAGAATGTTAATTGTAAACAGCCAATAAGTTTGCTACAAATATAGCTGACTTGGTTGAAATGAAATATATATATTTACTATTTGAATTTGGGTTGGCGTAAATAGTACAATGGAAAAAAGCGAGAAGGGTACACTTCCAAATCAGTTGGCCTAAACAACCGAATGAAAATATCGATCGATGTATCGAATTAAACAATCAGATAATTAATATTACTCATTCGGTTGTTTGTGCCAACAGAGATATGGAAGTGTACCCGCGCGAGAGAGCCTGAATAATTGGATATACTAAATAGTAAATACCCCCGCCGTAGCAAACCTGCAGACCAAATGAATTTCCATTTGCCTGATTAGATTTACACTAAAATGTCTCCTTAAAAATATCACATTTATTCCCTACTAGCTGGCCCGACAGACGTCGTCCTGTCCTATTGTGGTTTTATGTCACATGCTCGTTCATTTTCAAGATGAGCTCGTTCGCTGCGCTCACTTGCCTTCAGGTTAGCTTGTTCGCTACGCTAACTCGCCTCCAGGTTGAAGTTCGTTTGCTACGCTCACTCACCTTTTGGTTGCAAATTAGCTGTTCTCATAAATTAAAAATAAGTATAGTGCTGCACCCTGTTGGTAAACCTATTAACTTTTTAATGCTATTGAACATCACAGAATCAAATTGTTTAGTTGCACCAGCTGTTAAGATTCTTTAATTCCATTTAAATATGAGTACTCATAAGGTTAACATGGGAAACTCCAGAGCCACTGGGGCGGAGCCCTATTGACGGATCTGCACCAAACTTCACACAAACCATCCTTGAATAATGCTTAATAATGCCTGAAAGTTTCATTACAATCTGTCAAGCGGTTTTGGAGTCCATAAAGGACAAACATACAAATATACAAACATACATTGGATTTTATATATAGACTAGCTGGCCCGACAGACGTCGTCCTGTCCTATTGTGGTTTTATGTCACATGCTCGTTCATTTTCAAGATGAGCTCGTTCGCATGGCTCAATCACGTCCTGGTTGAAGTTCGTTCGCTACGCTCACTCACCTTTAGGTTGGAGCTCGTTCGCTGCGCTCACTTGCCTTCAGGTTAGCTCGTTCGCTACGCTAACTCGCCTCCAGGTTGAAGTTCGTTCGCTACGCTCACTCACCTTTTGGTTGCAAATTAACTGTTCTCATAAATTAAAAATAAATATAGTGCTGCACCCTGTTGGTAAACCTATTAACTTTTTAATGCTATTGAACATCACAGAATCAAATTGTTTAGTTGCACCAGCTGTTAAGATTCTTTAATTCCATTTAAATATGAGTACTCATAAGGTTAACATAGGAAACTCCAGAGCCACTGGGGCGGAGCCCTATTGACGGATCTGCACCAAACTTCACACAAACCATCCTTGAATAATGCTTAATAATGCCTGAAAGTTTCATTACAATCTGTCGAGCGGTTTTGGAGTCCATAAAGGACAAACATACAAATATACAAACATACAAATATACAAACATACAAATATACAAACATACATTGGATTTTATATATATAGATTTAAATAACATTAGTTTAACAAGTACTTAGGTTTGCTACAACAGGGAGGGTAAAAAGGTGTTTTTTGTAAAATGTTAGTAGTTTAGTATGAAATGAATGCATTTTCCAAATTTGATCAAAATATGATCATAAACAAGCAAACTACAACAGTTTACTTATTCTCCATAAGAATAACATGGGAATTTTTAATTTACAGTATTTTAGAATTTTCTTCGTAACCATTAGGAGCTTTATAACGCTTAAATATACTAAATTATTTGTTTTTTTTAAGCTCTACAAAATGGTTTGGAAAGAAAATGCTAAATTTTAAGTTTTTAGGGTCAAAAATTGGAGAAACCAATTTTTGCCCCATAAAACCCCCATAAACCCCTGTTTCTATAGTCCGATCATGCTGGTTCGCGAACTAGTTCAAATAAACGTAGGTTTACACGTTTGTACCAAATTTCATCAAAATCGGATGATTTTTGCTCGAGTTATCGCGCTAACGGACACATATGAATATATATATATATATACTAGCTGACCCGGCGAACTTCGTATCGCCTAAGTTATAGGTTTCCCCTAAGACAGACCGATGGAAAGAAAGTACCGTTACGTTTAATTTTCAAGATGATCTCGTTCGCATCGCTCAATCACGTCCTGGTTGAAGTTCGTTCGATACGCTCACTCACCTTTGGGTTGGAGCTCGTTCGCTACGCTCACTCACCTTTAGGTTGGAGCTCGTTCGCTGCGCTCACTTGCCTTCAGGTTAGCTCGTTCGCTACGCTAACTCGCCTCCAGGTTGAAGTTCGTTCGCTACGCTCACTCACCTTTGGGTTGGAGCTCGTTCGCTACGCTCACTCACCTTTAGGTTGGAGCTCGTTCGCTGCGCTCACTTGCCTTCAGGTTAGCTCGTTCGCTACGCTAACTCGCCTCCAGGTTGAAGTTCGTTCGCTACGCTCACTCACCTTTTGGTTGCAAATTAGCTGTTGTCATAAATGTAAAAGAAATAATAGGGCTGCACCCTGTTGGTAATCCTTGTAACTTTAATGCTATTGAACATCATAGAACAGAACCAACTTGTTTAATTGAAACAGCTGTTAAGATTCATTAATTCCATTTCTCATAAGGTTAACATGGGAAACTCCAGAGCCACTGGGGCGGAGCCCTTTTAAGAATTTCGAAATGGGAAATAGTTTATGTCCGATTCGCATACCTACAGAATTTAGACACCAAATTTCATAACGATCGGTGAATTCGTTCCGGAGGAGTTTGCAGACAAACACTGTGACACGAGAATTTTATATATTAGATATGAATTGAAACGGATGGTGTTTTTGGTCTCTAGGGACCTCAAAACGAAAAAGCAAATCGGTCCCGGGTCCAGGTCTTACCATGAGTACTACGGTAATAGCTTATTCCCTATATGGGAAATTTGCTAAAAGAAAACTGAATTAACACTGCTGCATTTATTAGTAATCATTGAAAGAGCCGATTTGCAAACTATAGAAACATAGGAAAGTCGTAGAACACCACCAAGGAGAAGAAATAGAAATAATGTGTTTTTTAGAGTTTATAATCGTTATTATGGACAGCTTAATGTTGATTATATCGATCTGTTATGTACATCTTGAGTATTTCCATAATCTAATTTGAGTCGAATCTTTTAAAGTCATCAGAAATTATGACTGTTATTCGTTTAAAAAACGCCTGTTAGCAATTGCTCGAATTCTACTCTAGTTTTACAATATTCTCCATAAGAATAACATACAAATTTTAAATTAAATTTTTTTTGTTTTCTCCGTAACCAATAACCGTATATAAAATATTTTCACATACAGAATTGTTTTTTTTAGAGAAATTGGAAAAATTTATGTTTTGAGGGTCAAAAATGAAAAAAAAAACAATTTTTACCTCATAAACCCTGTTCCCATGGTCCCATCAAGCTGGTTTGCGAACTCATTCAAGTTTATCCCGCCTGACCCGCCTTACACATTCAAACCAAATTTCATCAAAATCGGACAAAAATTACATAAGTTATCGTGTTCACAGACATACATATACATATATACAAATTTGAACGAATGGTGTTTTTGGCCTCTGGGGACATCAAAATGAAAAAGTAAATCATTAAAGGGCCTAGGCCTTACTGTGCCACCTACGGTAATAGCTACTTCCCTATAGGGAAATTCGCTAAAACTGGCCATGATAAATAAAAAAATTAGCTGTTCGTCTTGATGACATATTGAACTGTCGTCTCTGTTTTTTTAGTGAAAATGGGATCAAGGGGTGGAGGAAGTTCGGAGATGGTCTTAAACATTTTCAAGATTTTTTCTAACATGTAGGCCTTACTCATCAGTCTTTTTGAAGCAGTGAACTTAGTAAGGGAAATTATGCATCTGGGTCACGGGAGTGACTGAATGAGAGATACTATCAAACTAATAGTGAACGTATATGTATCAATGACTATGGTCTGCGCAGGAAAACTCTAACACGAGGTCAGCAAACACAGTTTCCTCAAATTCATTCACTGTCTCAAACTGATGAACACCTATTGTACAAATAGGTTTGGGCTTCTACACTTTTATAAACCCACTATAATTACACATGTTTTATGTCTAACCACTGTTCTGCATACACATCTTTAAATTGGCAACTGTAAATACCAGTGATTGACCCCCTTTCTACTGAAAACTAGCTCAAAACTCAATTCATAGGTGGTCAATTTTCTTTCTGTTTTTCTCAGATTAGACTGGGACGGTGGAGTCGTCCTGTAATCCTGATACTTGGAGAAATTTTGGATATTTATAAGCATGCACTATAGATGCGATACTCCCTGGTGTGGATTAAAACGTCCACACTAGTGAGTACTACGATTATCGGCAGTACTATTATTCTGATAATCAGACCAATTTGTTAATTACGAGGCAAACATGTGGCTTGGATTCCACTATAAACTGTAGGTCCCTTTAGTTGCCATTGGCTGTTTGGGCTATTAATTAACAGCTGTGTCTATGAAACATGTTGCCCTTAGTCACTTAGAAGACTACATGATCGCGCCACTCATCCTACACTCATCTATATTCATACTTGTACCTCCATTCGTCACCATTTCAGAATAAAGTATTCAAGTATTTAAGGCTGTCATGGAACTTGATGGAGATCTCAATGTACCCACTAGAAAAACAGGTCATGCTGCAGGATCCATGACGTCACACTAGTGGATAGATTTCATTGATAAATTCATTGCCATCGCCATTCCTATATGTTTTAGGTAAATAAACAAGCTGGCTGTTTGTAAGATTTTAATGGTAAGAGTTTTAGTACAACTATCCACCACTGTGATGTAGTGTTGCGCTGCCCGTGCTGCAGCATGGCCTGTTTTTCTAGTGGGGCCATGCTTGTCCCCCCCCCCCTTAGTTGCTATATTGCAAGCTAAAATAGTTCCTGGAGTGGAAAAGAATCAGCTACCCATAGAGTCAAGAACATCGTTCTTCTCGTTTGTTAACTTTAATTGCTGATAATTGATTTTATCCAGAGTAATTATCAAATCTCATTATATATTGTTGGTAATTCCTGCATTGTTTCTTTCTTACCTTGCACCAAATACTTCACTAATCAAAACATGTTTGCTATCAACACAAGTGACTTAGAGTTGGGTAATAGAAACAACAAATTAAATGGATGTACTCTTTAATGTTTCCAAACATAATTACGAAAAATAATTATAACTATGGCTGTCAGTCGTGGAAACAGTTGATAAAAAAGAAATCCCTTTTAAAATACAATAAATAACAGACTATAATATAGCGCCATCTACATGCATTTGTACACAACACTCAAGAAACACAATCAAGGTTTAATCCAGACTATCTGGTTACAAATATCTGTTAACTGATTCTAACCAGGAAAATATACTACATAGAAATTCATTGAACAACAAATAAAAAAGCCATATCACCATGCAAAATTTAGGTTATTAAATTCGGAGTAAAAATAGTTATAATTCAAATTGAACTACGTTCCTCTACTCAGTTTCTATGTTATACTGAATATATTCATATCTAATCAAAAATGGAAAGTTAGATAAAGTTCTAAATATTTAAGTATGTTGCTTGACTTGGTCGTCTCAGAGGTGAAGTTATCTGGTAAAATTTTAGAAGAATAAATTTATCTGTAAGCATGAAAAATGTCAAGGTAATTTTAAATAAACAATCTGTACTAAATTAGATTTAAAACCGATTTTAGCAGAGCAGAGGTAAAAAAAAACCTTGAAGAAAAAGGTTTTACATTGGTTGATAAATTTAAATTTCTACTAAAAGCTTAAACATTATTTTTGAATTTTATCATTTTCAATCACCCAGTTCATACTTCTGACCAATAAAATGCCTTTAAATGTGAATACCATATTATGATTATTAAAAGAAACAATAGTAGTCTACTTCTACCTAAGAGTGACTAACTACCCTAAAGACTGGCAGAGTTTCTTGTATTTGACGTAATCATCCCGGAAAACAATTGCAATTTGTTGCATCCCTAAACCTCATATAAAATTTTATTTAAAAAACTCATTTAAAAATCAAACAAGGCACAATATACATTTGGTTTGATTTGAAGATATTATGGCTATATAAAAAGATAGGGTGTAGTCGTTTTTATGAACACTTTTTAACATCAGTCAGTAAACGGGATGATTTCGTTTTACTATAGACATTGAGATCAAACAAAAATTTCAGTATTTAAATTGCAGTTGGGTGAATTTAGCTGGTAATGTTTGTTGTAAAAATTTTAAAACTTGTATATTGCATCCACTTATTAGGAAATGCATATGTACACAGTACATATAAAACAATAGAATCTGGAACACAAATTACATCAATACAGATATTTATATGAATAAACATTATTACAGTGTTAAGAGACACATTATTCGGTGGGGAAGAAAACTAAAACTTATTAAAACAATATTAATATTTAGTATAATGCAAAAACCTAAAAATCTTTTTGTTTATTTCACATCGATTAAAATTGGGATATTGGTTCAGCTTGAAGCCCTATTTACAAAAACTGAGTTTAACTCGAGCGGCTTTTTACAAACAGATACGGGTCTCAAAATCTACCGTGTATAGAATTTACCAAACAAGGCTTGAAAGTGCCTCCGATATAGAAAGTGTGCAGTTACAAAAACTCCAAACCTCTTGTGGATCAAATTGACACAGAGCAATGGAAATGATGGTATATTGAGTAGGTAAGCCAGTTATTGCTAAAGGAGTAGGCACACTTTAGTCTACGGGCATTGCTTGTGGTAGTGAGAAATGCAGTTTCATAAATCGGGATCTTCGTCCCATTTCATTTCTGCACAGTGTCCCCATGACTAATGCCGTCTCAGTTTATTTTACAAATTTTAACTCGCAAACACCAATGTGAGTTGGTGGAATTGTGGCTTTTAAACATGGTATTTGGTTTCTATTATGTTGTGTGTGGGTACTAAATGACATAACGTAGCTCAAATATTTTAACTTAAAAAATAACTTTTTGAAATAATAAAAAAATGTATTTTCAAAATTGCTTAAGGTACATCCATTTTCTTTGAGAAACATAATTTCTCTAAAGCATTAAAGCTGGAACTAGAATTTGACTTGTTTCACCAGCTGCATGAAACTGCATTTCTTTTATCTACAATAAATAAATTCACATCTTTGACTCTTTACAATATAGTTAAAAATATCCATATATTCTCAGACTTTATAATCATCTCCCTTAAAATACAGACCACTTTACAGTTGTACAAGCTACCCCAAAAATACAATCTTAACAACAAGAAATAAATCGACACAGGTACATAAAATACATAAATAAATACAATAAAAGACTATTTACAACGTAATAAAAGCATAAGTCGCATTGAGCCGATAAATACGAAATATACACTTACAAATAGCGTATATATAGATGTATCACAGAATTTATTAAAACAACTTAATAGTTTTTACACAAATTACAGATCTATAATAAGTCTTCTTTCTCTTGACGAAAGCAGATATCTAAATCCATCGGTTACTGACATTTACAAAATCTTCACTCAAAATAAAATAACCTAGCGCAGTATTTTGCGTTTAATTAAAACATTAAACAACGGAGTTCAGGTGCACTCTATGATGTGGGGTTGCGAACTCTCAATCACAGATGGCCTCTGCGGCTCGGACACCGGAACATTGACGTTGACGGATGGTTCCATCTGGTGGTGAATGTCAAAGGAGTCTCGGGAATCTGCTTCTCTGCCTTCCTTGTCAAGCATTCCTGTACAAACATGATTCTTATTACACATGTGTTAACAACTGTCAAACAGTTAGCTCCGCCATGATCAAATGACTTCTCTGTTGTTCATTGAATGTCAGTTTTCCACTTATATTTGACAACAATTTCTTTTCTTCTCTTTGCCAAAAACGAACAAGGCTTCAGTTAGACTAGGTTGGTGTGTATTTCACTCTAACCTACAAAGTGAAAAGAATAGGAAAAACTCTTCAAAATAAATATAGCTGTAATTATTCAGCAGATTTTTCAAGATATGATTTTTTCAGTTGCTAAAACAGTTTTACACAGTAGTTTCACTGCCTGAAGTTATCAATTTCTTTTTACTTTCTTATTCAATTTTCTTTTTTCACCTTTGAATTGAAAAAGTATGAGGATGCCACACATGAAAGATTTTATAGCAATACACTTTTTTCCTTTGATTTAATAAACTTACCCATCGAGAGATCAGAGTTGACGAAATCATAATAGCCAGGTGGAGAACCGGCCGCAGCTGCTATGGCCATCTCTTCCTCCATGTTGTTAGGTCTGCAACTGGTTGTTTTCCAATGGGTCCTGAGAAAGATATTTACTGTTAGCTATTATCAAAATGATAATACAGCTGGGTGGTTAGTGCTCGTCCATCAACTAGACGGGGATGGTTTGACACTGGCTCCACCTGACCTTGACTTTTGGGTATTTTATTAATGGTCCTGACTGAAAAACAAGGTGATCTTGGTCCTTCCTTACATCTTAACCTAATCCAATTCTAATTTGAAGAAGATCGGTTTTGACAGTACTTGATTTCAGTTGTAAATATAAATGCTCAGTTGAGCACTGAATTACATTACCCATTGTTAGATACGCCTGATATAAAGTATATCCTTTAGAAATTCTATTATTTTAGCCTGATTGATGATGAAGAGTACATGTACCTGAGGCCAGAAGCACTGATGTACTTCTTGCTGCAGCCCTGGCAAGTGTATGGCCTCTCATTGGTGTGGAGTCGCTTGTGAAGCTTGAGATGGACGAATTGTGTAAACTTGGCTGGACAAAGGTCACAAGCATAGGGTTTCTGGCCCGAATGTAGCCTTAGATGCGTCTTGAGGTTGGATGTGGAACTGAACCTCTTCTTGCAGATGTCACATTGGTGAGGTTTTTCTCCTGGAAAGGGCAAATCGGATTTGTAGAGACTGAAAGATGAGATACTTATTTGATACTTAAACTAAAGGAGATGTATTGGGCCGTTGTGTTTATGTGTTTCTTAGTTTAAATGCAAAGTTATCAGTTGATGACATTTATAACGTTTTAGGAATCATTGTCTAGCAAGCATAGTTGTTAGTATCTTGGACAGTCTTAATCCCTTGCATATCCAAAAAATAATAAGGGCTTTGGACTGCTTTGCTTAATAATGTCTGTGAATTTTTCTTAAGAACATCACTGGTCTAGACAATAATAAAAACTGACAAAATTTTTTAATTTTTTCTGTTTGGATGCCAACCATTTGATATAACAGAAGAAGTCAATGGTTTGCCCTATGTGTAATTTGAGAGCCTTACCTGTATGAACCAGATGGTGTTTCTGCAGATGAGCCAGCTGGGTAAAGCTCTTGGTGCAGACATTACACTTGAATGGGCGTTCGCCAGAATGCGTCCTAAGGTGAACTTTGAGGTTAGACAGCTGTCCAAACGTCTTGTAGCAAACATTACACTCATAATGCATCTTTCCATCCTTCTTCTTGAGTGGGTATGGAAGTGACCTGTAGCCACGGGATGTCTGACTGTTGGGGCTCAACGGACTTCCGAGAGATCCTTCATCAGGGGAGAGATACCCAGGGGGCGACAGTTGTTGTCTGTGCTGCAACGGGGCGAGAGGAGTCAAGAGGTGGTGGAGGTTACCGGAGATATTCATCGAGTTTGTGTTTGAGAAGTGAAGGTTGGTAGATGACGGAGGTGAGTAGCCGCTAGAGGGTTGAGAAGTGATCTGAGGATGCATTAGAGTTGAAGTGTTGTACGGTTGGTAGTACTGAGTCTGATGAAGCGTAGGGTACGGCAACTCAGGGGGGTAGAGCGGGGGTGGTGTGTAGGGTGATCTCCTCAGCTGACTGGTGGGGAGCGACGGAACATTGAGGTTATTCTGCGGGTGACTAGCTGTAGAATCCGGACTGACTGGGAGATTTCCGTACCTATGGGACTTCTTGTAGGAGTAAGCCATCTCCGTGGGGGAAGTAGGAGGAGGAGTAGCGGAGTTTCGCCTCATCATAGTCTCCTTGTTTTCACTCCTGTTCCGTAGCAAGATGTTCTCTAGGATTGACGTGGACTGAGGTGTGTCCCTAGGAGGACTCCTGGTAATCACCACAGTCGTAGGCTCGTAGTGAGGTTTCTTTGCAGGCTGTGGACTGTGCTCTGAAGGAACAGGTGACTCTACGATGATCAACGAATCCGACGGAGAATGAGACTGAGGAGGAGTCGGACTTGTTTGTATCATCTCTCTCCCGGAGTCGGGCGGAGAGTCGCTTTTGTAATGGTGACTGTAGAGGTTAGCCTTGGTCATCTTTATCTTCACTTTTCGGTACTCATTCCTGTCTGGACTTTGCCCGTTGATCTCAGGGGCTGCATGTTCGGGGGAGGTTAGCGATGGCTCCTCAGGTATTGGTTCCATAATTTCTTCCGTGGGCTTTTTGCTGAAAAAGAGAGAATTTAATTAATTTTCAAGGTTGTGAAAGTATAAACAAATGCAAGACACAAGAATTTAATTTTGACTGTATACATAATTGAAGTACAACATTTGTTTTTAGCTAAAATATTTATAAATAAAAAACAACTGTAGCAGATTCTAATGCTTAAAACAATTGCAATTTTTAAATCATATGAAGTTGTAAAATCAATTATTAAGGTTAGAAAATTTGTTTAAGGCTATGAACTACAAAGGTTAATTTTCTTGGTTTGATAAATAAAGACAAACAAGCTAGTAATTCTCGTTGAAAGTAATACATATATATAACTGTATATGAACATTTGTAAGTAATAAATTGTCACACCTAGTTTTTGTGGTTGGACAAAACTATCAGAAAAAGTATAAAGTCTTATTCTTAAACCATTCAGAGAGTTACAATCCACTTTAAATACCTCTACTTAAATAAGTAAAATAATATTTTTCCATCAAGAGTATAATCATACAGTTTTGAAATTACCAAGTTTGATTTGATAATGAAAACATAACTTAACTTAAGAACTTAAGAACCACAAGTAAACCTGTCAACTAAGGATAGCCTGTTGGAGTTTGAAACTAGCCTCCGTACAATCAAGTCCTTATCAGTTGATTTGTTTACTTTGAAGACTGACCCTTTACCTGAACTTCAGATTGAGTTGTTCCCACAATATTCCTAAATTAATTGCTTCCTAAATTATTTTAAAAAAGCATTTTAACATTCAGTCTGCTTATTTTCCCTGGGTACAAAAACTGCCAAAAAATTGTTTACCTAAGTGTGTGTGTAATTTAGAAAAAGCAAAGTGAAAAATATGCAGAATAATTTACTGGCAATGTAACATATATTATATAAATATTTTTCATATGTACTTATTTTTTATCATCCAGTGTTTATGTTGACTATAACAGCACTTTACTAGTTGATGAACTGTTGAGCTAGAAACAAGAGCATAAGCTCTCCTACAGACCAATCTCTAAATCAGTACCAATTCATTTTTCAATTTATATTCGATTCTTGATTTTGCTCCCTAGTTTATAGGAAACTAAAAGAGTATGAACTAATAATTTATTTGGAAAACCAACCTAAAATCCAAGACGTAGTTGTTGTCACTATCATCAGAGTCACTTGAGTCTTCCGGAGGTGTTAAGACCTCGTCGTGATACCCGTGGCTGTGATATCCCTCATCTGACCTGACTGACCCGTCGGCTCCAACAGCCAGGTGGTCATAGCTTTGGTGGTCTTTGTGTGGCCTGTCATGGCTGTCCTTGGCTGGGGAGTCTTCTCTGAACCTGGAGAACACAATTTTTTTTATTAAAGTAGTTTTTGACCTGGGAGTGTGATAAAAAGCTAGTCAGTGGAAGATGAAGAATTTCTGATACACTAAAAAGTTAACCAATGTAATTTAAAAAGTATAACAACTGATCATTCTTATGGATTTGTTAAAGTTGGGGGATGATGTAAATTAATTAAAAGGATACTTCAAGTATGGAAACGGGCAGTCAGTGAAGTAGGTGTAGTTGAAATGAAGAAATATTAATTACCTTAATTTATGAAAGACTATTTTAAAAGCTTTTTTAAAAGTTGTTGTAAAGGAATGGTTGAAATTTTAGTCTTGTTACTAACGTCACAGAGGTTCCTTAGTCTATGCTAAGGTCATCCTTTTGTTGAGTGCAAAAATAGTTATTAATCCAGTGACAAATGGCATGGGTTAAATTTATATCCTTTTAGAGATCCAACCCCAGACATTTATTGTGAATCTATCCTTGTTTTCTAGGCTCCAAGGATTATTATTCAAGTACAAGACCCAAACACAATTTTCATTAGACTCACCTAAGTTCCTTCTCTTCATTCTTAGGGGCCTCAAACACCCTTTGATCCGTTGTTGAATTTGCAGATTCAACAACTTCCATCTTGATCTCCTCTTTACTGGCAGAACTCTCATCCTTCAGAGGGTAACTTTTCGCAGGTACTGCCTCATTCGGAACCGTAAACCCGCTATCCTTCTCCTTCTCCTGCTCTCCGTTCCTCTCGTGATTTCTTCTCGAAGAAGTGTCATTAATCGGCATCCTATGATAGTTGTTGATCATCTCTTGATCATAGTTTATTTGAGATTTGAGATCATTGCTTTTTGGCCTTGTCTGTTTCAATTCGTCTGCTTTTTTCTCGTTGATCTTTAGTACTCCGTTGCCAAACCTGGAGTCGTTGGGTACTACAACGTTGCTCCTTCCGTTGATGACTTGTAGTACCGAGGGCTTAGGCTCGGGACAGGGCAAGGCTCGGTGAGGGGTTGTTGAACTCACATCCGCCTCTTTGAGGGGAAGAGGGAGGGCTGGTGGCGGTGGCGCAGTGGCTTGCACTTGTGCTCCTGGAAAACATTTTTAATTAGTATTTTAGTTGGATTCAGTCAAGGGTAATAAGACTTTAAAATATAACATTTTAACACCCAATTTTACAGAGCTTGGATTTCATTATAGTGAATTCAACCTGACTTCACATACATTTCTTGAGTGATTACATAGATTTTGACATACCAATAGATTCTGTCACTGGCTGTAAAAGCCTACTTGAAGATATCACATCTATCACCATTTTACAATTTCGTTTTATTAGGTCAATGTCCTCTAATTTCCCTTATTTAAGTTTTCTAGTTTATTTAATCTTGGATTGGTAGCTGACGTGTTTCTTTTTGGTTATTTTTTGTGTAAGGTAAAATTCTGACTATGTCCCGTACACTTTGATGTCCAACTTGGTAAATTACTTTTGTTCTTCTAACTTTTATTATAAACAACTTAAATTCCAAATAAGTTGAGTGTTACTTACTTATCCTCTGCAGCATCAGTTCTCCAGTTAGAGGGTAGTTCAACCTTTCCGCAAACTCTCGGCAATACCAAACAAGCAATTCTTCATTTGGCATTATTGGTCTTATGGTATAAAAGTAAATGTTCATCTGAAAAACAGTTATTTTTATTAAGTTTTGGTCACAAATGCAAGTAATTTTAATTCTTCAACCTGATATTTTGTTTGTTTAATATTATCTTGTTCTTAGTATTCATTACTTGTCATTAAACTTCCAAGTATTAAAAAAATATTTTTATCATCACAAAATGTACAACTTAATTTTGTGTGTGTTGATTCATTATTTTCAAATACCATTCCACGTAAATTTTTTCAACACAATAGGGCTTAAACGTAAAAAATAACAAAAAGGGGTATATACAACTGCTAAATTGGGTTATTGGGTTGCAGTTCAATGATGAATTACAATTCAAGAACAGGTAAAAATTAAATAACATTTCTGACAAGTTCAATAACATTTTTAGAGATGATATTATCTTAGATTCAAATCAGAAGGAAACTTGAATTTTAGCACTGACTTGTGTGATGTCCAATACTGATTTTACCCAATTAGTTTAGTTTTAAATGTTTATCCAGTCTTCAAATTTTGTACTGTTTGATAATACATTAACCTAAAAAAATTATGGCCTGGCATTCAAACCCACAAAGAGAAATATGACAAATTTTCTTTGGATAATCACAGTTCATAAATATTGTGAGTTTCGCCAGTTGATTAATCGAATGATTATATAGTTGTAAGTTTGGCGGAAGGGAAGCTTACCTGGTGCTGACAAGCGATTAGGTTCTGCGACTCGCTCGAGTAAGCAGGATTGACATATCTCATCCAGTTTGCTTTGTTGATGTCGAATCCATCAATATAGTAGAATAACTGGTTGTCTTTGTATACCTGTGCCACAATATTCTTTGTAGAACAGTCTATATTTTATAACTACATCTAACCTAATGGGTGTTGATAACAATGTGCAACATTTTTTTTGTTTCTGCATGTAATTTCAAAGTGTTGTAATTTTGTTGTTATTGGCTATATACAAAAAACTATTTTCCTACAGTAAATTAGGTAGGGGTAAAAATTTAATTTTGGTATCTCAATAAAAAAATTAGTAGAATGTCTGAAATTATTCCTGTATATATTTTTTTATGATGCATACATTAATTCATAAACTACATGTATTATGACTACAAACATTTTTGTAGTAGACAAAAGATATAAGTTGGCTTATTGTGTTTTAACATGCTTTTATTACTTAGTAAATACATAATATTACAATGAATCATTAAAATGAAATAAAATTTTTAACTTAATGTTATTTGTTTTATAAAACACTAAAATATCCAACATCCAAACTTAAATGACAAGAAAACCACTGAGAAATTGTGGGTAAAATCCTTAAAAATATATAATATAAATTATTCTCAAAGAAATCAATTAACAATTTTGAACAAAAAAATTGAAATACTCAGCTTGGACGTTGAATATTTTTTTACTTGCATAGCTAAAAATAACGTGCATTTCCATGCTCCAATGTACCATTCCAAAGGTCGGCTTAGTGTTTAAATTACAACCAAATTACAGAGTACACAAACTTCTATATACCACAATCACTGATAAGTGATACATGCACTGAATATTTTAAAAAATCACCAAAACCCATGGAAATGTACAGAAAACTGTAATAATTTCTCTCATCGAAACTGCAACTATTATACTAATTGCTTAACAAACATGTAGCATATCCAGGGAATGGCTAGTACAGATGGTTGTAGTATAAAATAACAATTTTTTTGCCAATTGTTGTCAGTATCAAATCAGTTAATCCAAAAAATGAAGTAATAATTATATAAGTTTAAAATTGTTGTGTATGTACAATATATAATTCACAAAAAAAATCTATTAAAACTAATTAAAAAAATAGTCTATTTATTCATTCCTAGTAAATGAAAAAAATTCAATACAAATAATTAAATAATTTGTAATGTTTTGATGGGGTTTTAAGAGAGTAGTTTTTTTTTTTTTTTTTTTTTTTTTTTTTTATCGGGATTAGAGTGAAATTTGATATTAATGTGACAGGCTAATGATTTGTTTTACAGTTTGAAGCATGGATTTACTAGGTCAGAGTAAAATTGAATGTTAATGTGACAGGCCGATTTCTTTCAAACCTATCGATTGGAGTGGAATTCAATTTAAATGTGAGGGGGGTTCTTTGAACTGATCCCAAAGCATGGGGCACACATCCAAGTTCCTTTGTAATGATGACTGGCAATTTGAGTAAAGGAAGAGTAATTAAAAAAGCTTTAGTTACCCTTTGTTCTATCTGAAGGGCAGGCTGAGTTATTCATCGCCTTGACGTTTACAAATGTTAATTAACAAGACCCAAGGGTGTAAGTTCAAAAGCAACTATCGTAACATAGTTCACAATGTTAAGTGGAGAAGGACAACAACTCAATCATATACAAATTTGGAGAAGGACAACAACTCAAACAATCATATACAAATTTGGAGAAGGACAACAACTCAATCAATCATATGAACATTTGGAGAAGGACAACTCGATCAATCTTATACAAATTTGGAGAAGGTCAACAACTCAATCAATCATATACAAATTTGGAGAAGGACAACAACTCAAACAATCATATACAAATTTGAAGAAGGACAACAACTCAATCAATCATATACAAATTTGGAGAAGGACAACAACTCATTCAATCATATACAAATTTGGAGAAGGACAACAACTCAATCAATCATATACAAATTTGGAGAAGGACAACTCAATCAATCATATACAAATTTGGAGAAGGACAACAACTCAATCAATCATATACAAATTTGGAGAAGGACAACTCAATCAATCATATACAAATTTGGAGAAGGACAACAACTCAATCAATCATATGAACATTTGGAGAAGGACAACAACTCAATCAATCATATAAACATTTGGAGAAGGACAACAACTCAATCAATCATATGAACATTTGGAGAAGGACAACAACTCAATCAATCATATACAAATTTGGAGAAGGACAACAACTCAATCAATCATAATATGAACATTTGGAGAAGGACAACAACTCAATCAATCATATACAAATTTGGAGAAGGACAACAACTTAATCAATCGTATTAGCATTTACAAGCAATGTTTTTTTAGAAAAATAACGATAAATTTAAAATTAGGAGTTTATAAAAACAAACCTTTAGTAGAGGGGTTAATAGAATCATAATTAGAAAAATCAGTCATATGTTAGTAATTTTAGTTATGCGATTATCATTGACTTTTTGACACTGAAGTATGACACCTCTTCTCCATATTATATTCGAAGCCAGATTTAGATTTCACCATAAAAAACTATAAGAGAGGAAATAGGCTTACATCAACACACTCTGAATATAGCTCATTCATCTATGTTCTATTTAAATAAATAAAAAATAGCTACATAATGTGTATAAAGAAGAGGTGTTTAACTTCAGCATCCTAAAGTCGTGTTAGCAATCCAGCACACCAAAATAAACAAGCTTGCTTAGTCTAAGGAAAGACAGAGACAAGAAGAGTTTTTCCATACCTTTAAAAAATTCCTTCGTTCCTCCTTTATTTGGACCTGGCAGCCCAACATAACAGATTATTATCGCAAGAATATCACCAACAACCACAGACACACACTGCAAGATTAAAAACATGTAGATGGTGTTACAAATATGGCGAAACAAAATCAAAACAGATGGAAAAATGATAGTTAAGAAGGCGAATAAGAAAGAGCGTTCAATATACAGGGCAAAAATTAACTACTTCCTAAAAAAATTTTGTATAATTCCACGTGATACTGATTATTGGTTTAGTATTCATTGAGGTATGATATCTGGAATTTTTGTAATTTTGTATTTTCTGAAGAGTTAATTTTGCAGCAATAATGGTTTATGATACAATATGTAACAAAACAAGATTAGAAGGAAGCAGTTTATTTTTGTAAATAGACACTAAGTCAAGCAACAGTAAAATGTAGTTATGTGAATGATATGTTAAATGTCAGATGAATTAATTAAATAACACCACTAAGAGCTATGTTGTCTTTTTATAAATTCCCACATGAAAGAAATGTTCTTTGACACTAATTTTGAAATTGTGTAACTTTGCGTTCAAACATCTACTTAAATTAATTAGAACTGCTTTTAACAAAAAGAAGGACAAAAAATCAAAATGTTCATTATTGCTTGGATTTAGTAATGTTTACTCTAGTAAAATGTAGTTTCTGGTGTACCTAGTAATTTGACAGATTAAAAACTGAAATATTAGTTTTGAAGTTTTAAAATAACACTTGAAAAATACAAGGTTAAAATGTTCTGAATAAAATATAGAAGAAAGGAAAAGACAGCCAAAGAAGGATTAGACAGAACATGAAGAAACACGGAAGATTTAGAAGAAATACTTACCCTCCAGAAGTATTTCCTATTGGCAGTTGTAGGAACAGCGTTTTTGGCATAAACCTCTCCGACCAAGGGCCCAAAACGGGTACCCCTTGGAATGTAACTTGTGCTCCAAACTCCAAGGACCTAACGCAGAAACAAAATTAAAGCACATTTCCTAAGTTAAATGAATTTAATGCACTTGAACTCACCACTTTCTTCATGAGTAAAAGCAGTAAATTTTAGGTTGTCTCTTATTGGTACTGATTATTTATCTTCCAATTGAGTAATGTTACAACTTCAGTACTTCAAATGAAAATTTAACAATTTTTATTACTTGACAAACAAATTTTTCTAAACCCTGCTACAGTCTCTAACCAGGCATGAAGATTAATTTCCATATTTGTTCTCCCAAGCAATTTCCTCATGTAAATTATTAAAATTTTTAATAATTTTTCTTTACTCACATCACTGAGAGCTTGTGATGGCTTCAGCACCAAGTTACGTGGCAAGGTACTCTCCGCCCGATTGGTGCAGTCCGGCTTAACCGGGAGATCAGGGACGATGTAGACCACATATTTTTCAAACTCATCCTCCTTTATGGAGTTGAGATCCCATGAAACACTCACGGGGTCCTCTCCTTCCTCCATGCTTACGTCCTGTAAGAACACCATAGAATGTATTGGTTATTACCTCATGGAAAAACTCCATAAAATAAACAGTATTCTTTTTGCATAGCAGAGATTTCTGTAAAATACACGATCATTATGTTCTCTTACATCTTTCAAAAACACCATGTAATTTGTGTCCTGCTAAAACACCATAGAACATTTCTTTAGTTATAAAATCTCCTTTGAACACACTATAATATGCACTCCAGTTTGAAAACCATATTACGAGCTCCGCATATGAAAAAATGTTTTCCAAACTCCTAATTTCAGAAAATTTTAGTTTATTTAAGTTCAAAATGTAATCCCAACAGTTCTTCATACCATTTCAACACTGTTGTTCTATACTTGTTCCTTAACAAACAGTTCTATAACTATGATGTGTTGGAAGAGATCATGTCCAGGTAGCGCAAATATATTATCTGTGTTTCAGTCTTTGATTTTCCCAGAACCAGACTGATTTATGCTGAAAGTTATATGCATAACCTTCTAATGTTTGTGGACATAACTTTTTGCTACCTAATTTATAAAACTTCGTACCTTGTACGACCTTGGTCTGTAAAAGTGTGAAAATCACCATCAGTTTTAGAGTCAACACAAAAATGGGTACTACTAATTTAAAATATTACAAATAAACCAGTGATATATTTAATTGTAATATTGTTTTGGACATTATTGAAGTCACTCTAGAGTACATGTTTTTTGTTACATAGCCACTGCAGTGTTGCTAACGGCACAGTTCGGTATGTGGTTATGACAGTTGGATAAACATTGTGTAATTTAAGGCCATTGGAAACCTGCATATGCAGTTGGTTTTGCAGTTGGTATTTTTCTCTCTTTAAAAATTTTCATAATATCTCGTATCATAACTTGAAACTTGAAATAGCTTTAGAATGAAAAAAAAAATTAGTACCTTCTGTAAAGCGAATGAATTGCAATAAACTCAAAATTTTGGTTGATATTACATTTTGTGTATAAATTTATATCAGTGAAAACTCCAACCATCCACTCTTAAATTTTAATCAGACGCTTTGAGAATTACGTTTTCATTCAATCCTTTCTTTAAACTAAATATGAGATGTATAAAAACTTTCAGAAACCTCGAAAATTATCTAAGCTAAACGAGGGTTTCAAATAAAACAAATTTGATTTATAATATATATTTATAATATATATAATATGTATGTATAATATATATATATATATATATATATATAGGCTCTGCTCAGCCCTTTGAACAAAGATAAGGTTTTGATAAAACCTTTATAGCTTTAAATTGCCAAAGGAATAGTGTTTATTAGTCTGGTTGATAATTGAATGCCGGAAAGTGATAGAACTAATCACTGTACAATTTTGAGTATCCCTCTCAGTTTTGGGGGGGGGGGAGGGGTGTCTGACTAACCCCCAAACTCATCCCAGTTGTCCCAGAATTGGGTCAAAGTATGTGGGTCGGACCAATGTGCGCTTGCGCTCACTGTCATTATAGCAATTTTCTATTACCATATTGCTTACAGATCAGTGCAATTTGAAATCAAATTTAAAGATAACAACGCAATGTCTGCATATACATTGGTAAATACTAAATTTCACTTGTTTACTCCAATCAGGGATTTTAACCGTGAAAGTTTTTAGTTTTTCAATTTTTTGTAGGCCAATTTTACTAAAAAAACAAATTCTAGCTATTTGTCAGTAGAGTGATTTTTTCCGATAACAGGGTGTACGTACAGTATGATTTTAGTCCCCAACAATTTATTTAAGATTGCTTAAAAAATTATTACAATTATCATCAAACAATTATTATATGGTTAACACCACATTTTAGAACACAGACAATATTTCAAACAATTCAATTGACTGAGCTAATTATTTTTTTAGCTTCAATAGTTTTAAAATACCATTAACGTCTTCCATGTTATGTTTATCTTGTTAAAAAATTAAAAGCAAAATCGATATACAGTATGTAGACTACCTATTATACAAAAATACCTGCAATGTGCGAATAAAGTGCAAAACACATCTCATTCAACCTTCAACATAAATATATTTTCATAAACACCACAGTAACAATGATAATATCAAGGCCAATTGATTGGTTTCCATTAGCAGATGCATTGTGCTTGTAATGTAAACATGTAACACATTTAATTCGCCTCAATTGTGGGGCTGTGCGCTGTGGGCGTCAGTGGGGGTGGTAAAGTTCAAGGCCAAGGGGGTGTCTGGGTCGAGTCAAGCAGGATGGGTAATAGCTGTCTCAAGGTCAATGTCAGCCGATGTTTTCAGCAATGCTAGTACCTGTTACCGGGCCGCCATCGATCCACTGCCACTACTGACCCATATTCCCTCTCTCTCGCACCCGCACTGTCTGCATCTCTCTCTCTCTCTCTCTCTCTCCCTCTCTCTCTCTCTCTCTCTCTCTCTCTCTCTCTCTCTCTCCCCGCTGCGCCGCCCACTACTAGGTCACCATGCACCAGGGTCATCGTTGACAATTTATGTGAAAATAGGTTTTGGAAAATTGTTCAGAAGTTGAAAGTTTCGAAAAAAAATGATTTTTGCTGGTTAAAAGTCATTATTGTGTACATTAGGTTAACTCTTGATGCATTGGAATGTGCTACGTGTTGTTTATAATTTACATCACAAAACAAACTAGAAGGACAATTTAGTCAGTAGTATTTTGTGTTTCATTCAGACAACCTTTTGTCACGTGGGTAGGTTCAATAAATTTCTTCGAAATAACATTGACGATAGTGTTCGGATATTATACTGTATAACTTAAATATCTTTATTATGTGTATGGACAGTAATATTTTTAGTTCAACTCTAATTTTCTATTACTGTAATGAAATTGGGCAAAATATATTTTCAAGCAATTTATTCCTAATAATTTTTAATATTTTTTCGATAAAGTGCATGGACCCTAATGTATTTAAAGTTCTAAAATTATTATCTTGGATTAAGGGTTTGAGGAATGTTACATTTAACATAAGTAATTCTCTAAATTGTAATTTTATCAAAAGGACGATTGTTTAACACAACAACAGATATTGACGTAAAGATCGATTGTAGATAACAGTTTCAATGTCAAACCTTCAGACTGGTGGAAGGGTGGAGGGGGGGGCAGCATCCCGCCCTCTGACATTTCCCTTTTGCAAAACTAGTTCTTGGAACCCTTGGAACCTCGTCGATAGCAAGTCTGGTGAAGATGATTAATTTACGTTGTGAAAATTTTCGGAAATGAAAAATATTGTGTTGTTGCAGTGCCTAACAATACAACTAAAATTAAACTGTCTTACTGTATTATACACGAAGTGTGTTTGAAAAGTAATGTTGCGTAAATAACAACGGTTTGATAAAAATAAATGTAATTGCCTCCTGAATCAAAATATAGATTTCTGCCTTTCCTGAAAAATATATGCATTTCTGTTGCTCGCAAGTTAAATTATGTAAAAACCCAGAATTTTTTTAAAAACTACAATTGCAAAAATACTTATGTTCTCTTTTCATTTTGTAAAAATTACCAATATTGTCTTTAGTTCTCTTTTCATACAAATTTTAAAAAACAACGTATTTTATTACCATTTTTTTTATCATAAGATGCACAAAATGCCCTTGAAAAGAATTCAATTTGTGCGTCTAAAAATCAAGTTAGTTACATTAAAACCCCTTGTTTTAACTGGACAGCTAAGCACTAAACTATATCATATAAAACTAGTATATTTATTTATTTGAAATCCAACGACAAATCCAAAATATAATGTCCAAATTTTTCATGGGTAAACGCTATGATGACAATACGATGTAGGTAATGTTAAACCTTTCCTAGGAGAAGGTGGTTTGTTGGTGAAATTAAGGTTGACCATGCAATTTATTTCAGAATTTGGTGGCAAGACAGGATGACAGCGCCTGTAAATCCTTTAGGCAAAATGAGCGCAGTACCCCGATTGCGTCGACCAAATTGAAGGGGTTCCTTTGATTCGGGCGCAAACTGACCCTGCCAATATTATGTGAAAACCGTCTCTTTCTATAATATTCATAGGAATAGCTAACATAATAATACGTTTAGCACTCAGTTGTAGTTTGGTTTTTATAATGATGAAGCGTATATTCAACCTAAAATTCATATACTATGGTTCACAGTGCTTCAAAATAACCCATGCACAAGCTGTAAAAATTGTTTACAAAATTGGCGTAAAAAATCCTTTACCAAAAGGTGTTCCCAAGAGGTTTGTAGGTGAAACAAAACATGGTGCATCATATTTTCATCTATTCTGAATTCCGTTTAAAATCTCTAAACCTAACTAGCTCTGTGTACAAAACTGTGGCAAATTTGGTAATATATTTACTTGCATTTCAAACTTAAGAAAATTTTTTCACAGATGGCCATGTAATTTGTTTAACCGTATCCGACACGATTCCCAGCCTTTATTAATACCGATAACAAACAATAAACGTATAAAACGCATTTCAACCAACTCATCGTGCATATTAACATTGAATATATATTCTATATATAAAGTATTATATACTCAATGATATAATAACATACGGCTCAGCATAAATTCAATTTCCACGATTCACTTTGCTGCAGACAAAATATTGCACAATATCGGCGATGCAACCGATTTTTCCATTCAGACGAAACGGAAAGTGTCCGGGGGACGGGGGTTGGACCTGACCTAGACAACGTAGTCTGGCGTAGGAGAGGCAGGATCCTAGCAACCGAAGGGTGGCGTCTGCGCGGGGTTGTAACTCGTAAATGTGCGGCTTACAAAGTTACAGTGTGGCATGACGCGCCACCCTTACAACAAGGGGCGAGAATGGCGGGAGAGCTGAGGGGCGCGTCGTAAACGGCGGGAAAATTGAGCAGAGGATGTGTAGACATGTAACATTGTCGAGGGTGTAAATTGTAGTTGGAACATGAAAGTAACCAGTTCCACAATTGCATTACCTCGAAGTCAAAATGGTAGATTGTAAATGGTAAATGTTAAGGCAAATGTAGATTGTAAAGGTAAATGTTAATTATCTGTGTGAAATAAAAATACAGTTGGATGAGGGAACGATGGTTGTAACATATTACAAGACAATAAATACTTAAACAATTTAATTATTATTAACCTAAAGCACACTGGAGAGAGTTTAAATATTGAAACAACTTGTATAAACATAAATACTCACAATGTTATTAAACTGTGAAAACCGTCTGACTGTTAGGCAAACTACAAGAACTACTTCACTACATGCCAATTCTAAATCATCTAGATAGGTATGGTTATTATGTAGAAAACTGATAAAGGTGTTAATGTGGTATACAGGTGGGCTGTGGTGATTGCAATACAAGCAAAGAATTAAAAATGTATTATTGTTGCGTACCGTACTAATTTTTCTAACATATTCGCCAAGCAATTCGAAGTCTTGACCTTGAAAGATTATCAAAGACTTTCACCATTAAAGCCAAGAAGCTGGACGATAGGTTGTAGTGGTGGATGCATAATGGAATAATGCAGAAGTTGAAAATGTGTTAGTGATATTAGTGATATTTGCCACGCTTTCAAACATTGTACATGGTATAAAGCTGTATACATTCAAAGTAGTTCCCAAACATAAAACTCATTAGATGTTATATTTAACGTAATTTAACAGTATTATTGATACATACCTGCCTCATTGTGCCTGGTATTTTGCTACATTCACACGAAATATAACATCACGGCGCTGAACGAAGGTGGCAGTTTCGTGGTCTTTCCTGAAACGAAAAGAACAAAGATGAGAATGCTGATAAACTAAAAAATATGCTGTGAGAAGAGAGGGTTTATGCAAAAAGCAATGTTTAAACTCAGATTAATTACTCCCTCTCACAATTAAGAAAGCAATTAGGAGATTAGGTAATTTTAAAATGCATTATCACAAATCTTTGGAATTAATGGTGCATTGTGATACTTATAGCACTTAAAACTGCATAGAACGCAAAAGGAGCTTCACTTAAAAGTACTTGGAGCTACCAAGATATATTTTTAGACCAGGTAACTCAGGACAGTAGGAGTAACCCTCAAATTTACGGTAGCCGAATTAGAACGTAAGGCCTCCGTTTATTTTAGCCTCTCCCTAGCTGACTAAATCGGGAATTATACTTCGCATGGTAAGCAGTATGCCAATATGGCAAAGCACACGATAAGGCCATGACCTATACCTTGGCAAACTGCTAAGATAGTAGAGGACAATATTCATTGACCACGGTCCAACTGTTCTCTACCAAGAAAATAAAAGTCAATTACTCTTGTTTGTTTTTAAACGTTATTTTTGTATTGGAATCGCTCCAGATATTATTTATGTCGTGTACTGTTAGTTTTTGCGGGAACATATTTTCGCCATTGAATGTTGAATGAGTCGAATCTTTAGGAATAGACCTCACTCATCTTTTCGATATTTCGGATGATTTGCAGAAATGTTCAATTGTATTTTCTCCTGTTCAACGACGCGATCATCACTAAGATCAAGATTTTCAGTTTACTTTAACCGAGGAATCCCGTCTAAGAATTCTCGACGAGTGTTGCTGAGAAGTCGAACCTAAAATTAAACAAAACGTTTTGCTGCTAATGCACACTGAAGGACTACTATCTTGGACAGGCGCCCGATCTAGATACTCCCCAGATGGCTGCAAGATCTACAGATATACGATTTCTCCACAAAGAAAGAAAAAAGACCTTTTTTACCAAAACCTAAGTTTACCGTATTTTTGATACTGTTTAATTTGTGCCAGCGGCAAATTTACGGTACATGATGATTTAAGAAATGAATTTATTCCTAAGATACTAGTACGATTCACTTTCTAAATCAGCTGCGCCTCGGAAGACTGCAGAGTAGGTTTCGGGAAGCTCGGAGTCAAGCCAAATTCGGGTGCCAACTCGATCAAGGCTAGGGAAAAATACACTGATTAGCTGTCTTAATCACAGCGTGCGTTAGAAAACGTTTGATAACTAGACAGCGTTCATTTTGTACATTTTCATTGTTAAAAGTATTGTGCGTACACCTACCTTAATGATGGGGTTTTCACATTTATAAGTGAAATAGACAGTGAAACTGTTATAACAAAAATAATTTAAATACGTGTATGGTGAAAATCTAAAATCATCCTTAACAAATGCTCATGATGAATCTTTTAGAAATTTAATGCTATCCTTGATTATAAAAACCCGCTGAGGAATTACTTTAGTGAAAAGTAATTGCAACCTAACTTCCTCAATTCCCTTATTTATCTGTAAACACCAGTCATTATGGTTAACGTTGAGTAAGTAAAAATATATATAGTTAATACAAATTTGATTTGATGTACGGTAGTTCCAGTTATGGCTTTTTCTTGTAAGTGACTAATAAAATGATTTTTCTTGGTACTGTAGGCCTACTCAACTTGAAAATTAAGCTAAGGTTGAATTTATAGGCCAAAACCAAAACCAAAATTTACTGACGATATTCCTTGAAACTCTAAAATAAAAGTAATCCAGTGGACGAAAAATCAAAGACCAGTAATCAGCGCAGAAATTATGTATATTTTGCAACGTCTCAAAATACAACTATAGAGTTTCACAAGTCTGTTTTTGTCTGCTGCAGGCCTACAAACAAACGACAAAACGCCATGACTCATTACGACACAGACTGAAGTTTACGACAAAGCGTAAAGCGTATTTATTTCCAGCTGTGTCGAAAGAGGCGATGTTTTCTGCACGACTAGTAGCGCTGGGGTAGCCTTGGTGAGCTAATTCTGAAGCGCGTACCGTACTTCACCAAGTTTAGTTTCGTTCAAAACATCTGACCTTGAATGCTCTTCCGCATTTGCACTTGCACCCCCCTCCCAACCCACCAGAAAAAGTGCAGCAGCTCCTTGTTTGTAAATGGGTGCGTTTGGGTCGTTCTTCTAAGAGAAATTTCAATTAGTTGATATTGATATTGTAAAAAATAGAAGTAAACATGGAGATAAATGGAATAATTTCGATTTTCTCCCCTCCCTCACTATTCTCCGAAATGTCTGGTAATGTTTCCATGAACGTTTCGCCCGATTTTCTTTATTTGACTTAGTTGGAAAAACTTTGTAAAAGTGCAAAATTGTAGTACCATACCTCTGGTTAACGGTTGATTACAAATTTCATCCCGACTATCGTGTCCAGTAGATTACCTTACTCGTGTCACACAGCCACGTCATAAAGTCGTTTATCAGCCAGGAAGCTGGTGTAAAGTTTTTGACGTGTGCCACTCATGATTAGCGCATCATGAGGATGCACTATCCCCCCCACAACCCCCACTAGTTGCCAGTAGGGGGATGGTGTCTGAAGGGCACTAGGGCAAGTCCTAGTTCCCTACATTGGTCGATCAATAAGTGAGTTCTACCCCCCTAACACCCTGTCTCCCTTCTACCCTCTCACTCTCACACTCCCACCCCTGCTACGTTAAATGTCAAACTTCCTCATCGCTTTCTAAATAAATTCCGCATTAAAAAATGATGAAATTGAAAGTTTGATGAAGTTTTAGGAAAACCACATTTTTTACAAATGTTTTGAGTTGTAACATTTGGTCGTCTTCCCATTCGTTAAAAACAATATAAATACTACCATCCGATTTTGTATGGCCTAGTGTTAATCGAAATCGGTAGCCAAATCAACCTCCTTTACATATTTTTTCAGTCTTGTCATTTTTTACAAAATGAGTGTAAAGTGATAGACAGACGCGTTGAAAAACTACTGTTACTGTGACTTTGTTTTTGTAAATATTACTTCATAATCGAACACAATGTTTTTTTTTACGACATTAGGTCAAACAATGATTCATCTTTTTCACAATATTTACATTTGAGTACAAATATATATTTTTACGACGAAATTACTAAAACTACTATTTACGAGTATTTGATCATAATGATACCGGGACAGAACACCTCCTAACATGCTAAACAATGTTAAAAAGACAAATAATCGTATCTCGTGCATCGAGGAAGTGGAACGTGAAGAATCTCGGCAAAATATCGCAAACCTTGAACTTTCCGATAATAGTGAAGGCCGTCGATGATAATATTTGACATGGAAAGTGGTTACATAAATGTAAACTGTGAGTTTACTTTAAATTAAAACAAACTGTTTGTTTTTTAGGTAAATTCAAATTGATATGTTTTTGAACAGGGCTTACTCTGTGAGATACAATAGAATAATTCGTTATTCTTTACACAAGCTTGAAAAGATTCTACTGTTATTGACCTCAACTGTCTCTTAATAGTATTTATGTAAAACATTTATAGTTATGGATTTTTAAATACTTCATAAAAACGCAATTAAACGACTGTTAACTAAAATGTTGAAAGCATTTGCATCCCAAAATGCATAAGCCTATTTGGATAAGCTTGCATTCATATTCGACTAGTTTCGAAGATTTTGACCTATTTTAGAACGAGAGCGAAATTAACTTTTTGAAACCATAAGGCCTGCATATTATAATGTTTGCTATCATAATGCAGTTATGTTGACAAACATTACAGCTTTATCAATTTGTGTCACGGACACAATATATTTTACAAGTCTGTAAAATGGTCCACTCATTGTATTGGTCGTACTTCACAGTAGCTCAAAATATTCCGGGAACTTTTTAAAGGGGAAGTTGTTTCTCTAAGTAGAAAAACTCAGCATTAAAATAATCATTTGACCTTTTCTCACAGATTTTTGGCACTGTGTGAAATATTTACTATTGGATACCGAAATGAAGTTGTTTAAATAGTCAAAGGTGAAACTCAACTATAATAAGAAGTTTACAGAAGCCCGATGATATTTAACAGTAAGAAATAACTACTTTATGATACTAGTTGATGATTATGTTTCAATATGAAATTCCCTTTCCCATTTCGGCGTATTCTGTTCAAAAACATTTTGTCCAAGTAAAGTTTTTTATCGCCCCCTAGTCATAAAAGGAACTCTAAAAAATTCAATATTTCACGAGATTTTGTCGTCGACAAAATTGGAAACACTCTGACCCATCCACCAACGAAAGTTTGGAAACAGTTTGATCAGTTAATTCCTTCATAGATTCCAAACGTATTAGAAGCATTCGAACTCATAGGACACTATTGACCTTTAAAAGGGAATTCCCGCCCATAGATTTTACGGCGTGGGCCTATGGGATCGATATTTGCGTAGCCTCTGCACCATATCCCTTGGGCTACCATTGGACACCTCCCCCCCCCCCACCCCGGCAGACTTAACGGCCCTTTGTCTACTAACTTCTTTTTTCAAAAATATTTTTATACGATTAATATTTTTAACAAAATTATATGCAATATGTAATTATATACTTGTTATGTTTTTTCAGTTGAGATTTTATAATTAAATAGTTTTAAAGAAATTGTTGCAAGTGTCTTCACTATCTTTACAAGTTTTATTAACCCTTTCCAATCCGTCGCCCACAAAGTAAAAAATTATAGAAAGTAAGACATAGCGTATGTTGAGTCGCGTCTTAAACTTAATTTGTATACCATAGATTAATAATATAGGCTAACAACCAACTATATAGACAGAGAAATACTCTAAAACATGTCATGAATGGAAACAAACGTACATGAATATAAAAACATGCATGTAAAACGATTTAGCATACGTCACAGCACTAATTGCATTATATGCATTAGCATAGTTTATATAACTGTAATCAATACACAAGGAGATTAAGAATATACAATGATTAAAGAGATATACTTTTTAGGAGAAAGTTTGTTTTGCAAATTCGGAAATGACAATGTAAAATCCTATAATTCGAAAACTCTAAATAATTGTCTTTAAATTTACTTTACTGACTTTAAACCATTCTTACTGTCAAAAACCTTGGAAAAAACTTTTTCGAACAAATTTCAACATTTAACCTCTTCAAAATCGCTAAGTGCAAACATAGAAACCTAACCTAAAACTTATCAAGACTCACAGTAGTCGTCGAGTAGACCTCTTATGCTGAAAAGGCTAGGGAACAGACGGGAAAGCGTTGAGAATATTGACAAAGTACAATAGAAAAGCCCTGGCTAGCACTGGGTATTTTCCGACCTATCTCAACGTGGTGTGTCTGACGATAGGGTAGGGATGCAGTTGAGATGCATTTCCGCATGCGCCGGTGCATGTGCAATGGAGGTGGAGTGCAGTGAGTGCATCTATTGCACACTGTTCGGTGGCGGCCGCCCCATGCCGCACCTAGGGCTAGAGCTGCCCCGCTATAATTCATTATTTGACTGGTGATTGGAGTAAAATTCAACTGATTGAAGACAGTAGAATTAATTGCGACTGTATAAATGATCTGGATTTGAATTCGAACGTTTCGTAATTTTTAGAGTTTTAAATGATGAAAACTAATGTAATTGATTATTATCTATTCATCAACGTCTTCACATGTGTTCACCATGCTATAAGACGACTAAACTAAATTAATATCCGAATGAAAACGTATTTAATGTTGAATTTTAATGGGAGCGTAGTTACAAAAGTGATGAATTTTATTTTTTTGTGAATATTATAATAAAATAATTACAATAATAGGTAATGATTATTATAGAATAATGTACACTATCACTAATCTATTTCAGTAACACTCACAATCAGTTTATATTTTAGGAAATTGAAAACAACATTTCAGTGCAAACACACTTTAGGATGAGAATAATTAATTGTTTGTAATGTGTTAATTCCTTGTTGAGTTAAATTATTTTAAATTTCTTCCATACACCACACATAATTTTAATTATAAAAATGTGTTAAAGTATATGCATTCGCAATATAATATGAACAAAATATTAAATTTAACTCATAAATTTAATGAGCTTTATTTTCATTTAACACCGTGAAAAGCTCTTATTTTTTAACAATAACTACTATTTTTTTAACAACCTCAAACCCTCTAAAAACACCCTCCATGGAGTATTGCAGCAAACAGCAGGATAACAAGAGTTTAAACTATTGAAACCCCTGATGGCAACAAGTATCAATAAACGAAGCCGTAGAGAGAAACAACATTTGCTTGTCAGTGCAAGGCTGACAAGACAGCGCCTGACTGTCAGAGTATGTTAAGCCCGCAGTGCATTGTTGTACGCGAATTGCATTGACAGTTAAACGGGCGTCGTAGTGGCAATGACCTCTCTATCTAGGTTACGTTACTTATATAGTAAACGTTCACAATCTTTTGGCGATTGTGGGTGGAGATAATTTATAATTTGTAAACAGTTTTTAAAAAGTGCTAAATTTTGTAAATGATGGTGGATAACGTTCGGATTTATTTCTTAAACTAAGTTTTACTTGTTTTAGAAAAACTCAATGAGTTAAATATATTTTTATATAAACACATCTTTAAGAATAAATATTTCCGAAACATTGTTTTTACTATAGAGCTTGTTAAATAGGTATGACACGTTTTGTAATACAATTGTATATTTAAATTGAAATCGTTAATACAATAATTATTATTAATTCATTGAAAGAGGAATATGATTATTTAAATTTTTTAATTGCTCTTCTCTTCCCTAAAAAAGTTGTTACCTCCTTTTAAAATTGTTGAAAATGTATTTTAGGGTTTTAACGGTTGATTTTAAATAAAACTATTGTTGTAACCTATGTCAAAATTATATTTTGATAGGGCTAGTTACATTCATACAAAATGTTTTTATTATTTCAACGACAAAGCAATCGAATGAGCAAAGTACAAAATATAATTTAAATATATTTAATTTTACAATGAGCTTAAAAATATTTTAAGGGGACGTATAGAAAAATAACTCAGGCAATGGGAAATCTAAATCAACTATATTTAATTTTAGCCTACCGGGAAATACGTATTTTTGCTATTTTCACAATAGTCTATAATTTTATCACTACAAATTCCTGGGAGATTCGAATTTGCACAGTTTAGCAAATTACGGAAGAAAGTATCCGAAAACCACAGTATTTGGTTTCCGGGGACGGGAAGCGCATCCAGTACAGAAGTTCATTGGGTCAAGTTATCGGGGACAGACGGTCATCCAGCCGCTCTCCCATTGGCTGAGCGAGCGATTGTTGCGAGCGCGGCTTTCCCATTGGCTGGCGGGCCGATTGTTGTCCCCTCCCCCGACCCAGTTCCCATCTGCAATTATGTAACTTGCAGTTACCGAACCATTTTTATAAAAAATGTCGGATGGAAAGTGCGCGGCGGAGTTGATGGCTGTATTTAGGTCTTTCGGCCATGCGCGGTCACTGAACAGTCGTAGTGCGCATGCGCCGTAGCTGTTATTCTGGCTGGCGCGCTGAGCCATTCTATAAGGATGTTTCAAATAAGGAAAAAAGTGTGATTTACATATTGTAAACTTTTCTTACGTTTACACGAGAGAACCCCAACCACAATAGGATAAAAGTTTAAAATACGAGAATCCATGCTAATATCATAGATGAAGACATTACTTCATCTATGCTAATAAAATCTTTGAAACCGTCACAACACTACAGATAAGTTGAACAGTGTAAATTGTTTATACACCCTGATTTAAAACGCTAACGCACAAAACCCGAAAATAAGGGAACTAGCGCTGAGGAAAACAATTTCAAAGACACACAAAAAAAGTGTTCTTCACTAAAGAAACCTAGGGAAGTAAAATCGTGTTGACATTTTTAATCACCTGTACAATACGTGCGTACAAATCAAGTACAAATTGTTGAAATACCAAAATCTGGGAATTGAAAAACAATACTTCCAAGTATTCATAACTTATTATTGTTGTGGTAACGTAACCAAAACTATATTATTTATTCACCTAAGATGTGAAAACGCAATCATCTGGGTGTTTTACAAACTCAAATGACGAGTTATTCAATTTTGCTACTTTGCAACACTTTAAATTATATTTATTTATAATATCGACTTATGTTGAACAGGAATCTGCGAGCTTGAGTAACAAACGCCAAAAAAATTATAATACAAGTGATTAGCAATAATTTTGACGAAAATAATTTTGAAATCCGGAAGAAGCATTGCAAACTGCAATAGTTAAACTTTTTGGCATGGATGGTTGGATATAAGTATTTTATAGCTCTTTGAAACTATATTTTAGACTATACACCGACAATTTTACAATTCTGGTCAAAAGTTATGACATTGACTAAGGTCAGTAATAATATCAATGTATCGATTACGGCTAAGTTATAAATTACTTCAGTCCTGCATGTGGATGAAAATTTAAAAATAAAATGTCCTCAAGTCAATCAAGTATTTAGGTCATAAGTTCAATGAATTCAAGCAATATCATAGAATTATCAAAATTATGCTCAATGCATTTTTTATATTCATATATGGTATTCTTTCATGTAATTGATGTAGGCCTACATCGTCATAACATGTATAACGATCAATTGCCAATTGCTAAGAAAATCTTGTAACTTTATTATGACTGGAAATAGATGTCCTTGATAAGGAATCTTTAAAGATATAGCTGAGCTTATTTACTAACAAAGCTACTACCTAAACTTCAAAGGCCAATAATTTTCCATTTAGCCTACTAAAACTCAATTTGCTATCAGCCTTGAAAGCCAAATCTAATTAACCTAGCCAAACAGGAAATTAGAAAGCTTGAAAATCAAACTTAGCTTTGCAAAGTACACGTAAGGCAACAATGGATGACATTGATGCGAGGGGGGGACATTGTTGCGAGGGGGGGACATTGTTGCCCCTCTGGGGGTTATACAACAATGGCGCATGTGGGGCAGCGGTACCGTTAGTGGGCCGGTCGTTGCCCCGACCTTGCTTAGACGTAGCACTTCCTTCCTAGTCACCTGTCGTAGGGAGGGGGAGAGGCAGACGAAAGTTATCCCTAGCACCTCCTTGAATGCTAATGCCGATGGAAAACCAAGATTTGCCAATGTTGGGTTTATGATGCGATCACAAATACATTTGGAGATGTTTGAGATACAGAGATGTAATGATGACTTTCTTGAGTAGTGGTATTGTAGATTCGATGTTACAGTATTTGGCACCTGCACTCCAAAACTTCAGTTTGCGTATTAGGACAAGAGTTGAATGTATGACGCGGTAGCTTCGTTACTGACTGATCTGCAGATTTTGGTTTAGCCAGGACCTGCTGGTTTGATGATCAAGGGTGTCTGGATCCAGTTATGAAACGGCAAAAAATGTTCTAATCTTTCTTATAAGAGCATTTACAGTTTTTTGATTCTTACTACAACGAAAGAGAAGGGTAGCTGACCAGTGGCATATCCTGGGGGGTTAGGGATTTGAACCCCTTTGACCTTAAAAAAGGTTTTTAATAGTTCAATTTTTTTCTACCCAGACCCCCCGCCCACCCCCTCATGGGGTAATCCTAGTTACGCCTCTGTGGCTGACTAAAAATAATAGTCTAGCATTGTTATTTATCGCCATGTAAAGATGCACTATTATTTGTGCTTTTGATTAGTGTAAAGTTAGCCTACAACACACCCATTTTTTTACAGAGGAACTAAAGCATTTTTGTATAATTAATTTTCTTTCTGGAATAACTCCACTGTGCTCCAAATGTATCGCGGAATCAAGCGGTCCTTTTCTGTCTATCCTTCAAGCTCCTACCTTTATACCATTTTACCATTCATCGCGTAAAATACATTATACCCTTTGTAAATTGAAATCAATATTTACAGGAATTATATTTACGGAGTCCTAGCTGTCCTACGGTGTACATCAAGATGGCCGTGGCAATGAGAGACTACAGGTCCGGGCAGCGCATTTAGGCCGCGAGGTCATTGACCGCGGTGAGGAGGCATCGCTGCGTCTAGGCCTACTGCGTAGCGGGGCCCCTCCGAGCGAAAATCATTAGAGGGGCACCGTTAATTGCCGTTAGGCCTAATTTGAATGAGCTAAAACATTGGTAATAATATTTCTCCATTAACAAGTTAAAAATTAACCAAGCTTTTTTGCTCAAAAATAAAAAAGTGTAATTTACACAAGCTTTACTTTTAACTGTATTTGGCGTTCTTGCATTGATGAAATTTCCACAGGTATACATTGATAATATTTTAAAACTACTCTTTTCGACAAAAATCTAAATTTTAAAATATCAAAATCTTATTAATACTTTTTTATATT